AGCTCAGTGCTTAGCTCAGCGATGAGCTCAATTTAAAAAAAGTGACGTAGTTAAATGGCAGCAATGGGAACGTACAGTCCCGGTAGATATTGTTGCTCTTCACCCGCACCCGCCACAACCAGGTATAGGTAATTACCTACTTGGGCCATACTTCTCCACTCTTTAGTAAGAACAACCAAGGCTCCCATGAATCCGATCAAGGTTTAAGAAGAGAGAAGGAGGTGGGAGGGACTATGGAGGTAATGATCAGATGAAATCCAAAAGGCAAGAAACAAGATCAAGTAAAGGAACAAGTGGAAGGGAAAAACAAGGCAAGAGAAAAGCAAGAACGTAGGTCCTGGATGATACAAGGTCCACGAAATGAAGTAAGTGTGATTGAATTAAAAGATTCATCTTTCCCCATATCATGTTTTGCTTTTCTTCTCTTTTCTTTTCTCTTTCCTCATATCATGTTCTTGATATACAATAATCATTCCATCACATACCATACCACCATATCATATCATACGAAAACAACAACACCACAACACCACAACACCACAACACCACAACAACCAATACCCAACATCTCCAACACCACCAATAACCATCACCATACCAAGTTCTTTTAATAAGTGTTCGATATCAATCCCATTATCCCACTTCCAAAAATCAACATCGTCATTACATCTTAATTCACCTCATCTCTTTATTCCTCCCATCAAAGAGCCAATCAATTGCTACTTGCAATCAAGACATCAAGTTTAAGACGCCTCATTACCTCATCCCACCTTATAATTTACATATACGACTCCCGCTCCTACGAGTTCTCTCACACTCTTGACATTCGAGTAGACAGAAAATCTCTTTCTTCTATTTTCGAACTCTTCTACCACTTTTCTTTTCTTTCGTGATACCCAAATACCCCTCAATTTTAATCGATACACCGCAATCATGTCTGTGAACGTGCCTGTCAATGAGACACAAAAGGAAAAGGATATCAATCTTAAATTACAACTTTACGGAATTTACCAAGGTATGATTTGACTCTCGCTCGCCACCGGCAGATGAGTACATGCACAACTTTACTAACATTAAATTCGTGTAGCTTTCCAAGCTGGAAAGGTTCCATCTGTAAGTATCTTGTTTCTCCATGACTCCATTTCCTCGCGCAATTGCTAATTTTGCACGTACAGAATAATCAAATCGATGTTGCCCTCAACAGTTTCCTTGAGTTGAAGGCTCTCAAATCACCATCCAACAGGCTTTCCAAGGAAGGTCGAGAATTAGCTCAACAATTTCGTTCCGTGGTCGAACAGGCAAAACTCCTTCTTCTCACCAAGAACAGAGACGAACTCTTTCAAGATTTTGTTTGGCAATGTGAGCGTCTTGACGGCGGAGCAGCAGCCGTTCCAGGAGCTCCCGTTGATCAGGCAACTGCCCAACAACACGGTCAAGAGGCAAAGGGAGGCCTCAAGACTCTCGGTCAATTAATTTTAACCAACGGTCAATTCCGCAAGCTTTGTAAGTTAATGTGGTATACTCAGGTCCATCTCAAATACTAATGTCCGAATCAGTGAATGATGCTGTCGTCCTTTTACGCGATATTGCTGGTGACGCTGCCAGCAATGCCGCTGGCAAGCTCAACCCATCTGAAGATCAATTGAATCAAATTGATCGTCCCGCCGATGATAATACCTGGCATGAAAATCCAAATATTTCGGCTGCCGACATGAAGAACCAGATGAAGCAAAAATTCCAAAAGAATCAACCTATCGACAAAAACGATGTCAAGGAAGCTGTTGGCGATGCCAATCAGCAAGCTCACCCAAGTGGATCTCGTGATCCAGCAGATACTGCTCAATTGGCTGGTCGTGATCAACAATACGACACTGCCTCTGGAATCGATGGCCAGGCTGGTGCTCAAGCTGGTGCAAATACCTTGAAGCAACGTGCTTCTGAGAACATTCCCGAGGAGACTAAAGAACGAGGCCGTGAGACGAGAGATAGAACCAAGAACTACCTTCAACAAAAATTACCCGAGGAACGCCGTGATAATATCATCCACAGACTTAAGAAGACGATTGTGGAGATTCAAGGTCATCCAGATTGTAAGTTTACCTATTGCTTGCTAGTTTGTCTATTTCAGAATTAACACTTAACAGATATGCAATCTATCGACACTCTTCTCAACTTAGCCGAGCAGTACGGGGGACACGCACATAGCCTGGGCCAATCCGGATCTGGTGCTGTTAAAGGTGCACATACCGACAGTGCTCTAAAGACTGCGGAGAATGATTTGAAAGTTTGTACATCCCTGAAACCACCAGAGTTAGAATTTAAGCTAACGCAATCCAGACGCTCCTTGAGCGTTTTGCAAATTACACATCAAGCGACGATTTAATGGATTCGATCAACGCTATCTATCGAGATGCTGATTCAGATCCAGAGTTGAAGAAATGGTTCCAGCAGATGAACGCCTTCGTTCGCAAGTGTCTCAAGGAGCAAGGTTATATTCTGGAAGACAGCTCCACTCAACATTGGAACGAGCTCTACGATAGAGGCAACTTTCTTCTCAGAGATCGCTACAGACCTCATACTAATCGCATCATTGATGAGATTAAATTCTTCGGAAATGAATTTGATAATGATGAACAGAACAAGCGATTTGCAGAAACCTGCCAAAAGTTCTTCACTGCCTTGGGCCACGACAGCAGTGGTAACATTAAATTCAAGAGGCATTTGCTTTTGGATCTATCCAATGTCATTATTCCTGCAGCTCTCGAAAGAATCAGATACACCCCAATTCCCAGAATCGAGTACAGAGATGGACAAAAGATGGAAATTGTGATCGAGAATCTAGTAGTTGAGAGTGATAATCTCATGCCTAACTTGCTCGATATTCAACATGGTATGTGCTAAAATTTCCTTTGCCCTTGTTCCGGCATGTTGCTGTATCTGTTTCCCGCGGGAACAATAGATGCATTGCTATCTTTTGTTGCTTGGGGCCATGTCTGATGTGCTACCGCCTTTTTCTGAGAACAACCGCTAATTAAATGTTCATGATAGAGAGCTCCTTTAGATTCGGCCGCAAGGGTTTCCACAACTCACAGAAAGGCTCATTCTTCATTGCTGTTCAAGGTATCCAGATGGATTTAAGAGATATATCTTATTATATCAAGAGGTCCGGTGGCCCTTTCAACCACGACGAGGGTATTCTCGATATCTTCCTCGGCGGTTCTGGACTCAGTTTCGACATCAAATTGACTGCAATCAATTCAGGAGAGAAAAATCGTCAAAACTTCTTGAGATGTGACAGCGTCAAGGTCAACATGAAGAAGATCAAGCTTAAGATCAAGCAATCAAAACACAAGGGGTTGCTCACCGTTGGAAAGTCGTTGGCGCTCAAACCTCTTACCAAAGCTGTTTGTAAGGCTATCGAGTTGGCCATCAAGCAGAAGGTTGAAGAGGCCGATGGATTCTTGTTTAAAATCAAGCAAGAAGCCGATCGAGCTCAAAAGGAGGCCACCGAAAATCCAGAGAATATCCCCAACATTTACAGACAATATCTTTCTGCTTTCCAAAAACAAATGACCAAGGGACAGGAGAAGGCACAAAAAGCACAAGCATCTGTGGCAGATAAGCAATTCAATATGCCTATGACAATGGACGATTCGATTATGCCTCACGTTATCTTGCCAGGTGGAATCTCAGCGAAGGCAACCGAGCACAAGAATAATGCTAGACAAGGCGCCGATTGGAGATCATCTGTCTTTAGCATTGGAAGTGCCAAGGGATCTACAAGTCTTCCTCAACCAAAAGAGATTTCAAGAAAGCCACATTCCGTTACTCAAGGTGGCGTACGAGGTCCACAGAACACAGGTAACACAAGTACTCAAGGTACTCAACAAGGCTACGGCCAACAAGGCTACGGTCAACAAGGTTATGGTCAACAAGGTTATCCTCAAGCTACTGGACAGGAATATGGAAAACCAGGATATGGACAGCAAAACTTCAATCAACAAGTTGATGCTGCTTTCGATAACACCGGTGCAGGTGTACTTCCCAGCACTACTGGCGTTGGTATCTTACAAGAACAAAGCGCTAGCAACGGTGCTATTGGCAATGGCGCTTCAGTCCAGAAAAATGTCCTTCCTACTAATGGACATACTCAATTGGGATCCAACAACCCAGTTTTACAAGGTAGAGTTTAATTACCTTGATCGATACAAATGTATAATCTCTTTCTCTTGTGTTTTTGCGGAATGGAATTGTTTCCTCACAAGATACCACTGCCACGGATAATACCAATGCATATTGGGGGTTTGCTGGGATTAAAAAAACCCAAAACTGGGACGGATGGAGGACGAAGGATGAAGGATGGTTTCATTTGTTTTTTCTTTACTCGTTTGCATGGGCTTCATTTTGATACCTGATTGATTTTTTTGCTTCTTAATTGCCAATTAATTGGTGATCGAAAGATATCATAGCGTTGTACTGGGCTGGGTGATGGAAAGGGAATCATGAATGGAGATTAATGATTGTTCATTGAAAGATGGACGCAGCCATGAATTATGATGTGATGGTTGAGACAGGACGGAACTCCTTTGACCACATCATTGGGGTTCAAAATAGCGATTTCTTATATCTCATTTAATAATGAAGATACTTTTAGCGATTATTGCAATCATTTGTGTATGGTGATTTTAAACCGTGAAAATGATGGTGAATGAAGCGAATTGAAGTGGAAAAGATGTTGATAATGTAATGGTTTAAGATATTGTTCTTATCGCCGAATGGGGTATGCTCAAATAAGTAGTGAGAAGTGGCTTAAATGGGACTACAATTTCGTTTTATATATTTTGAGAATTCTGAGGATATTAGGATTGCTCATGATGAGTTAAGGAACGATTGGGTCTACAATTCCACTCGGCAAGCTCGGGTTATAGGAAGCTCGGGGAAGGACTCTCGATAATACCGACCCTAGTGAAGGGTGCAGTGTATAGCTACCCCACATTCCGTCATCGATTATGTAACACAAACCCTCGAAGCACGGACGAATCATTGATGGTTGATTTGATTGATAAGTCATAAGGTGGGGTACGTACTGGGTAGGGAGCTTCAAGTCTCGGTTTGGGACGGTTGCTTGTCTGTTTGTTTGTTCGGTTTCTTTTGCATATTTTATATATATACCACATATAGTTCATAAATGCTTTCAAGATTATCGAGTGCTGGGATCAACCGATCATTAGGTATTTTTGAGAGAAGTTTGTTTGTGAGTGTGATTGATTCTTTTGGGGGGAGAGGGGAAGAGGGGATTGTGCCACTCCTCTGGATATCTCTGCAGGAGAAATGATAGATATATATATGCTACGATTGGATCGCGCAAGAAAATCCGAACACAACATAAAAAGTCACAGAGAAGAGAAGAGAAGAGAAGAGAAGAGGAGAGAAGAGAAGAGGAGAAAACAAAAGCTAATCAATCCCTCCCACCATCTAGAAAAATATCGCACGTACCGGGATTAACACGAGGACCGAAACGCAAAGATACATACAGGGAATAGAAAAACAGAAACGCAGGATGCATATTCAGAGTATTCCGATGTGGGAGGGGACCTCGAATAATTATGCGTATTTGGTGGTCGATGAGGGGAGTAGGGATGCGGTGATTGTTGATCCGGCGAGTGCGGGGGAGTGAGTTTGTTTTTGTTTTTGTTTTTTGGGTTTGGGTTTGGTTTTGGTTTTTTGGGGGGAAGGGGGGCTGTTGGGGGGGGGGGGGGTTTGGGAGGAGAGGGGAGTGGCAGATGGTGGGGTTGGAGTGAGACGAAGGAGGTTGAGGCTAGCAGACTGGCAAATTGGTAAACTGGCAGACAAGGCGGGTGGGGGGGATGAATAGAAGGATAGAGGACGGAGGAGAAGTTTGAGTTGGTAAGGTTAACAACGGAAAGGCTAACGGTAATGTAACAGGGTCGCACCTGTTTTAAAGGATCAAATCAAGGATGGAAAAATCAATTTGGTAGCAATTGTCAATACACACCAGTGAGTTTTTCACAGACATTCATCTCCCTAGGAAATATTATTCTGATACTCGGAATCTAGCCATTGGGATCATGCAGGAGGAAATAACAAAATAGTAATACCTCTCCCTCTCCTCCTCTTTAAAGGTAAATCCAGCTAATACCATCGTCCAGCTTGCCGATCCAGAATTCAAAGGAAAACCTGTAATTGGAGGTAAAGATTGTGAGGGAGTTACAAAGACACCCAAGAATGGAGAGGGTTTTACAATTGGAGAGATAAATGTTAAGGCACTTTATACACCGTGTCATACACAGGATAGTATCTGTTGGTTTATGGAGGATAAGAGTGGAAAGGCAATCTTTACGGGTGATACTTTGTTTCATGGAGGTGAGTTTATGAACTGTTGGTGTGAACGAGATAGGAAGTAGATGGCTAGAATGCATACAGAGCTGATCAAAACTAGGATGTGGAAGATTTTTCGAAGGAACCGCAGAGGAAATGCACACGGCCCTTAACAAGACACTTGCAGCTGTACCAGATGATACAGTTGTTTATGTAAGTCTCCTCTCATGCTCACATCATCTGAAAGTTGCAATCAAAAGCTTACCATTCGATCTAGCCTGGCCACGAATACACAAAAGCCAATGTCAAATTCGCCGTCTCGGTTTCCCAGAGTGAAGCCGTCAAGGCCCTCGAAGCTTTCGCAGACAAGAATAAGGAAACACAAGGAAAATTCACGATTGGAGATGAGAAGAAACATAATGTTTTTATGAGAATGGACGATCCGGAGATTCAAAAGGCTACGGGGAAAACGGATGCTGTGGAGGTGATGGCGAGATTGAGGGAAATGAAGAATAATTTTAAGTAAGTGTAAGTATTGCTTGGGTGGTCTTTTGTTCAGATGGAGATGCATACTGATGAGAATTTTTTGTAGAGAACCAATGGCTAAATTTTGATGAGGTGATATGTGAGGGGAGGAGGTTTTTGGGATTGGGAATGGGGAATGGTGGAAATGCAAATGAATATGTAAAATGATTTAAAAACTGGCATGCAATATATACCTAAGGACTTGTGTCATTAAATGATATCTGAGTATATATTCTAATTGCTATTATGAATTAAATGAACTGAATAGTGTATGTGTGAAGAATTACTATATTCCTACCTATCGGAGATGTTCCCCTCGCTTTCCCATTTCCCTGCCCTTTCCTTTTTACCCCTCACTGCCTAGCTGATTACTAGGTAGATAGATATACGAGGGCGTGTCTTTGATGATTGCCAGGCAAAATAACCGAACTCACTAATATTTACTATGTGATTTTTATAATGAATATAACTTTATAAATATTAATAAGTCTACTTTATCAAATTTATATAAAAATCTTGATATAACAAATTATTCGAATTTGAAAAGGTTTTTCAAATATGATTTTTACTTCAATTACTATTGAATTCCAAAATAGGTGAGTTTGTGCTTATTTTGGTGAGGAAATGTTACTGCGCACGGACCCGGCAATCATCAAAGACACGCTCTCGTATAAGGAGGGGAGAAAATGGTCCGTCCGAATAAAACACAACATGAGTAACTTAAAGTTGGGTGGCACTGGGGCAGGCACTGGTGGGTACCTAGGTAGGTATACTTATGTATGTATGTATGACGTAATGCAATTTTCGATTCTGATCGCGGAAGGTTTGCTCCTTTCCTTTGTAATCTTATTTGTTGTATGATAGATCGTTGAAATGATGTGATGTGATGTGATGTGATGTGATGTGATGTTATGTGGTTAGGTAGGTATGCAAAGGAGAGGAAGGGTAGGGTTGATCTTGATTTTGATCCTGATCTTGATTTTTGTATATATATATATATATAGAGTATGAGAGTATATGCACATGAATGAGGGCATTTCATCATCAGGCAGGATAATCGTTTGAATTGAATATACATAAGGTACCTTACTGAATAACGCAACGATACTTGACGGAGAGAGGAAAGGAAGATTCGAAGAATTGAAGAATCGAAGAAAAGAGGACATGGCACAGCAACCTCTTACTCATGGTGCGCCGGGCTCGGAAGTGAGTGCGAAGGATCGGGTAGGTTTTTCTGTCTTTTTGTTTATGGTTCTCTCTCTATGTGTATTATATAAATAGGTATATATATATATATATATATAAATCCGAGCATATAACGACACAACACACCACACTATCAAACTCACAAAACCAACTAACTCCCCCATCTGAAATAGATACTCGAGACCGGAGCAAGCGTCACGCAGGATTTTGCACCGATTAAAAAAATTTGTGCGCATCTTAATGCGTTACATGTTTATGCTGCGGAGAGGGAGAGGAGTGTTGAGGCGAATCATTATTGTACGCATTTGAGTGGGGAGGTGAGTTGAGGTTTCTTTTTTTGGTTTTGGGTTTTGGGGGTGAGAGAGGTGTAAGAGGGAAGGGGAAAGGGGGAGAGATGAGGGGAGAAAGATAGAAATAGGAGACAAGGTCTTCTAGTAAATAGTCACAGAAGCTTCATGTAACAAAGTTGTTACCGAGGGTGTCGAGACTATAGACATGAGATTGAAACTCCAACACCGAGAAATCCAAATTACTAACAAAAACAATACAAATCATAGGTCCGTCAATGTCTCATCTACGATTCCCCAACGAATCCGGCAAGATTGATTGGAGTCGAATATATGATCACCAGGAGATTGTATGAGAAATTGGATGCGGAGGAGAGGAAACTTTGGCATTCGCATGATTATGAGGTGGGTTTGTTTTTTTGGCGTTGCTTTTTTCTTTGGCTTCTATATCTCTTGGTGTTTTTTCCCCTTACACGACTTCGGAATATGTTATCTCTCTCTGTAATTCATCATGACTACGAATCTACTTCTAACACCTGCAAGGTCAAATCCGGAATGCTCATTCTCCCCAACCCCACAGTCCCAGATGCAGTCTGGACCGTAGCAGAAACGGAAGAAATGAAAGAGGTTATTGGGTTGTATGGAAAAACATTTCATTTCTGGCAGACGGATAGGGGCGATGAGTTACCGCTTGGAATGCCGGTTTTGATGGGGAGTTTTACGGCGGATGAGCAGGTATGTTGGGGTTTTTGTTTCTTGGTTGTTGGGAGGGGAGGGGGAGTGAAGAGGAGATAGATAGGTAGAGGGTATTTTGCTACAGAGAAATTTGCTGATCCTATATAATTGAAATCTAGGTACCGTGGGATAAAGTCAAAGAAAGAGATGAGAGATTTGGGGTTGATACGCAGAAGAAGAGAGAAGCGAGAAAGGGGATTGAGAGTGTGGAGATTCATGAGGATGCTGATCAGGTTTGGAAGAAGAAATAAGTTTTGTGTCTTTAAATTCAAAGGATGGAATGTGTTTTTATGGGTAGCTGAGAGACCACGATGTTGTTTGTTGTTGATTGAAAAGTCTATGGTTGCTCTGGATGGATGGATGAATGAATGAATGAATGCTTGATTTGAGGGTGGATATTTGGATTTTTTATACTTGGCACTACGTACCTAGGTAACTATAAAATAGATATAGTATCAAAAAGAAAGAAAAAAAGTGAATGTTTATTATATATTTTCAAAACATCCCTACCTACTTACAAGTTGAGATTTATTTCCTCTCTCCCCAAAGCAAATGCTCCTCCGAGGGGAAAAAAAACTCCAAAAACATATCATCCCGAGTGAACCCGAGATCGCAGAATGCGGCTTCTGTGGATCGAACACAGTGCCTCCAGATTAATGAGCCGAAGTGAACTTCAGTCTGGCGCTCTCCCAAGTGAGCTAAAGCCGCTTGGTGTTGTGTTGATTGTTGACATGTTTCCTGAAAAGAAATATAACTTGCTATTGAAAATCTGTATGCGGGGTCGAGGATGGGGTGGGATATTCATTGGTGGGTGGTGGGACTTTGGTGGGGGAGAGGGGTGGTGGATTTGTGTTGTGTTGTGGGCTTGAGGCTAGAGCTGCTGAGAATTAATTGATTGATTGATTGTAATTTGTGAGGTTGTGCGTGAAGCGGATTTACGAGAATATCAATACGGATTAGACGAGTTGTGGAAGTTGAATAGGGAGAAGGGGTTACTGCTGAGAAGGCAGTATGTGGATTGATGCATAGTTATACATATTTCATATTTCATCTAGGCTTTTTGAGAGAATCAGTGTTTAATTAGACTTTCTGAGTGTATCTAATTTAATCAAATCAAATCTAGAATTTAAAATTTGGAGCTGTTTTGGGGGATTGTGTTGTCTGTTGAAATCTTGCTTGTACGAAAGTAGTTGAAGGGATCTAAGGGTTTCTTATGGATACATTATAGTGCGAGGGGTCGTGAGTTGTGGGTTACTTCTACTTTTATTAGAGGGGCTCGAGGGGATACTTATTAATTATGGAAAAGAAATTTTGAGAATGGAAAATTGTGATGAGCTAGGATTTTGTAGAGTGGATCTTTCGCTCTGATCTTTTCTTAGTTTTTATATTACCAAAATAATTACTGGTTTACAAAGTTTGTAGATAGAATTACCTGTGACTTCCTCTCAAAATATAGATATATAATTAACCTCTCTTGAATCCAAGCGCATACAACCATAGACTAAAGAGAATGTTGCTATCTCTATATTCTATTAAAACTTTCGTCTTTCCTAGAACAATTTTCTAAATCCAGTACAATAATGCTCCCCAGTTCTTCAATTTTCGAATCTAGGTTTCGGATTTTATATTCGGATTATGTAACTTATTCCGGTGCTGGTTTTTGACAATTATTGTTTTTGATTAAAAATAATATAATAAATATATCCTTTTAAATAACGTGGTTTATCATCGAGTAGGCCATATCATCGAGTGAGCCATCATTTTTACATACAAAATTCGTCTATGTATAACCGTACACTTTCTTTATTTATTGATAGAATTTTTTAAAAATTAAAACTATGAAATTTAACTATATAAGTACTACAAAAATCTCATCATTTATTAGAAATTCGAATTAATATAAGAATTATTATTAGGAATATTTTTTTGTAATGAAAATCGTAACAATTTTCACTTTTTTTAATATAAAATAAAAATATTTATATAAAAACTAGATTTTTGGAAAACTAATCTTTTATTATGATTTAATCTTTTTTTCTTTTTCTAAAATAATGATTAGTTATTAAAATACGAATATTCAAAAAGCCTTAATTTTGGTGTATTTTGAAATGGCCCACTCGATGATATAGCCCACTCGATGATAAACCACGTTATATATAATAATTCTATATTCATATGATCTACTAGTAGTAAATCACATGACCAAATCCATGATCACCGCCTATAAGCTTTCGAAAACGATTATAATTATAATTCGAAAACAGACTATAAATAAAGAATATAAAGAGAAGCTTTATTTCGAAGGAATAATCGAATTAGGAAGAGATCTATAAGAGATTGATGAAAGCGGAAAGCTAGATTGAAGTGGAAAAAGTACAAAATAAGAGCTTTTTCTTATTAAATATAAAAATAAGAAAAGTAAATATCGATATACAGATTCAAAAATATCACGTGTTTTTATTGCTTTTTAGTTGTTAACCTGAGCTAGCTTCTTATAATAGACTAATACTAGTTTAGTTATTATAATATTCTATTTATATTAAACACTAATATACTAACTTATGATCTACAATAATAATCAACCTCACTATTTTTTTTAATTTCTAATAATTATTATACTAACTTACTCATTTCTTATACAAATCAGTTAAAAATCAAATTAAATGAAAACTAACTCTTATATTATTATAGCATGAGATATAAATTGATTTTAATGATTATAGATTGAATTGTTTAATTGAAATCTTAAAATCTTGAAAGGTAATCATTTTTTTGATTTCTTGATATCTTTATTCATTTTATTAAAATAATCAAACTTTCCTTATTCTGTTAGAGTAGATACTAGCAATGAATCAACTAGGTGTAATGTAGCACAAAGACTTTTCATTAATTCTTCTAAACTTTATGAAAACTATACAATTTATATATGTGTGCGGACTCCCTTCGATACGCGGTAGGCCCGAGGGCCTACCGTCACGTGCCTAATAGAACCCTATGGTTCACGACCGTGACATATTCTATCAAAACTTTTTAAAACTGTCAAAAATTTGAAAACATTATATAATGAAGAGATACCTTTCATATGATTTAGAGAATTGTTTCTAGCTCCCAAAATTATATATATCTGTAAATACAAATTGTTGTACGTCATTGAAGACCTCTGCTCAGCTCTCAGCTAATGTATAGAATATTGTTACTTGTAATATCATTTCTTCATATTCTAGAGTTCTAATCCTTCTTGATCGAATTATATAGGATCTCTGCAAAGCTAGCAATTGTCGAATTGGGAGCAAGCAGCTGCTGGAATGGGATATCTACCTTGAACTCGGTGAAAATCCAGTTACGAAACTCTGCACCAATCATACTATCCAACCCATAACTTGCAATCGCCCGAGCCTGAGGGTTAATCCATCCTTATCAATCAACACCGTTGAGAGACCTTGTACGAGATGTTCCGATGCATAAATGACCGCCTCTTCCTTGTCTAACGAATTCTCAATTTTGGCAAGGATACTGCTGCTTTTTGTGACGCCATCATTCGCGATTTGGTTTTCCATCTTGACGAGAATTATACTGAGTCGCGGGCCCAGAGGCCATGTTACTTTTGCTCCAGTTGCCGAAATGGCCTAAGCTAGTCGAGAAGGCTTGATTCCTGCGATGATATGATCGGCTTCCAGCTGGTGAGCCATCATAGCAACTTCGAAAGAGGCAAGCATCTCACTTTCATCGATGCCATAAAAGCCTTTTCTGCGAAGAGACGTCTCGATCTCGGGATGATCGGCAACGTATCCAATACTGACGACCATGGGCAAGATGAGTGAAGTGCCGGTGAGGCCTTGTTTCCTTCGATGACGAGCGAGAAAATCAAGGAATGAATTCGCTAAGAGTTTGTTAAAACCTTTTGAAATCTCAGAGTAGGGAGTTGTCTGAATTACCTGCGGCGTAGTTGCTCCTGCCAGCTGAGCCTAGGGTTCCGAAACTGAGCTCGTCATGGCGGAAAAGTCCGACTCGGTCTTGTTTGAGAAGACTTCATGGAGATTTAGACACCCTTTAACCTTTGGTTCTAGGACTTGTTGCCAACTATCAATATCCATGTTTTGAAATAGTTTGTCCTGCATAGGTGCGGTTAGATGGGTGGACATCTCACAAGAATAAGTGTATACATACTTCTAGGACCATTACTGTATGCACAACTCCACGTATTGGGGACTTTGGGTCAATTGAAGCAATCGTCTCCAAAATTTGTGGTTTTGATGCTACATTGGCACGCAACACAACCACATTCATACCACTCGCTTTGAGACCTTCAACCAAAGCTAGAGCTGAAGGACTATCGGTTCCAGAACGGGATAAAAAACAAGGTGCCTCGCGCCCCTTTCAACCATCCACGATGTCAAGCTTCTGCCTGGACCACCGAGAATGAGAAGATATGAAGCGTCGAATCTAAGTTGGAGCCGAGACGGTGTTGGTAGAACCTGCAATGGTGCACAAATTAGTTTATGTAGGAGAGCGGAGGTGTAACGTAACTCTTGTGGCATGCATACCTTGAATAGTGAAGTAGGTTGGTACTCAAGCACCAGTTTGCCATCTCCAAGGTTGTGCGGGAAAGAACTGAAAACTTCGTCGATTTGAGACGGATCCCCGACGGCAAGTGGGCTGACTGCTGATATCTCTTTATTTTCTGCACATTTCCACACATTGTTGGAGCAATCTATAACACCAGTCAGTAATTCAGACCATTGGCGATCAATTTTGCATTGTGCTCACCTTGACAGTATCTCGGACCTCTCTTCATAGAGGTCCTATAGGTCATAAGTAAACAAGCTACAGCCGCGTGCTATGTTCGAGGGGCTTGGTAGCACACTGCCACGTTGCATCCCGAACGTAACTATTTTACCAAAGGGAGCCATTACTCCACTGCACTCCATCAAAATAGCGATATCGTGCAATTGAGAGGTGAAGATAATATCAGGACCTCTACCCCCCGTTAGACGCTGGATTTGGATTGCCACATCTTCAATCTCAGGACGTATGATTTGCTCGCGCGGAAGACCCAAATCAAGAAGTAAGTTGGTGGTGGAATCTACGTTAGTAATGACAATGGCCTTGGCTTGGGTCTTTTTGCATAATTGAATAGCTGCTAGACCAACAGATCCACAGTCGTCAATTATAGCAACAACATCGCCTTTCCCCATGGAAGCAAGGTTGTATAGACCATACATTACTGGGCAAAATGCCGTTGGTATGGTGGCCATGGTATCGAACGGCTCGTTAGCGATCCGTTGAACAAATTGGGCTTTTGTTCGTTGCTTTGTTGAAAGCGTATCGAAGGAAAACGCAACAACCTGATCACCAACTTGGAAACCCGAGGAATTAGAGCCAATTTGGGTGATTATTCCCGATATCTCATGACTGAATGCCGTGGAGTCGCTGGAACCAGAAACAACAAGCGAATCTTGTTCATTTATGCCGACGGCTTTAACTTCAATCTCGATAAAATCGGATGGTAGATTTTGGTGCACTCGTGAATCATCCTGGAAGCAGACCTTTCTTGGATTGATGATATTCGTGGCTTGCTTGTTCCGGGTACACTCTTCGCATTGATTGCTCTAACTGGAGCCAGCCGGCCAATGTAAACGGAGTTGTTGTCAATGAAGTATTCTGTCTCCCCACTTTTTCCAAGAGATTGACGCTCCATTGTATCAAAGGGAACTTTGATAACCATACTATCTGCGCTAATTCCGAAATCGAAACCAAGAGTAGCGAGATCCAGGGGTGACCTCTCTTGTCTCACAGCACCGAACCATCCAAGTGCCATACCGTATTCCGGCTCACACTTGGAAATCAAACTACCACATGTGACCCAGATCAGTGACCGAGCGTTGCCTGTCAAATATTTGATGGTTCCAAGGTCCGCGTCTTGAAGTGCCGCCAAAAGTGGGTTCTCCAATTCAACGAGCATTAACATGCTCATGAGATTGGTCTCCGACAGATTTTAGTGAGCTGGTGTGAACATTCCATCCGTTTTCGATACAAAACTGTTCCACAAAGTGAACAAAAGGTGATGGTTGCGTTTGATATACCTGAGAGAAGGGTCAGTAAAAGAAGCAATATAGACATCAGTACTCACCAAACACACATTTCTGACAAATGATGTGGTATTGTGTCCACTGACCGACACGTGCATATCCTTGTTGACTTTTGATAATACAATCTCTCCCCCATTATGGGATTTGACTGCTGTGCTTAGCTTGCGACTAGATCCCGCCGACTGAAGTGAGTCTTCAACATTACTCAGCGCTAAATATTTTATCAGTTTTGGAACCATTTTAAGCAATAGGGGTTGTTTGAAAAGTCGCACTTACCTTGGTTTGATTCTAGCATAAGTGTTCCAGTCGGATTTAATAACTCATAAAAACGTTCATATAGCTTCGGATATTGCAAAGACGGCTGTAATGGAGTTAGCAGGGTGGTTTAATCAACAATAAATTACAGAAGAAGCTTACATAGGAGCCTACAATGAGGTCCTAAGTATTGGCAACAGTGTCTGCAATTTGAACATTTGAGCTGAGGTCAATTTGTAGACACTTGAATGTATTTGAGTCGTTTGAACTTTCAGAACTTGCAAGAGTAACGTCGGCTGATGAGAGTGCTTCTGTCATAGCGATAGCTATTTCATCATTCAAAGCAAGTATCCTCGTCGATGTATCTTTGTGGAGGTATAAATCAACTAAACCAACTAGGGTAGAGGCCAAAGGCACACCCAATTTGCTTGAGTGCAGATAACTAATATCCTTCTTCAATATAAGTTCGGAATAGGGCTCTCTTCGAACACCGATTTCTTGAAGAATTACTGCTTTGTATAAAAGAGCTCGCACATTGATGACATCTACAAGAAGCTCTCCATCATGGGAGATCAATTGAGAGTTGGCAATGAAAGCTCGATTCCCTCCGTCTGTGATTCAGGAGTGACCAGTAGCTTTAGGATTTCCCAGCTGGTGCGAAGCAGGTTGCCAGATAGTCACCTCATCAAAGTTTATGAGGATGGTACCCGCCGTGGCATCAGCTAGTCTACCGGCAAATCTGGCCACGAGCGGTAATTGCAAGCAGGAATCAAGAGAAGTAGGGTGAATTACATAACGCGATTCTCCAAGTATGAGGCCACAGTCCTGTTTGACGACTAGGTCTGCTGTGGCAGTATGAGTGGCATTGTCTGTGCGAGTATCAAATTTTCTTTGAAATACTTTGCCACAATTAAACGCGAAATCGTGTAGACGTTCAATCCACAACCGGAATGGATAATGGAGAGGTGATTCCGGTGGTGTAACTGGAGCTCGCCCTTGAGATAGTGTTAGCCAACATTCTAAAACCATTTACGCGGCTAATAGCGTAAGGAGTAGCAGACTCGGCAGGCTATGAAAGCTGCAAGACGTTGTCATCTCCATCTCGGCTTTTCTTTCAACCGTCTGAGTGGCAGGGCTTTCGATGGGTGAGTCGGGTCAACAGGTACCCGTACGCTGGGGCCGGTTGGACCGTTGGAATTTGTTTTTCTTGAACTCACATAACCACCTTTCATTAGCGATATATAAAAATGATAAACCAGGTCGCGAGGTTTAATAGTTGGGGGAACTGGATGTTAGATATGGCTGCTGCTTTACTATATCCTTTCAAAAAATGATTGAAGGCTTGAAGGGATGTTAGAACATCTTGAATGTACTCGGCAGTACCGTGTTTAAACAAAAGCTTTGGAAGTTACATCCATTTTGGAATTCCATTAAATCTATGCAAACTAGGTAGGTATATGTTGGTTTGAGAAGGATAAAGGTGACATAGTAGGTACAATGGCAGGTTCTAAATGTCAAATTGTATTCTTTCTTAATAAGAAATAACGAGTTACTAGCTATTGTATACAGATAGTAGGTCGTAAATAAGGGCTACCGAAAGATCTCTTTCGAATTCGCTTAGGCTTAGCACAGTGGCCATTGAATTGAAGTCATTCACCTACCTTCAAACACTATAGCAGCACTGCTTCAAAAATTATGGCTGCGGCGAAGTTAATAAGAAGCAATGCCTATTATATCCATATAGACTATAGCGGCACTGCTTTATGGCTGCGGCGAACTCAATAATCAGTGATCTTAACGTTGCATACACATCTTGTGTATCCCACCATAGGCTCAACCGCTGCGAAGTCAATAACCGGTCTGGCTGCAGTCATCTGAATGATACGGTAGTTTTTTTGTCACAATCTTGGGATTTGTTTTTCCAGTACTACAGTTTACCTAATATATTTTGTTTATATATACTCCCTCTATTTACCTCTAGTTACCGCAAACCAAATATCGACACTTCAACTAAAAAGTACTTCAACGATAACTACATTTCTGCTATCAGTCTACTAAGATTTCAAACAATGTTGGAAAAATTCCATGCTTGTGTCATCATCTACCCCGCTCCAGGAAAAGAAGCCCGAGTTCGCATATTCTTTTCCTTAATGCTATCAAGACTTAGCTATAACAAACAGCAAATACTAACAGAAAGTTAACAAAGCTCAAAGAACTCCTCAAGGAGCTTACTACAAGAGTTAAGGAGGATGAGCCGGGTGCGGTACGCTTTTTACTTTCTTCTCCCTATACTTCTATTTTATGCGTTCTCCTGCTCGAGCCCAGCTTCGAAATGATACATTCTAACATAGAATCGAAATAAGAGAGATTCGAATTTTTCGAACACTTGAACCCCGATACTGGAAGAAATCTTTATGTTCTCCAAGAGATCTGTATGTTCATTTTCGTATCCTAGACTGCCTCTAAGCCATAATTCATCCATATTCACCCCTAGGACACTTCATAAAGACCCAGCTAACGCGGTACATAGGGGAGAACAAAGCCGCACTCGATGCCTACTTTGCAACTTCTGCTTTTATTACTATTGTGATAGAAAAGTTTCCTAATGAGGGGTTGTTTGCTTAGTCCCTCGATATGATGAAAGTTGAGCCTTTTGAAAGATTTGCTTCTCGTTGAAGCAGCCATTCCCTGAGGTCGCTTACCTCTTATTTGTCCCTCCTACGTCTTTCTCTATTTCAAAGAAAAAAGTATAGTGGACAGGAAACGACGATGTAGAGGTAGACATGGAATAAGGCCAATTTTTGAGGCAGTGGATGTGGATTTGGAATGGAGCCATACTTTCATGTATTCTGCTTATGTCGATAGTCCAACTACAGCAGGACCGCAGTGGGGGATGTCACATAGCTTGCCCTGTGGGACGAATATCACGTGACATCTTAGTTCAAGACTAGCTTGAACTAAGACGATTGTTACTATATAAGAGATAAAGAGATCCCTTAAGGATCTCTTTCCTCTTTAGCTTTCTTATTCTAGTTATTTGACCTCTATGAGATACTCTAGTATGTGATCGTGACACCCTGCTCAGTAGCGATCCGTAGTGAGAAGTAATGAGAATCAGAGAACGAAGGTCTATATAACTAAATGGTATTTCCTTAGTATATAGAGCTTCGCGCTCAACCTCGATTACAATATAAAGCTTTGTATTCAAAACAATTATTAGTTTCATACTATAATTACAAGAATTACAAATAATTACAATCTTATTGAATTCCTACTTGAAGTCTAGTCTAAATCACCTCGAGAGATCTCTAAACACTTCCACGTGACTCTAGAGACAGCTCCTATAACAATATTTTGAAATAATTGCTAGAGTGGGTGCAAGGTGACGACTAATATGAATATAGGTATAGGTTTAGAATAAGACTTTTTATTGATCCCTTTAAAACCTCTTTTTGAAGCTATATATATATGAAAATTCTTTAGCATCGGAATAATATCAGCCCGATGCCGGTTCCATATCGATGCCTGTAATAATAATAATAACTAATATTAAACAAAATAATAAAAACAAAGCAATACAATTAGATAATAGAAAATGGACTATAGCAATTATATATAGTAATAGAGAAAGTGAAATTATATACCTATTTTTAATAATTCAAGAATAAATTCATTTTTTTTAATTAATATATCAAAATCGATTTTTCTATAAATTGAATTATTAAATTTATATTTAATAAATAAATAAATAATAAGATAGACTTAGAATAATTAAAACATTTTGATAAGTATATTAAGAACCAAAAAAGGGTAAATATTAAATATTGATATTAAATAAATATAAAAATTATAAATCAGGAGTTTTTCAAGTATATTATAAAAAAAAAAACAATATTATATGCTTGAGTCTATTATTACATTTAAGTTATTTAATTTAATTATTTGATATAGACTATTCTAATAATCTGAAATATTTATATAATGATCAAATTAATGGATTTATTAAGGTATATATTAATTATATTTCAAAGATTGAATTTTTTATAATTTTTAAAACTATATATAAAAAATCAATTATTCCTTAGAATATAAAATTAAAGTTTCGAAAAATAGATTTAATTCTATTTAATTCTAAAATTATATTTTCGAAATTAGATATTCGAATTTATATGTATACCTTTTTCTCTTTCAATTTAAATTAATAAATCTTTTAAATCTTTTGTAATCCAATTGAAGCTTTTTTTTAATCAATATTAATTAAATTTCGAATAATTTATTATTATTCAAACTTTTTTATATCTATATTTGAGATTATATTAGTTTTAGCTAAAAATATTAAGAAATTAGTTTATAAAAATATACTTTTGAATATAAAGATTTGTATATTTCGGAAAACAAATAAAACATTAAATAAATATCGATATATAAAAAAAACTTAAATATATCAAAAAGGAATATTTACCAAACAAAAAACTCTTAATATATTATTTCAACAAAAAATTAATATTCAGATTCAATACAATAAATATTAAAAAGAAAGGAATTCTAATAAAAAAGTATTTTTTATTCAATATTATAATAAATATAAAAAGATAGGGTATATATAATACAAGGATTTATCAAAACAATGTAATAGATTCTAAATTATTAGAATTTTTATAATTTTAATCAATTGATTTAATTGTTGTTGAATAATATAGCTTTAGAATAATATTTGAGGTAAAAATGATCAATCCATTAATATGGCTGACCCACTGTTAAACCACGTTATAATATCTTCATAAAAAGCCTTTACAAAAAGTAAAAGTATATCTCAACGGGCCTAATCCGGGATCGAACCGGAGACCTCTTACAATTTAGATTTAAAACCCAAAGCAAGAATTCTACCACTGAACTATCAGGCCATCAAGCCGTTTTACTGGCTTGTTTTGATGGAGGGCCACACGTTATCTAAACATATATTATTCGACCGGAAAAGTCGATAATTTCCAGGTCTCATAATTATGTAATCCAAACTAAGCAACCACCAGTGGGTGCACGGACTCACGGGACACACGTTTTTTGAAAATAACCTCAAAATATACATAATTAATTCAACTTCAAAATACCACCCAATACATAATTAATTAAATATGAGACTATTCCTACTAATAAAAAATTATATAAAAAATATAATTCATTAAAAAAATCATACTTTTTCAATAAATTCAATTAATACTATACAAAAGAAAGTATATACTCTATTTCTACTTAATTAGATATACCAAACTCTACAAATCATTAATAATTTCAAGAAAGAAATATATTAAGAAAACAAATCTATAAACAAATTTATAAACTCTCAAAGAATCTAAAGGAACCTATATCAATTAATAAAACTACTTGTAAAATACTTATTTCACCTTTTTAAAATAAATTATAAATCAAATTTTATAAAGTAATAATTAAATACTTTAAATTAAAGATTAAATAATACTCTTTATAAAAAAAATTAAAGAGATTTATAAATTAAGATTAATATTACAAAACTATTTATTCACAAAAGTATATTAATAGTTAATAATATAAGAAACATATTATATTTAATAATATATATAAATATAATATTATAAAAGGATTTTGGAAATATATTATATATATAAACAAAATATATATAAATTCTATTTCTATAAAAAAAAAAGATTCTAAAAGAAATTAGAATTTAATATAAGCTAGAAAATATAATAGAATATTTTTTATTAAAGAATAATAAAATCTATTATAAAATATAAATCATTTTCAAAAAAAAAACTGAAAATCTTGAATTCTATTATAATAAAAAGGAATATATAAATAAATCTAAATCTGAATTTAAGTTTAGAATGTATTCCAAAACTGAAAGTTATAGTTTTTATAAAAAGTATATTTATATATAAGAAATTAAAAAACCATATTCTAAGAATATTAAGCTTCAGAATAATATTATAATCTAGAAATATTATATTAAATAATTATTCCTAATTTATATAAAAACAATTGAAAGGCTATAAGCAAAAGATTCTATATATAAATAACTTTTAATAAAAAACAATAATAATTTCTATAGTTTTATTAAATATAATTTTATATAAAAGTTTAGGGATATATATAATATTGAAAATCTATCTCACTCTTCTAATTCATCTAATCTGAATTCAATAAAGAGTATTTGGAATATATTAAAACAATAAGTTTAGAAAAAACAATAAAAAATATTAAATAAATTAAAAAAGATTATATAGAATGAATAGAATAAGATTATATAGAAGGAAATTCAAAAAAAATATATAGAATTATCTAATAGATATAGAATTATAATTAATATAAATGGGAACTGTGTATAATCAAAATTGTGATAGTTATTAGTTATTTAGTTATAATATTATCTCATTTTGGGTTTTTTGAAGCTATACAGACTGTCCCGTGAGTTCGTGCACCCACTGGTGAACCACCAGTAGATGCACAGACTCACGGAACAACATAACAGGAAAGCACAATTTCACACTCAAATTTATCAATTTCAAAATTTAATTAAAATTTCAAATTCCATTTAATATTATTTAAATCAAAATATATAATTTATAAACATAAGATTTATATAATGTATAAAAGTTAAATCTTAAAAATGAATTTGAATTTAAAAATCAAATAATATGTTTTCCTATTAAATTTTTTGGTAGGATATCATATAATCGATTATATAAATTTGAATTTTGTTTTTTTTGAAATAAAACTTTTATAATATAAAATTCTTATACTTGAGAATAATAATTCTTAATTTCAAAGTCAAGTATCAATTTTTTGAATTTTAATTGAATTATTAAAACAGTTCTTTTTGATATGAAATTGTGCTTTTTCTCTTAAATGTCCCGTGAGTCTGTGCACCCACTGGTGAACACAAACTGGTAAATGAGTTAATTGGGTACCTCGAGTCATTATTAACTAGGCTCTTGAGCGTACTGTACTCAAGACATATAGGGATTACTTCTTTTCATAATAATGCTCTTAGACAGAATACAATTTTAATAATCAGAAACGATTATCAAAGGTGCTACGATAACACTGGGAAGCGCGACTCCTTACAGTTCGAGATCTGGACGACTTCCACGTCGTGACTTTAAGACAGCAATTCGGAACAGTCTTGTACAATCCTCAACTTCGAACAAGCTACCTGTCGTATTGATCATCGTATATAAGATCACTGAAACCGCCCTCTGCCACATACGACCATATACTGAAGAGAATTGGGCATCCCGTCCGCTCTGCCATACACAAGCTTCAGATCGGTAGATTAGTAGTTGGGTGGGTGACCACCAGCGAATCCCTACTGTTGTATGTTTTCGTTTTTTTTGACTCTTCTATATGGACGATGTTATAACGTTTTGAATGGAGATGCTGTTTGATATTTTTCGAGGCTCATCGGACTTAAGCGAGAGAAGCGAAAACTTTTCTCTGCCATCGCTGTTTAATATAATCCACTCGAGATGGAGAAAGAAAACCCGGGGGCCTTCAAAAGTTCTTGAATTGGATAGATAGTCCAATACTTCTCGATACCCAGCTACGAGATATGGTACGCAATGTGTGCATTTTAGAATTTTCACTTTTTTGAGTGCCAAGTTATCTTTGCTTATCGACATATTTATCGTTCGATATCTTATCTAATCAATATTTTCGACAGAATCAAACCATATCCACCAGATTCACATTATTTGAAAACAATTCCAGTTCCAATTGCAAAGCCATCCCTCCATCCCTCCCTCTATCCATCCACAAATACATACTCAAAAAAATCCACACACACACACATACCAGTGATACGAAACAAACCCCTCGCTTACCACCCATCCAACCCCACCATGCACATCCATACCCCCTCACTCCCCTCTAACAAATTTTTCCTAAAAAAAAAAACTCTTCACCCCTCCCCCCCACCACCATACCCACACTCACACTCAAAAGAGGAATTTGACCTACGCAGGGATCGAACCTGCAATCTCTTGATATCGACGAATCGTAGTCAAGCGCCTTGCCATTGGGCCAGCAGGCCTGAAGAACTAATGAGAAGTTCTTGACGTTTGTTGAGGGATGGGGATAAACTTTAAGTTTATATTGTAGTTTTGGAATTGGAGGGGAGTGAAAGGAGAGAGAGAGAACGACGGGGGAAGAGTATTTTGATTTTTGGGATGCGAATGGTTTATTTATTTGTTGTATCAATTTTTTGTAATGAGTTGTGTTGCTTACTTGGGGATTATTCGTATCTTACTTCCTTCTTACTGTAGTAGATTTTCCGATAAATTTGAATATAGAAAGCTTATTACCATACATATACTTTGTAATATCATTGATACCTTTATCTAGCCCTTACTGATGCAGGTATTTTTTGCGTTAGCCTCTCCCATCAATCTACTACGTCTCGTTATCATATCCCTCAAGATCTATACACACTCTCTTGTTTCACTACATCTCACTTCTCATCATCAAATCGCATTGCACCAGTAAGATACTCTCAAATGGGTAGGAAGACATTGTATTGTAACTATCCTATTCTATTCCTTTCCCCCGAAAAAAAAGCACAACCACCACCATCCATATACAGTCGACCTGGTACTTGAAAAATAAAATAAGAAAAAACTGCGCTGTTCGCTATTTGCATGCTGCAGGGTTGTCTCAGTTGAAGAAAGAAGAAGAAGAAAAAGATTTACAAAACATATTTTAGGTACAGACAATATAAGAAAAATTTTGACTGCTAAAGTCCAGGTGGTGGTATCTCAACTCGCGCGCTCTCTCTCCCTTTCGCTCTCCCTCTTGTTCTCTTTTGGAACCTGTATCTCTCTCCTCCCTTCTCTTCTCCCCTTACGACGCAATGCAACATAAAACACTAATGCGTGAGAAGAGCCTCCATACGTCATAAAATCCTGCGTGAAGCCTTTTCCTTCTAAGATAAAAAAAATGGAATGATAAGTCAATGAATGCTGATGAGGTATATTACCAAATAATGACTATCAAAGTCATGAGAAAAGTTCGAAAAAAGGAAAATATTCTTATTCAAGAGAGTGACGATTGTGATTATTATTGTCCATAGGTTGACCAATGTCCATGAGCTTCTCGTAGAACTAATTTGCGTTAATGAATATGATCAAAATAAAGAAGAGAAATTGACGTACCACTTAAAGTGTGTCCCTGACCAGCTCGATCCTCACATGCAATTTGCAGCTCACCACCTTCTAAGAAAGCCAGAACAACACTGTTTGGTAATTCTTGCATATCAACATCGGGTATTTCAGGAGCTCTAAATTCACCAAGGTGAAATCTACGTGTTGCTCCTTTGTCATTTCCACCAGCTGTGATAATAAGAAGTCCTTGGGAATCCAAGACCATTGATCTACGCTTCCATAAAAGACTATCAGGAAATTGAACGTTGACATCTCCAAAATCATGAGCAATTGTGGGCGAGGCTGCCAATGATGGAACAAGTGAAGCCTCCGAATCAGGGAAAACGGGGGGCTCTGATTCCTCACGAACTGTAGGTGAGATAGCATGGGCAATAGCTTTGCGACTTGAAGATAATGATGAAGACATACGCTTCATCATACGACTTGCGCGGCCAGACTTTTTGTCCGACTTCTCGTCATTCCCGGAAGACGCTGAGCTAGCCGTTGGTGGTGGAGAGAATTCAGAACGATCAAGACTACGACGACTGCTGACGGAGGATGGACGAGATTTACGAACAGGGGATGTAACATCAGTGGATGAAGATTTTGATGGCGACTTGACAGTCGGAGAGGATGCGAAAGGTTCGATAGTAGAAGAACGCCGACGCTCGGAAAATGAAGAACGACTATCGTTGATGAGGTCTTTGACCATTGCGATAGATGATCGTCTCTCGTTATTAGTAGTTGTGGTAGTTTTAGATGACGTTGATAAACGCCTTTCGGGTGCGGCCTCTTTCTCTTTTGGAGGACTAGAAACCGCCTTCTGGTGATCTATGATCAATGGGGATTCTGTCAATGGCGGAGATGTATAATCTAAAGGATCTTTGCCAGCTTCTGGCTTTTGAGGAAACGGTTGATTAGGATCTCTGACGATGCGAGCGGTTACCTGGACAGTCTCAGGTCGAGATCGAGTCGACTTGAGGTCAGAAACAGGAGTCGGTTTCAACATGGCCACTCTTTTCTGGACAGAGTTTGACCTTTCACGTCCTTTAGCAACTTCTGGTGATCCATCTCTCGATACACTAGGACTTGGTGTATTCTTATTCAAGGAATTTGTTCGTTCGGCAATAGAAGGAGCTCTCGATGGAACAAGTACACTACTTCTTCTAACGGAAAAAAATGCAGGTGACGCAGATGGATTTGGTCCCAGTGTGGATGGCGCTGCAGAAGATTCTGGAGCTAGATTTTGAAACTTCTCAAAGGCTTTAATCCTGTTCGCAACACCAGATCCTACACTAATCTTCTTAGAAACAACGGGTGCCGCAGCAGGTTGCATGCTTAGGCGGTTCAAAAAGTTTGCAGATGCCGAAACAGGTCGAGAAACAGGTCGGTCACCACCAGGCATGGCAGTAAGAGGTGGAGGAATTGGATTGACTGATTGTAATGGACTTGAAACAGTTCTTGAAAACTTGATCTCATTTTGTGTAGGCTGAGGAAACAAAGGACTAATTGGCGATTTGCCCACCGACATAGGCTTTGCATCTTGGATCACTGCAGACTGCAGCTCATCCATAAGTTCGTCATCTGAGGAGAAATTATTCTCAGAGTTAGGGCCACTTATATCGAAACTGGTTCGAATTGGCTCAATGTTATGGATTTTCTTCTTCTGTGATAAATTGTACCCAGGGTCGAAAGGACTATCCTTCAGAGGCTTGTCAACTGTATTGAAAACAGGCTCACTAGCGGAAGTTTGCAAAGGTTCTGCAGACGCTTCAGATTTGGTATTGTGTTCTTCGCCAAGGGGAGAGGTGGCGACCGTGAGGTCATCCTGTATGGTATCTTTGGAGACAGGGTGACTAGAGCTGCTAGCTGGTTCCTCGCTGCCTTGAAGTTGGTCGGGATTGATGCTTTCGTCGTCTGGTTCTGGGCTTTGCAGTGATATTGTTACGGCTGGCTCGTTCCCAGTACTCTCTAATAAAGTACTAGGAGACAATTCTTCAGCCATATTATCTTTCGTCACTACTTTCGTAGAAAGTGCTTCTTGAACGGTCTCATCCGTGGACTCCGAGATAGAAGACGCTCTTGTCGATTCTGCTTTTTCTGAAGGTCCAATGGGTGATACCGGATAGGAATCGGATCTTGTAGCGTCTGAGTCGTCCGTTTTCATAGCGAAGCTTGTATCGAGGGCAATCGCGGATTGATCTGCTTTGGCCATATCAGTTAGCAAAGCCAAGGTATCTTGAATCTCCTGTGGAGCGCCTTGTGGCGTGCCAGGGCTCAGGGCAGAGGGTATCTCGAGATTTCTTGGAGATGTCGAGGAGTTTGGAGAAGTGGGTGGTATTTGCGCAGGCGCACCAGCACTCAATTGCCTCTTTCGCATTTCCATAGCCTTCATGAGTCTTGCCTTCTCTGGCGTAATTGTTGGGACTTTTGCATTGGGGGTGGCAGAATTCGTTGACAATGTTGTTCGAACCGAAACCCCAGAGCTGGTGTTTGGTCGTCCCCCACTTGTATGAGGGCGAGAAGGGAAAAACGTGGGTAGAGTTCCATTTTCAGGAATAGAGGGTGGTGACAAACTCATACTGGGTGGCTCTTCAGACTCCTGCGAGTTCAAACTCGCCCGCCCCTTTTTTGACCCTCCCTTTGTAGATGCTTTCAATCCCTGTGGAAGCGTTGACACTGGACGACAGTTAGGGGCTCCTCCAGATGTAGTAGTTTTGCCAACATCGAGAGAAGGGCGAGGTCCAAGTCTAACTTTAGGTCTGCCGGTAAACTCGTGAGATGTAAGGCTGTACAGGTCAGGTCGTGCGGACTGTGAAGATGTCCGAGGTGCTTCGTCAGTGGTTGCAATAGGTGAGAATGATCCGAATTCAGGTTCACGCGGCTCCCTTGGAGGAGGCGGAGAGGTATCAAGATCGAAGGTCAAAGGTGCTTTAGATCGTGGTGGTGGAGGAGAAGTTTCAAGACTGTTGTCCCCTTCTGCAACCATAGAAGAGAAAGTAAATGAATTTGGCAGATCGGCCGGCAGGGTGGTCGGATCAACTGTTGGCTGGGTGTCCGATATTGAGGTAATAGTTTGTGCAGTAGGGGGGTGCTCCTCCTGAACTGTGGATTGTCTTTTTGTTCTAATATCCTCCTCCTCGTCCTCTGCAATTTCCATTAAACGTCGTCGGCGCAACGAACTCGTCGACGATGAAACGGATCCCGAAGCAGTATGTAGTGAGCAGGCGGCAGACAGGGTCGTATCACGGAGCTCTTTCGCAGTGGTTATTTCGAATATCGTATGATAGGGTGCGAACTTTTCGGTGACAGCATTAAAATGAACAGTGACGCGAGCTATCAGATTATCAGATTGTTAGAATTTAAAATTTAGAATCCCGAAAGTGAAATTTCTTGACCGAGATCAACAACAAGGGAACCCACCTTGAACCAGTCTTGAGCATCCATCTGGCACATATTTGATGACTACGTTCCGTCGCCTGTATCGCAGAAACCCGAACAACGGCGATGGTTCTTCATATTGTCCAATTTTATTTCTTATTTCCACAATTCCCCCATTACCACGACCCATTAATTCTATTTCGTCTCTCGAGGCATACTTAAGAAGGAACCTACACGATGAGTACAATATCAGTCTACTATATCACGGCGCACGCAGAGCAATAAGATACAAGATATTGAACATAAGCATACCATCCTCCGGGCTCAGCTACTGCCGCATCGTATGCTTCCTTGACCTTCGCGTCATCCAAGCCATTCAACGACATTTCCTTGCGAACCTCGTCGAAATTTGTTGTGGATCAGGGTAATTATACCAATCTTCCGGTTTAAACATTCGATTCAGGGGTAATCGTATCTGTACATGATATAATGTAATGCCGCTTCATCTGTCAAATGCGCGATTGGAGGCCCAAATAAATTGGCAGATTCCAAAAAAAGAAGCCAAATCCCCAAAATATCAAAAGCAAGAACAAAAGCAAAGGAAAAGAAAAGAAAATATTGAAGCCGGTCGTGACTCGTCACTGTACAGAAGCAAGGTGTGTGTGTTAAGGGACTGACGGAAGAAGCAAGATGGATTATCGGAAATTATTAATGAATGTTCCAAAAGTTAGAAGATTGGAAAGGAAAGGTACCCAAGTAAGTAAGGTGTTTGTCGAGGGGTCTGCGCTTAATAAATGATTAAGATGCTTCTAGAGAAGATCTTTGACAATTCCTTTTTGAGGCAAGATTCATTGGTGAAGTTTTTTGGACCCCGGAGCCCTTGGAGAGAGGTAGCTATGAGGCTCTCTAGCTATATATCATACTTTTGATATACGCCTCAATATCTAAAAGTATATACATCTAGTAGTGGTATACTAAGTATGTATCTAGTAGCGAGTTTGACGTCGTTGATTAAGATATCGAGATGATCGCTTGAAATGTATCTATTCACAAATACCTCCCTAGGTATCAACATATAACCCCTTTTATTACAGCTGAATGGAAGGGTTGTCTCCCCCGCCTTTTAGATAAGTACCTACCTACAGACAGGTATCTACCCGGTATCTCTCTGGGGATTATTCATGCGATTTGAAAATGTAATCTGTATCTGTTCGTGTTCTGTAACAAGTGTTCGTCCGAACGTGCACAGATGAACCAGATTGACCAATGACTGAATCTAATTGTGTCTACCTGACTGTTCTGTACAGAGAAGCTACAGGTACAAGCCGTCTATATCGACTTGATTGGTAGCTGACGTCCTACTCACGACCCTACTTGCATATCTTCCAAGCCGTCTTGGTTCGATACGAATATGTAGGTCGTTGATAGATACATTTTCTTTTCTATCTTCAACCTAACCAGTACCCAAGTACCTATCTACATTCTACGAAGTACGGAATCATACATCCAAACCCTCACCCTATCAAACCCTAGTAAATCCAAAGCCACCACAAGTTCACAACCCACGTTATTTACACGAGATGACAATTTAGTTGAAGATCTACATCTTGGGTAATTGTTTCATTTCTCACTAGATCCACTTCTCTCTATCTGTCACTTAAATACCTATTTGGACTACTCGTTACTCAGACGGGTCTTTTTTTGTTGCAGGGGCCATGCTACGAACAAAAATCCGGAATCAGGACGATGTCAATCTAGGTACGAAGTACGTCGAATTTCAGATAGGACTTCAGGTTTTACTATTGTTGTTGTACAAGTGTACCAATATTCGAATCATAAATGTTTTTTTGGATGTTGTTGAAATATCTCATCTTGCAGTTTGTATTGATGTGCATTTAATCTTAAAACCTGTGAAATCATGATACAACGACCACGGTAGTAATTTGGTACAAAAAAGAATTGAAAAGTGCTTTCGTTAACAATCACCATCATTTCCACCTTGTCTGGAGTTCTTCCTCATAAGCAACCTCGCTGCGACTCTCCCACTGACTCTCTGGATCAATCCGTGAATCTTGCGGACGGCGATTAATCAACAATCCTGTGAACTTGCATTTCCCAGCGAAATCACACGTGAAGGTCCCTGATAAAGTCTTCTTCTTGTCGTCAAAGGTGATACTCTCCAATCTTTTATCAGAACCGAGTTGAATTTCTCCTTCGCCAGTCTCCTCGCCTCTCCAACGATATGGCCATGTAGGTCTCCGGGCAGTGGGCTTATCGTTGGCTCCAAGAAAAAAGGCGCTCTCTTTGTGCTTACTATTACTCGCAACATTTTGAGAAACATCACTCATCATAACATCTCCATCCTCATCCTCATCTATGGAAGAAGTACTTTCTCGCTTTCTCTTTTTATCAGCATTCTTCAGACTTGACACATCAGTTGGTCTTTCAAATCGCATGATACCCTAGTCGCAAAGTTAGCTAGTGAACAGCAGGCACAAGTATATATTGCAATCATACCTCAACAACTATGAAATTGAACATTGCAAACATTTGATGTCTTCCATTTTTGTTTTCGACATAGATGTCAAGAGTAAGGTCTGAGTCTTTCTCTCCCCATTCTTCCTCAATATCTGGGCACTCGATCACATAAGAACCTCGAACATCCCATAGATCTTCCGACTCGGCGCTTGAATTGGCTCGCGCGCCGCTGGCCGATGTCCGTAATCTTTTTGCAGCTGGCTGTCTGTGAGCATCTTCATCTTCGCCATCTCCCGCGAACAGATCTGAATGAGTGCTAGTACTCCTTGTAGATTTAACAGCCGTCTGTTTTCGGGGGCCTGGAGGAACTGGCCCCGGACGGTCTGGATTCTCGGTATTACTAACGATGAATTGGTCTGAATCAGTGCTAGCACTGCTTGTAGACTTTACAGCCGCCCGTTTTTTAGGGTCTCGAGGGGCTGGCGCCGGACGGCTGGGATTATGTGAATCATTATCGGTGAACAAATTATTATGGGTGGCAGTGCTTTGCACACTTTGTTTAGCTGCCCGTCTTTCCCGTGGTACTGGTAATATTGGGCGTGCTGACTGAGTTTTGATTTCATCAAACACATTGTCGTGCGTTCCTGAACTGGGTACAGATTTCCTTGCTGTTTGTTTTGGTCGACCTCCAGGGGTTTTCTAAGAAGAAACAACTTAGCTCTTATTTATTATAATATATTAAATGTAATATGAAGTATATTTCAACTTCAGTATGGCATAGCAGAAGTCAAAAATACCATACAAAGGACCGGTTTGATGCAGGATTGAAAACATGACACAAAAAAGCCAAGCCATTCCAGTCAAGACGAAAGGCTTTCCCTTTTCACGATGATGCAAATGAGAATTGAATGATACTTATGAGCATTCCTTGAGAATTCCTCTCGAACTCTATTGCTCCGGGATGGGATTATAATTGACCGAAATATTATCGATGATTGGAAGTACCCCCGAAGGAGAATGAGGGGTTGCTAACCGTCCAACCTCAACTCAGAGATTGGATGTCACTGTAAACTTTACCAATTCCGATCATCTGTATGGTACTACCATTTAAAAAGAAATGGTCTTTGTCGCTTGTTTTCTCTTACCTTTGGTGTATTTTCCTTGGGCCGAGTCGCTGCTCGTTCAAGCTCACGCTTCTGATTCAATATAGCATCTGTAATTCTCCCCACAACGACCCACTGGTCTGGAGAAGGCCGTATGTTATCCACCCGAGGGGCATCCACTAACAAAGACTCTAATCCCATCTTATGCGAAGCTTCAGCTAAGGCAGCTTTACGCTCACTCTTGATAATGATAATTTCCGACTTTGCTAGTTCTCCCGTGGCACTTTTCGGAAACGTTTCGTTGAGGTATCTCTCTGGGTTAGCATCAGCCTTCTCCTCGGCAGTCTTCAACTTATCCCAATCGCCATCTCTCGCAAGTTTATTTTGCTTCATGAAATCCTTGTTCAATTGGGACTCTGCGGCCTTGAGCTCTTGATCCATTTCTTTCTTCGCTCCTCCCAACCTCGACTGTAAATCGGCGATGGATCCAGTTTGTTTTAATCCTCTGAATGAACATTGGGCCTTCCACCAACCTGCTGGTTTCGTTCCGATACTATTGCCTAGCTTTTGATCTTTTGGGGGTATCAATTTTTCGACGTGGGGATCGTAAGAATGACCATCTTTGCGTAGACCTTCTCCGCTGCATGTATAGGTGACAGCTTTGAATCTATGTTCAAATGGCGGGATGACAATTGGATGTAGGTCGGTCATGATGGTTACAAATTGACGGGGCTAAGTTTTTGAATGATTCTTGTTGATGGCCTCAGAATGTGCGTCGCATTTATGTAGGACTTCGATATTTTGCCGCGAGAAGATTCGCATAAAGAAGATAAAGGAAATAAAACCAGTGACCATAATTAAAACCAATTGAAACGCCCAAAAATCGATGCTCAAAGAAAGTACAAAGAATGACAAAAATATTAAATTGATGGCTGTTTTGGACGTGGAAGCCAGGGGATTAGAAGTTCCGGCAGCCTGACGTCGTTCGTTGACCAGCCTTGCCGCTAGCGTGATCTCTTAGCGTGGCGGGCACCAAAAAATCATCATCAGGAAATTGAATCCATACTGGCATACCACAAGCCATACAACCCATCCTCCCTTTTCCTACGAACGTAAAATTTAAAACTTCGCAAAGATGGTTGAATTGACAGAAGTTGAGGATGAGTCCTTTGAGCAAAAGCAAGCTGGACCATCTGAGGATGATTACTACACTGATACTGGTTGGTCTTACAATTGACTGCGATTTCATTTACAGTAGCTAATGAACGCCCAACAAAGATTCCGAGATTTCTTCTGACGAAGAGGACAATGTCGCAGATGAGGAGACTCTCGCAGACCGTATAAGTGCCCTGAAAGATATAGTACCAGCATCCACTCGATCATTTATCTCCAGCAAGGTGGATGCAACCACAAGTTGGATCAAATCGGGTTTGATGTTTGGAGGCAAGACTTTGTTCGTTGTGAGCACCAGTGCTTTGTTATTGGGAGTTCCATGGGCATTGGCATTTGTGGAGGAGCAGCAGGTAGTTGAAATGGAGAAGGAGATGAAGATGAGAGAGATGGGTGGAGAGGTGCGTTGCTCAATCCAATCCAATCCAATCGCATTTCAATTTGAATCTTTCATACTGACATGTCTTACAATAGTTACTTTCCTCGGGCACAGATACAGCAGGACAGTTGAACGCTCAACTTGGCGCACAACAAGGAAAGCCAGCATTGTAAGAACGAATCTGCTATGATACGAGATAAAGAAAATGAATCTGAATTGGGAAAGATATGATAGCATTGTACATCAGTGAGTGGCTTTTGGGGTGGGCGCATGATTCAGAAGGTTTACGGCCACAAAACCTGTGTATTTCTAGTTCTTCTCACCTCATGAACAAAGAATTACTGCAGTAAATACTCGAGTACAATTACAAATCCAATTCAATGTCACAGGCAATAGCCAAGGTCCAAATTAAGTTTTTTCTTATTTTGCAGATATTATCGATTTAGCCGCCTCGTCCGCCACTACGCCCAATTATTCAAATAGATTCATACTTTGAAATGTATTTCATTCCCCCTCCATAGTGTCGATTTGTCTTAAAAACACAAATAATATAAAAGCTCATAAAGACATAAGTTTAATTCTCACATCAAAAGAATGATTGTCTGAATTGATATCGGATATCGAGAAGAAATATATTATTCGTATTCGTGCCGCTGGTGGAGGATGTTTGGCCCAAGTGTAATCCTAGCTGATTCATGATAACGGGAACCGCTTTTTGCGGGCACATGGAGACAGCCTATCGAGATTGAGTACTCCAAACTTATTTCTTAATTTGGCTCATGAACCAACCATAGAAGATACCGTAGAGAAAAGAGCCAAACAAGACGCTGGCTTGTTCATATTAAACTAGATATTTGTGTCGTACAGAGTAAAGACTGTCCGAAGATCGATTTCCAAGTCCAGTAACTTGTTTCGCTACGTAGTGCATACCCCCTGTGTTGGAGGCTTAAACAAGGTCCACTTCCCCATGTTATGCGCTTGAGCAACAACTTCTACAATACCAATCTTACCGCTCCAAGTGAATGTCTACTCCGCCTCCCAAAATCACATCTACTCCTCTGGCTTCTTCTTGACCTGTAGATATTTCGCCAACGCCTATCATTACAATACCACAAGTGAATCTCCAACCCTCTTCTTAAGATCACTGCAATTTCTCCGGATTCCTCCAGATCTGCAATTGCTTCAGCAAAGCCTATCATTGTACAACTACAAGTGAATCTTTCAACCCTCATCTTAGAATCGCAACAGTTTCTCTATATTCTTCTTGATTTGCAAAGTTGATTCTGCAAGAATGTCGAGAACGCCTCTATTTCTAAACTTTGCTGGAGATTCAAGCCGCAACCGTCAAATGTCTTGGTTACTGGCAAGTTCATCAAGGAGAAAGGAGAGAAGGTAAACTCAATATTTGAGGATATATATACTCATGCAGATATCTAGCTAAAAATAGGAAAATAGATGGCCTTTAGTACTTAGGTTCTGGAAAGGAAGTATCCATAGTGGTAAGATATATATCAGTCACCTACTTTGAAGAGGAGAGAACGAGACTAATTCATATCTACGCAGAGGTTATCTGGCCTGTTGCCATTCTTTCTGCTATTGCTGCTATAGTCGTATACTTGAACCAACATATCAGCAGCGATGTTACGCTTCCAACCAGTATCGTAAGTACTCTCCAAGAATTGGACATTACTTAGGGCTCTACTGCACGGCTCCTCTTAGTCGTGGCATACCAAAATCAATACTATATCTTCTCAAGTGTATGAAAGATCAATTGTCGGTTGTTTATTCAGCAGTCCAAAATCTACCATTTCAGTTTGAACATTCTGAAACCATGGTTTGAAGCTGATCGTCCATGCATATCGAGGTGAGTGTTCCCATACACGTGATCCTCGCTTATCATACTCAGGTCACGTGTATGAGAGCTCTCAACTGGCATGCTTGATGCTTTGACAGATCAGGAACACACTCGATAGCTAGATTGATTTTGGAAGCTGTACCATTACTAGATGGTGCTGCGTGTATACCAATATAGAGAGACTCAAATAGTGTTCTTAGAATAGAACAAAGTTGAGAAAACGTTTTCTGACTGAGCCAAGGTTCCCTCACTATCCATTGTCGTTGGTCTAGAACTCGTGTTTCGGAATCAAACAGCGTATGCCAGGTTTTGGTCGGGCCGTTCTCACTTTGCAACCCTCACAACCTCAATTCGCTGTCTCACGCGGCACCTCCTTGTACTTGTTCCTGCTCCCGCTCCTCCCGATCATCAATACGATTCATCATTCACACAGAATGAAGGCAGTACGGATAGCTCAGCATATAAAGACTTTGATGGCGGAGTAGACGTAGCCCGGCAGCCAATTTCCAAAGCGCTTGAGGCAAAGACAATCGAAACAGTCAGGATTATGATAGCGATGTTGTATACGGTTAAAAACCACTTGAGAGCAGATTGGGGCGTGGAACTTAGTTCAGGAACTATGATGACTGAAGAAGGTGATTTTTCCTGGCCAGCGGAATATAAGGATCTGCTGCCACAAGGCTTTAAAGGTCATGAGCATATGGGATTGGGTCTTACACTTCAGTTGAGTACCTACGTTGAGAAATTCGTCAACACTGGTTGCAACTTGTAAGTCTACCATTTATCATCGCTTTTTGAGACAATTGAGTTTTTTCTATTCATCCTCTTGTCTTGAACCTTCTAACGTGCACTTTACACAGGAATTGGTTCAACAATAGTGCCTCGGCTCAGATGCTCGCCAAACTCAACGAACTCGTCGCAGCCTACGGCAACATGGAAGTGATTAGACTTGCACCCACTCCCGTTGCGCACTTAATCCATAGCAAACAGACCTTAGCCTTGTTCTGTAGTATATTACCCTTTGCTATGGCTGCAGAGATTGGATGGTGGACAGTTCCCCTCGTCGCATTCGTAGCTTTCGCCCTTTACGGAATTGAAGGAATCGCCCAATGGCACGAAGATCCCTTCGGAACAGACAAGATTGACATCAATATGGATGACCTTGTCGAAGACGCTAGAAGAGAGATCGAAGTAATGTTGGAAGCATGGAAAACCCAGGGACTAGGCGGAAATGGAATTTTCACGCCTAAGTTGAGTACACCATTTACACCACGAGCTGAATATGGTACTCTGGGCTGAGAGAGATGTAAATGAAACCACTGCAGCCCAGACACGATAAAGGGATATGAAATTGGTATGGAACTCATATGAAATTGATATGGTGGCATTGAATTTGTATTTTGGGGGAGGGAGTTTGATATCGATTTTCGCTTGCATGGGTCACGTGAATTGCACTGAAGGTAGAAAACATTTGGAGGTGATTCAACAGCTTTTGCTATTGACCTGGGAGCACTGTCCATTGTTGCAAATTGTTCCAAGCATTCAAAGGTTGATATTCGGGCATTGTTTTGGGGTAGTAGATTTCCTGGTTCGTTGCATCTAGTTTCCGGTAGACAAAGGATGGGTCGGATTAGTTGGAGAGCATTACTTTTTATTTGACAGATCTTAAGGATTCCAATTTCTTTTCGAATGTCATCTAGAAACATTACAATTTGAGGGTTCGAGTTATAGATTTTTTTTGGGGGGGTGGGGGTTACTGGTGATTGTTCAATAACTACATTTGCTTACAGCTGTTTCCCACACTCCCACCTCATAGGCCAACGTTCCGGTGTAGTTTCATTGGTACCTTGGTAATCCTTCAAATTGGGTGAGATTGTGCTAAATTGATGTCCACTCCACGGCTACAAATCATGACAAAGCCACATGCGTCTAGATATCGGCTAACCATTTACGTTGCATTTAAGCGAAGCAATTGCCCAATGAGGAGGCATATTAGTTGATATCAGATAGCGTCATTCCTTACCCGTGTTAATAATCTATGCTGACTTGCATAGCTAGATTCTATATAAAAGATCCATTGCTCTCCCAAGAAACGAGCGGTACTACGAGACATTTCAAGCAAGACAAAATGGCTGGAGAAATAATGCGTGCAATCGGTAAGGAGATAGAAAATGTGTAATTAACTATGATAAGGAATGACATGACTGACGGAATACAGATATCGAGAATGGGAGCGGCCCGATCTCCAGTCTCTTTTTGAACAATGATGTTCCCAAACCCGAACCTTCTATCTCTCAGGCCCTGGTAAAGATCCATTCCTTTGGTCTCAATCGAATGGATTTGATGCAGCGGGAGGGAAAATATAATGTACCCCCACAAGCGGGAAAAATACTGGGTGTGGAGTTTTCCGGGGTGATTGAGAAACTTGGGGATGGGGATATTGGGGATTTCAAAGTTGGCGATGAGGTTTTTGGACTTGCGTATGGTGGTATGATATTTTCTGCGGGTTGTTCTTAGGGATGCTGATGGTTTAACAGGAGCATATGCTGAGTACATCGCATCATCAACAAAAATGCTTATCCACAAGCCGGCTCATATATCTTGGTCCGTGGCTGCTGGAATACCAGAGGTCTGTATTAAATTCTTTACGCAATATGGTATTAACAGGACAACAGACATGGATAACCGCAACCCAAGCTTTACATCTCGTTGGATGTTTTCAATCAGGAGACAACGTTCTCTGGCATGCCGGAGCATCCGCTGTGTCTATTGCTGGAATCCAACTATCCAAAGCCGCTGGGGCCAACAAGATACTCGTCACTGCGGGTTCCGATGAGAAGATCGCTTTCTGCAAGAGCTTAGGCGCAACACATGGCTTCAACTACAATACTGAAAACTGGATCCAAGGAGTTCTAGGTGCAACCAACGGACACGGGGCAGATATAACTGTTGACTTTATTGGGAAGAATTACGCCCAGGGAAACTTTGAAGTCGCAGCTGTGGACGGAAGGATTGTCCAACTCGCCAGTCTTAGTGGATACAAACTCGATGGTTTAGATATCACTCTGCTTGAAAATAAGCGTTTGCGATGGGAGGGAAGTAGACTGAGAAGCAGACCTCTAGATTACCAGGTGAAGTTAAGAGATGTGTTGGTCGAAACTGCCTTACAGAAATTTGCAGATGCTACTTTCAAGGTCCCTATTGAGAGGGTTTTTTCTTGGAGAGATATCAGGGAGGCCCACACATTTATGGAAAGCAATAAGTCGAAGGGAAAAATTATCTGTACGGTGGACTGACGGTATGATTTGATTGGCCGTAATGATATATGGCAGCCTGCATCGAAATGTGATGAATATATGTAGGCAGCAAGGTTCCTTGTTATTTTGACAAAAACAGTCACCGAGTATGAATGAATACAAATTAAATACCTCCAAAAGTTCTTGATTGACTCGCAACGCACTGTTCGTTCTGCGCTTAAACTTCTTCTTCTTCTTCATCTACTTAAATCTTGCACTTTCACAACATCGTAATCTTCACAGACAAATTTCATTAAAATGGGCACTAGTGGAATTATTGTCTTTGTTCTCGGAACACAACGTCGAGCTGTCTATTCGCATTTCGACTCATATTCTTCAAGTCTCGGGCAAGACATAGTTAGATTCATTCTCGGATTGAAGCCGAGCAATTCTCGATAATGCATCAACGACTTCAGGACATCGAACTATACTTATTGTTTGATATCCTTCTATACATTCAACTAACAGATACGTAGTGGGTCAAAGGGACCGTCGAAGTTCCAAAGGATCTTCAACAGAAATATCGCAAGCTGGGCTACTCCAAGCCAAGCGGCGATGAACGAGAGACACAGTGGTATTGGATTCTTCGAGGTGTACAAGGAGGAGATGCGTTGTTGCCAATCTTGAATGGTGATCTTAAGCATTTGGTGGAGGTGGAAGTTGATTTCAACAATCCTTTTGCGGAATATTCGTACTTTCTCGATTTCCAGAAGATGACGTTGGAGACGTGGTGTTGCGACAAGATGGTTCATACAGTGAGCTTTCAGGCGCTGGCAGACTCAGAACAGGATTGTATGCAGGTGCTACAGAAGAAATTGATGGAGGAGGGAGTAAACCAAGCTCGGGGGAGGATCTTATCAGCAAGAGAGCTGTATAAAGAGCAAATATTCTATTCTACCTTACTTCCCGTGCTACATGAGGTCGTTGTACGTGATGGGCAAGACCCACGCCACTTTCGAGGTACAAACAAACTTGTCGGAATAGATTCTTGCCCGACAGCATGTGTAACAATGCTTACTAAACTTCCCATACACTTATTAAGCTGCAACAGAATCCACGTATGAGTAGCAAGTCATATTGAGTGACAGTAAATATCCTGCTCTTCCATATATTTTATGATCGAAGTGTGGTAAACATTGCAAAAAGAGGGGTCGAAATAAAGTGGGGGCAATAGGCAAAATTATAGGTAAAACTCTGCCTATATTTTAGCCCCGTGCACCCCAGACCTCACTTAAAATTCACTTCACGACAGATTCAGTAATGCGACGGAAATGAAAACAGCTGGAGGTAGGTAGATTTTGAAGCCCTCGGACCCAACAAAGCAATTACTATGCAATTTACTTTTGTGTAAGAACTCTTCCCTTGCTTTCGATGTGGAAATACGTCTCAAACAGCCCATAATGCTCCACGATGAATCCAGCATGCAGTTCGCTGCTCCCAACTCCAACTCCGCCGCAAGAGACATACCTAGGTACTCTATGGAAAATCCCAAGTATCAGGGAACAAATGAAGCATCACGCCATCTCTCAGAACCCCTGATAAGCTTCATAATGATCAAATCACTCCTCGAAACGAAGCCAACCAACGAAGCAACAAACAACCAAACGCATACGTTTAATAACCCCGGGTGATTCCTTGTAGCCAACAAGGACATTGCTTTGTAGCTAAGTCGGCCTCATAGTATCACGCAGAAACGGTTGTCATTCGATGCTTCTTTAATTCCACCGTCAGGCGCCTCCAGTTCATTCCCTCTCTGACATATCTTTCTATTCTCTTCGGGACTGGGACAAGATGCGCGTACACATCTTAGAAGTTGATTTGCAATCTCTTTCTCCTCTTCAATCATCTCATCAAGTTTCTGAAGCCGGTTTGAGGAAGGATTCAGTTGAAGATCTTGCGCTATTTCAGACGAGTGTTGTGAATCTTTCAATGGGTTTGAGTCTTTGTGTGCTGTTGTTGCGGCTACGCCTGCTACTGATAACGCACTCTGCAATTGCGTGCTCAAGGGCGCCGACTGCGCTTTCTCTAAGCCCTCTTGCGATATATGTGGGTGCTCACTTAGTATAGATGGTTTGGAACTGTGTTTGGACAAGGCTCGTGCTGATGCTTCCGCCGCCTGCTTCTTGCTCGAGAGGTATTGTTTCAACTTCCTCCGGTGTTCTTTCCTTCGTTGTATTGTAAAGATGCCCCAGTCTATCGCTTTAGTGTCTTTCATAGCCTTGGTACGGCCTCTAGTTACTGCATTCTGCTTTGGTCGCGAACCTTCTCTGAAATTGGTGATCTTTACTGTTTTATCGGAGTTGGAAGGATTGTGCTGCGATACCAATTCTGCTGCTTCATTCTGTCGACTTCGAGTGGCTTCTTTCCTATTATCATGCTCTACTTCTCCAGCGATGCTTTCAGTTTGCTTTGTAGCTTTGCCTTCCTTTTTATTCAGCAAAACGTGTTCATTTGGGAATTCTTGATCTGGCCCTGAAGTCATTGTCAGAGCTCATTCTACTCAATAGTCCCGTACGTGGACCTCTTACAGAATTGATGCCAATAGCATTTATCTGCCATATAGAGCATATTTTCTGTGCCCACTCGCACGTATCCTCTGCTATATTTTCTATAACAAATCTGATAGAGTCGCGTGGCTTGCTTTTTTGTGTATGCGAGGTCGAAACTCTGATTAGCAACCAGCTTTGCTATCATAAATTCGCCGCATGATATATAAACCATAATGAAAGAGTATCTAGTTAAGGTGATATCACCGCGAGCTTCGTTATTGGATTGTATTTCTGCAATGGTGTGTGTAGGTACCTAGGTAGGTAGTTGAGGTGATAAAAATTTGAAGATACCTACCTAATCTTATCGAGAAAAAGGGTGGAGGTGGAGAAAATCCAATAGTGAATCTTCAGTTGGAAAACGGTCAGGATCGGTCACCTTAAAAGAGAGCAAAAGTATAGATGAGGGCGATAATGTTTTTATTATTCTAAGAAAGCTTGCTAATCGACTCAAGAGTCAATTGCAACGCCTCAAGTACATTGGAAGGCCTAATAGGCTTCTCATTTTCACCCTTTAGAAACTCCTGTGTAACTCTAACCGCGATGTACTATTAGGCGTAGAATTACAATCAGGTTGTCTCAAAGCTTCTCAGTAATCCAAGAGCTGTCTTTTTACGTCTTCTCTCAAACCTCAAGTTGCGCCAATTGCTGTAAACCTTCATCTTGGTGATCATCTGCCTCATGGTCCTCAATCTTCTCTCCTCTCTGTTCCATCTGAGCAATCTTATCTTCAATACTCTTGCTCCACGTCTGAGCCTCCTGAACATAGAGCTCAAGACATCTCTGCTGTTGGGCACGATACAATTGGTCATTCATGGCATTCAAGCGTTCGACAGGAATCTGGCTATATGCCCTATAAATGACCTCTTTATCACGCGGAGTCAAGTAACAGTATTGGCGGGGAAAGTGCTCGTGAGGCCCTATATTTCAGTCAGAAGATTATTCAAAGTAGAAAGCGGTAGTGTTTAACATGCAGTGAGTACACCAGAACAACTTATCTGCCATGAAAGTAATGGTGCCTTCACTTGCTCCAGCACATACTCTGGTCATGGTCTGGTAATTACTAGCGTAGTGGCCCAATGCGGCTTCCATGGTGGTGACGGTTGTTCCTTCATGAACCAATCGGTGGACCATGTACTGCTTGAGGGATGGGAGAGACAAGAGTGATTGTGGCATCAGACTGTCTGGTCCAGTTTCCAAGGGAATTGGTGGATCTTGCATGGTTGCGTGCGGCATGTTGAGCAATTCTGACTGAGATGGTTTTGATCTTGATGGTGTTTTTGATATCGAGGTACCGACGTGTCGTTGTTGACACCTTTGACTTGTGTAGAAGCAATCCCAGGGAAACCGTCAAATTCGCATGCAACTTAACAATTAAATAATGGAATCCAAAGATCTCCAATCAAGTTAGGCAGCAGTGAAATAACACACCATATTCTTTCTTCAAATTTGTTGAAATGAGAAACGGGTTGTGCCGTGCAAAAGATCTGATTTACGGCCTGTGAATCACACCCAGACCGCTAAGTAACCATATTCAACTCTCATCCCATCTCTCACCTCATGGAAAAAGCACGGCTCACTCGAAATCTAATTTCCGAGATTTAAATCCGCGCCGGAAATAAAGTACTTTTCTAAACGGACCAACAGATGTGAATGGATTAGGTGGACTTGAGTGGTGACTCTTTGTTCTTGGGCTCCTGGTATCAGATTTGGGAAGGGAAAGTGACTGTGTAGTGAATTGCAATTAGATGTCAAGGTTGGATGTGCCGATCGAGGTTCATTTATAGGAGAAGGTCGTGGATCGGGGTTAGGTTTCTTTAGTTGTTGGGAGGGGGTGTTTGAGGAGGACGAATTTGTTAGTGTTGTGATATGAATGAGATCGATGAGTTCTCTTTGATTGTTCATGTGATTTGATTACAGAGCTCTGGTAAATCTATGAGACGCTGTTGAGAGAAATAGATATACATATGGTCTAATAAAGTATTTTCTATGCATACGAACATTACATCTAGATCTGTATCAAAAAACTCTCCACTTAGTTATTACACGTGAGCTACGGCTGATCAATAGGATTAATGACCAAGTATATTGAGAATTTTAAACCCTAAACCCTAAAATCTAAAATTTAGAATCTAAAATCTATCAAGGAAAAGTAGAAGTTAATGAAATTAAAAAGAAGAATTGAAAGAAATCAAGTGTCAGATTTTCGATTTGATTTTTTTGTACTTAGTTATTAGCACTATTGACCAGCCATATAAGCTCGCTATACTTTAGTTAAAGTGAACATATTTGCTCTATTCTAGAAGATCTCGAAATTTAGTTTCCTTATATTTCTATCCCTCAAAATCCCAAAGCGTAGATCATTCACAGGTTGGAAAGGGACTTCTTAGCAAGTATAATGGGTCAACAATGAAATTTCTGTGAGTAGCACCAATAGCAGATTCATGAGTATGCTTCGTTACAGCTTAAACGACAGAACAATGTATTCTGACATGAGGAGACTTACAATCTAGGAGACTAGATCTTCTTTCGCCTTCTGAGTTGTCCTGGATTTAGGACCGAATTTCCTGATATGCTCCAATCCGATATGCATATCCAGGTCTTTGGATCTATGGCTGTTGTAGATAGGACATCCATTCATATAGCTAGTACTTGCCGAACCTCCTTTTGTGAGACATGTAGAGACAGGTTTAATAGACTGAAACTATGGAGTTATATTCAGATTTGCTACAAGCTTTAAAGACCTCGGTGGATTGACTGCTCTATTCACAACGAAGTTCATATCTTATGTCACTTTCTACCCCATCATGCACATCTTATATCACACCGTCAGAGGGATCAAAGTAAACAGAATTGATTTGATAATTTAGTGAGTTATTAAGAAAGTTCTACCTGTATGAACAAAATCAACTAAATTGCAAATTGTGATGACCGTAGACCCAAATATCGCACTTACTGCTGTGTATGTTCTTGGATTATATTGGCCAATGCAGTAGCAAGCGAATCCTCCAACAACAAACGGGCTATAGGCTTGGTCATACGATTTGTTGTCGCCTTGACGGCAGCTTGCGCCTGTCTGATGGCAATCTCAGCACCACGACCAAGACACCGACGCTCAAACATCTTTATTGTGATTAGTTCACCAGTGTCAGGATCTTTGAAAATTGAATCGGGGAGTAGGAGAGGAGGAAGAGGTGCCAATGACGAGGACGGTGCGGCAGGCGCGGAGTTGGATGTTGCAACAGGATTGGAGAAACCAGGTAAAGCAAGTCGAGCAGCTAAAAGCGATGAAGGGGTTGGGGCCGGAGGCTTGGGTCTGGTGGTTGATACCGAAAATTCATTTGGAGTCTGCGAAGTGCCTAGGCCTCCGGGAACGGCTGAGGTATTGGCAAAGCCCTGAGAGTCTTGTACCAAAGTGTATGGACTTTCGGGATAGACAAAGTCTTTAGGGTAATTTTTGGGTGCTTGTATCTGTGCCGAAGCTGATGTATTTGGAGGCTTGAAATATCCCTCAAAATGATTTTGAGCCAGTTTTTGAAATGGGATTGCCATGAGATCCACTCGTTGTTGACCAGCTCCAGAGACAGGTATTTCGCAGGCAGCTTTAGATGTCTCTGGAGTCTGACTTTTAATTGGCTGGACAGGTTTTGCAGAGCGGCTTGGGGTCCCTAAAGTCTCCAAGATGCTATCAAAGAAATCTGCAGTTAACGCAGGTGCCGGCTCAGCAGATTCTGAAGTGAGAGGTAATTGTCCAATTTGTTGTTGAACAATGTACTCAGGACCGCCAAATTTACCAGGAAACTCTCCATATGCACTAGATAATTGAAATCTATCCCACAAGATCTTCTCAGTCCAGTAATAACAAAAGTCCAAACCAGTCAACGGATATTGAGAAATGACCGAAGCAAGTTCTTTTTGATACTCGCGGTCGAAATCATCTGTCTCAAAGGATGGGTGTATGCTGCAAAGATTCAACAGCATGGACTGATGATGTCTCTGATAATGAGGAGGCCGGACGTAGTAGTTCGACATCTTGGGAAAGTAAAATGTGTCTTGGATGTTGGTGATTGCGTACTCCGAGTTATCTCTGATCACAGACGAGGCTAATTTTTTATTGTAGGCGAGTATGTTCGAGTCTCTGGTTGATTTACCGTGTAGTTTTGTTGCTTGAATGGTGACTTGCTTATGGTCTGGAAATCCATGGAATCGGATAATCCATATATAGTCAAGTGAAAGGAAGCAAGATACGGCTTTTGCTTTGGATCACAGAGGACCCTAAAGATACGTTTTCTCATGGTTTTCATACTGTACAATTGTATTAGATCTATGCTAGATAGTACGATGGAAGATCGGGTTCAGAATCAATTGATCTGGAACTGGCACATTGATAGCCGTACTTTGTGGTTAAAAAACATCAAGGAGTAGCAGTATTTCTGCCTGTGGTCAAAAATGTATCATAAACCCCAGATTTATAGCTTTAAAATCTATCAATGGGGATTGATCGATACCAGGAAGTGTAACTTTCTTGAAGGAGAGAGCATTCTTATTGTTTGACACTTTCCAATAGTACCGGTAATTTGATGAGACTGACAAAAAGGTAAAGGGCCACGACACTTTCTTGTAAATACCTCGTGCCGACTGGTTGTGCTCATTCAAGATTTTTGTTATGATATACATAGTCATTTAAGACGGTTTAGAAGATTCGAGATAGGCTCGAAGATCATCCACAAAGAAAGAAGAGAGATCCGCAACTGCCGAGTCCCAATTGCTCCTTGATAAGTCGTTGAGAAAATTTGTCTCTTCTCTTAAAAAAAGTGCTATATCATCTTCAAAGCATTAAACTTGTGCGATATTAAAGGCTTTTTGGATATCAGATCTTACTAAAGACATCAACATGCTTTGGTGGCAGAGCACAAGAAGAAGCACGTGTACTAAAGCTCAACCATCGAGGTCTACACTTGTCTATAAGCAAAGTTTGAGCCAGAGTAAGCTGTATCGGAATCATGGAAGGTTATTAATCAGTCTAGCAATACCTTTGATTGATGATTGAAGACGGCACTCATTCTTGCTATTTATAGCTTCCCAATTAACGTGTTTTCCTGGAAGAATGGTGATAGACGCAGGTATGAAGGAATCCGTAGGGAAGTCTACCAGTATAAATTCGTCAGGTTTTCAAACTTGCTCTCTTAGAATTGAATACCTGTATCTTATTGTCCGAATTTATATATTCATCTCATATGGGAATGAATTTAAAGACAGAAAGTGCTGTCATAAGAAACCATTCTTACTTTCCAGACTTACCCAACAACTGAACAACTGAGTATTCTCTATTTTTTGGGTATATATTTACAGAACCTCTATGGTCCTCCATTAAATTACACGGCCTGCTGGCCCAATGGCAAGGCGCTTGACTACGATTAAAGGAACCAGTCCTTCAATTCGACATCAAGAGATTGCAGGTTCGATCCCTGCGTAGGTCAGATTTGTTTTGCTTTTTGCATGTGGATGTGATGTGCGGGGCTAAAGCAGGGGATAACGAAGGGATCTTTACATTAGGCGATGTGTAGCGGTTTATTTTTTCCAAATAGTAGTACAGAACCCTGTTAGTTTAGCTAATCTTTTCAAAAGATTTGACCTCATCTGAAGTACGAGCATCTAAGACATAACGTTTAAAAGCGACTACATATTACTAGAGGGGTAAGAGGGAGCAAATCCATGATCATCTCCTACTCTACGATACTACTTGTTGTCTTTATATAAATTCTATAGAAAGATCTGTCAGCTTTGAAATTATCTCAACATGACCACGAAAGACACAAGATGGATGTTCTTGATTGGAGAAAAGAGTGCGTGTGGTATACTGTATAGTTAATTTCCTCGGCTAACGCTTACCTCCTTTATCTATCCTATCACCACATCAAAACTCATAACAAAGAAATATTCATCGCTTTAATGAACATTTTATTTTCAGACATTGAAGTTTTACATATCCTTTTGATACCAATTGGCTTTCGAGAAAAAATAAGAAAAAAAGAGCAAAGTTTGCACATTGGAGCGGGGTAAGTGGGGCACCAGAGGCTCATGCACTGGGACAAGATCAAATTCTGCAAAAGCATGATCTGAAGCAGAAAAATACTGAAACAGCAAGAAATCAAGTTGGTGGAACATTTTATCATTTAGAAATAAAATTATCATGCTGAGGGTTTGACGGAAAGTTGAAATGTTTTCTTTGCACTAGCCTAAACCATATGGTTTATGGTGAGTTATATGGTAATATGAAAGTGTGAAACTAATTACATGATATCTGTTAGGATAATGATACTGATTGAAATAAAAATATAAATCAGGACAAAAATATGAGTTGGGATAACAATGATGTTTTCGACTGCTCGCCCAACTTGCGTTGTACAGAATATCCCTGGAAACTCAAACCTCTTAATTTCTCGATGATGAATCAGACAATGAAAGGAGGTAACAGATCAAAATCCAATTCTAGAGTTCATGGACGATTCTTTGAAAATATGAAGTGACAGTGTCAAGTGCTCAAGCATCAGATCCGTGCCCTAATAAACTTATTTATATGATTATTCATCCAGAGCCGGCGCTACCTCTTGGAAACAATCAGCTTCAGCTCCTACACGAGTTTCGAAAACAATGAAGAACGCAGGACCCTGCTTTGTGCTCCGGTAAATTCATACCTCTATCTCTCATAGTTTCGATATAGTTATGTTTCAGAGTTATAGGGAAACACAATATCAAGAGTATTCTATGTCTCTATATTTCGACTTCGATACTTCAACACCCTCACCATCAAGGTTCTCAACATCGATTCCAGTAACGGCCTCTACATAATATGACTTCAAATCAGCTTTTTGTACCCCTCCGGTATCATATTCCCTGATAGTCGTTTTTGGGCTTGCCTGAGAACTTTCTTGAATATTCGTTCACCTAGCTGAAAGAAACATGATGTGGGCTGAATCTCATCAGACTTCTTCCCCTCTCCATTCCGCAGAGAATTTCAAGTGGAAGTTTCGAATTTATTGTGTAAACCTGCTAGAATCGATTTTACAAATTTTTCATTGGTAGAGTTCCTAGATTTCGAAAATACAGCCTCAGCGTAAGTTTTCCATGAAGACGATGTCTGGTACGAGATGGAAGTTGATAATAGTGCAGTGAAGTATACATATTCAAATAATACCTGTACCATGAGCCTATTTCACATGCTTATACACCATGAAGCCGCAGGAGAAGATGAGGTACGCCCAGAAAATATAGTCAAAATCAAGGCATGCATGCTCATAACAAAATTTTTGATTCCTATTTATCATCGAGCCCATCAAGGTACCCCTAGACGTGATTCAGTCATCACACTTCTATCATCAGGAAGCAAATAAACTTTCAACTTCGTACCTGCCAAGATCCAAACCAGCTCTAAAAATTGTTGAGCGGTACCGGTATTTAGGACAACCAAACTAGATAATGGTTCCGGCAACGAAAACAGCTAGTGTTAGTTTAACAAAAACTTCGCAATCTTACCCAGAGAAATAAAAAAACGAGGGGATTCTTATCAATACCATGGCACATACATATTGGCATAAAAAATTGTATTGATCCCTTGGAATCCCGGCCTTACAAACCCTTCCACTTTGATATTTTCCTACCCCGAGACTCTTATCTCTAAAAATAGGAGAAACGAAAACATCAAAAGGCTAGACGGGATACTGTCCCCAGAAATACTTCCCAGGCTTTTTCTCTAGCTCTAGCTCTAGTTCCGACTCGGCTAGATATGCAGTATGTTTGGCGCAAGACGAATCTCGAGGCAGAAGTCTTGGCGATGGGGTGCATATTTGGCGGGAAGCTAGCGCGGGGTCGTTAGTAGGTTGTTAGTTGCAATTAATCAGGACATCAGTTATGACGCGTGTAAAACGGGCTGACTAGCTGGATAGGCTAATTGATGGTTGCGGGCCTTGGCAGTGGATGAATGGGGTTGAGTATTGGCTTGGTGGTGACTTGAATGAGTGTTGTACATATTTTGGTGTTTGATAAATCTAATGCTAGTCGAAGACGAAGTCACATAGAGATATAGTACATCGGAGAAGCACATCAGATCATTCACCAAGGACCTAAAGAATGAGGTAAGACGTTTGTGTTATTAATTATCCATTCCTTAAACCATTTTATAATCAAATATTTTCAATATCGAATCCTTTCAATCATTAGTATGTACCCATTATTTCATTTTGTAAGTCGATACTTTGTGATTTGATAACCATGCCCCTATTTCCGCGCCCTGTGCCCGTTCATATCTGTCGTATGCAATGGGATCTGTCGACCCAAAAATGCAGTGAGGGGTGTTTTATTTCCATTCCGATATCACCAGTAAAAATCCCTTATTAAATCCGTTGTGACCATAAAATGTATTATCAAGAATAGAAATTGTTTCGTCATATGATGTGCCAGAGGAACTCTACAAGAGAGCAGCAAAGAGACCAATAGCAGCCGCAGCCAAAGAGCCACTGACCTGGTAAGCGTTGGCAGCGCCAGTAAAATCAGCGGGGGCGGATGTTGTGCTGGAATAGGTATCATCCGTTGGGGTGGCAGTGGGAGCCTGAATCTGGCCATCACTTATTTGAGAGACGACTGCACCGGCAAGAGAAGTGCTCGTTTCGAGTGTGGTGGCGCTGGTGGGGGCCTGGATTTGACCATCGGGAATCTGAGAGATGACGGCCGCAGGTACTTCAACACTAGTAGGAGCTTCGGGAATCTGGGAGATGACGGCAGAAGGAGCGGCAGCGCTAGTAGGAGCCTGGATCTGACCATCGGGAATCTGAGAGATGACGGCAGAAGGAGCGGCAGCGCTAGTAGGAGCCTGGATCTGACCATCGGGAATTTGGGACACGACGGCCGAAGGAACTTCAGCACTAGTAGGAGCTTGGATTTGACCATCTGGAATCTGGGAAACGATGGCCGAGGGAGCAGCAGCACTAGTGGGAGCCTGTATTTGACCATCGGGAATCTGAGAGACCACCGCTGAAGGGATAGCAGCCGCGGATGTTGCACCTTGAATTTGTCCATCTGGAATCTGACTGACAGGAGCACCGGTTGGAGATGGTGCGACGGAGGTAGCACCTTGAACCTGGCCATCGCTAATCTGAGTGATTGGAGCACCGCCAGCAGATGTAGGAGCTTGAATTTGTCCGTCACTAATTTGAGAAATTGTAGCGACCGAAGTTGCACCTTGTGGTTGCCCATCTGAAATTTGAGAAACTGCTGCAGATGATAGAGAAGCGATGGCAGTGGCAGTTGCTTGGCCATCAGTCGATTGTCCGACGACGCCAGATCCAGCAGCTGAGCTGCATGCAGATGTTTGGATCAAAATTTGGGAGCATTGTTCGCCCTGCGATTCCGTGTACAAATTATTGAATGTACCTGAGAGGCATCTGTTTAGAATCGGAAAGTCAGTATTGTCTATCAGAGGAATGTCTGAAAGAAAATTGAGGGATAAAGGCTACATGCTGGGAAAGAAGGATTTGTTTAAGGAAGGGGGGAAATGAGGCTTGAGAACCGGGCATAAACCCAGGGATGAAACAATTCTAAGACTTGTGAACTGTTTACGTACTGGTAGAAAACAGCGGATCCTCCAAGAGTGAGAGAGCCGTTTGAACAAACAGACCAACCACCGGTATAGATAGCTCCAGTTTGTGGTGGGCCATCGAATTGGAACTGAGTGTTTGACGCAATGTATCCCGTTCGGTCCTGTTGGTCCTTGAGAATACCATCGTTGAGTGTGACGGCAAGGGATGATGAACAGTCGGCACGCTATAGATGGGTTAGCTAGATCACATCTAAGCATAGATTGAAAGAAATAGAAATATATTCACCTTTTTTTGACGCTTAGCTACACTGCTGACATTTACAGTAGAGATTTGAAAAGCTCCAGAATAGCTAGTGGCACATCCATCAGGGGCAGATGCGGTTGGGGTAATGAGAGCTGTAACCTGAGCATATGCGGCAGATGCCAAACCAGCAACAACAACGAATGTGGTCTTCATATTGAGTTTGATGTAAGAGCGAGTGCGTGTGGAGGAAAAGGACTAATCCAAAAACGAATGAGGATTCTACAGATGATCTGAATAAATGGAATGTAACAATTGTGGTATGAATGGCAGGATTTTGTTGTTTATGTAGTATTCTGAATGACTACTAGCTACTAGTATATAGATACTTAGATACCTAGTGAAAGCAACCAGTCAGAGACGGCGCGGGGCTATTATTTCCAAGACCTTATTGGGATAGGCAGGACAGTAGCGCTGCCCATTACCCAATGGAATATTGACCTTATTGGTTATTGAATCACTTGATACAAAGTTTGACGATTGACAATGTAGAAGTGGTTAAATTTGACCCAAGTATACCTAAGTTACCTTCCGAATCGCTGGATCAATGAGGCACAATACATCACTAGTCTAAACATCTGGTGGTGATTGGTAGCCATTGGCGGGGTAGACAACCATTGAACGCTCTCTCGATCCCAAGTGGTGAATATGCATATTTTGTGGGAATAGCTGTACAAAGCTAGAGGAAGAGGAGACTTTTCTCCATGTGAATACAACCAATACAGAATAAAGATGCTCGGAAAGATATGCATGATCTTCGGGTTTTGTGTGCTATAAGATAAAAGAATGGCAGGACAAGCCTGGGCAGGACAAAAAGCTGGTTGGAAAGTACGTGAAGTCCCGTATAAGCTCGATTGCCCCAAAATATACTTTCCCAATTGTGAAATGATCGCCTCAACAACACGAGTATAATTGGTAGAATTACCGTTTGCATTAGTGTGTTGCGGAGTAATTGAGTTTATACGGTGGTGCTAAGAGGGGTAACATTCGCAATTAGTCTTGGGGATTCAGGACATTTTAACCGGAGAAATAATGCTAGTGCTAGTTGGCAAAACTACTTGCTAATAGCGATATAAAAATAGAATGGATTTCGATGATTCTATGAAGTTGAAAATCGAAGTAGATGCGTATCGTACTATGCAAGGAGAGGAGGGAGAGATACGGCTGGTAGTGGCTTAAGATAGAGGGGTTAGCATCTAAAAGCCACGAGGTATCGACTATGAAGATGTCACTACATCTGTGCGTTACTGGGTGAATGAAGAGACTTTATCCAGATGATCAAAGTTTATCTCTTTGCCAGTTTGTTATTGAAAATTAAGAAAATAAAAAGAAAATTGATTGATGTCGAAAAGTGCGCACTGACATACTCCTTTGTCATATAATACAAAGTTTTTTTTAGCGTTTAGGTACGGAGTAACGTGCCTTGAATACGCACAGTCGTAGGAGCACTGGTGGAAGCTAATCGAGGTTTAGATAAGCTAATAAATATCTACACTGTTGCTACTACGACGAACTTGGAATCTAATCCTGCAAGCATCAACAATAAAATATCTACCTAGGAAGGTATCACGGGTAATTATCTAGCTATTCTCGGTATTCTCGTATTGTAATATGCCCATTGGAATCACAACATCGACAAATTCGACACCAAGAAACAAGAACCTCAAGACGGATTTCCAAGATCCCCGGATTTAGTTCAGCCTCTATCTTTCAATCCATGCTCAACAAAATGCTCGGCGAACATTAGGTCGAAAAATACCTCACAGAATTGATTATATGCACGTCATCATCATCATCATCATCATATCCTACTCAGATCCGCAGTACGACGGATCACAGCACTCTCCTTATCTTTTGTGCTCTCGGACAATTGATCTGTGAAGAATCGAGAGATACGTCGTCAGTACCTTCACTAATTGGTTAGTTCTGTATAACATGCATGCTGTTCCAGATACAACGAGACAGCGACCATGATGAAGACCTTGTTCATTTCAAGTTGTGGCTGTGAGACAAGATCCGACGGCTCTACAAGAACCAGAGATATATCCTCGAATGACATGATACAGATGGTCATATCTCGTTGGTATTGCTCGCTCAACCACCAGGGCGATACATACCTGAGATCAAGCCGACGCCTCTAAACGATCGACAAATGATTGCAATACAAACAGGCTTCAGGACGCTAATGCGGGGTTTGTTGCACACAAAATAGAGCAAGACGAGTACAATTAGCAACACAAGTACATCACAAGAGGCACAGACATCGAAGAATCACAATGACGGGTACATTGCACATACGATCCAAACCTCTTCGCTCGTCAAATGATGTTGAGCCTGAAAGCCCAAAGCACCCGGCAAGATTTCATACATACTCATCAGTCTTATTTGAATTCATTTTAGGGTATCATTTAAGCTAACAATTACATACAATCGCGAACCCTTCGACTCAACACCTCAACCTGGCATTCTATAGTCTATTCATCGACACACTCTGACTCTATCAATTCTATGATATCTCCGTATTCCGATTCCCATCTGCCGACAAGTAAGAAGTTGTTTTCAGACCAGTGCAGCTTGAGGAACATATAAGCGAAAAGGATGTTATTCGAAGAATGGAACAACCTGGCAACATGCACAAAGCTCTTTCTGCGACTGGAGAGTACAGTGAAAGGAAGGGCACAAAAAATATATCTCTTTCCCTGGTTATATTCAGATACAGCGAAGAAAATTTCCTTTTTCTATTTGGTCTCTATGTACAAACTTAAACGAGATATAAAGAGAATACATTTCAGCGGTCCATCTGAAGTCTAATTCAGTGACCTAGCCAATGCTCAAATAAATATATATATTGGGACTTCGAATGATTTGAAAGATATGGATCTGCAAGATTGGATTTGGTACCTTACTGAGTGTGCCCCGAGGATTCTTCAAAAGATTCAGGATAATATTCATCTGATAGCCCTCCAAAATATTGTTTGTCAAGTCTAAGCCAAAGGATCCGGTAAAGTGACTGGTGTATCCGTCCTCAACTTATTTGTAATCAACCCCTCAAAGGTACTACTCCAGCTAACTCTTGGAGTCAATGGATCCAATCCCCAAAGCTCATCCAAGAACCCAATAATACTCGTATGCGTGTACTCGCCTCCCTTGTTCCTTCCCTTCTTCTCCACCACTCCCTTGCCAACCCACGGACTGATTAAAAGCGTCGGAACGCGTACACCCAATCGTTTGAAATCAAATGTCATGTTCTTTCCATCAGGTGCTTTTTCAGTATATGTGAGATCATCTCCAGCCGGTACGTTCGTGGGGGGAGGAACATGGTCACCGAAACCGCCGTGCTCGTCAAACGTGAGGATAAAGAGGGTTTCGTTCCATTGTGGGGACGATCGGATAGCTTCATAAATTCCTTTGATGAAGCTTTCGCCGGAGCTGATAGGTGATGGGGGGTGGTATGACTGATAAGAGCAGCACTCTGGGTTGATATAGGTGAATTGGGGCAGTGTGCCTGCAGCCGCGTCCTCGTAGAATTTTGTCAAAGGGGCAATATTAGTTTTATATGCTCCAGAGCTAAGGGTCCAGTTGTAGAATGCAGCATCTGGGTTAAAACCGAGACCAGGACCGAGGGTGGAGTTCTGGTAGTTCATCCAGGTGATGTCGTTCTCGGAAAGTTGTTCGAAGATGGATTTTACTGGCATACCGTAAACGTTAAAAGCGTTGTCATTTTTGCCGTGTCCATGCGATGTTCCACTCGTGATGTAGGCACGATTGGGATTGGTAGGGCCCGGGACAGCAGCGAACCAGCGGTCGAAAAGAACGAAGTTTTCGGCCATTGTGTTGAAGACCTTGACTTGATCAGGGGTGTAGTAGTTGATGGCTTCGGCGGCACGGGTCTTGTTCAAGGTGCTGTAGGTGATGGATTGTTCTGTCACAAAACCACGCATGCTTTCGGATTGTGATGCAGATGGATGATATGTTGTGAACACTTGTATATGTTAGCGAACGGTACAAGTTGTCTGATAGTCCGGACAAGCAGATTGGAGGTAAGCTTTCATTTTTGAAAGCAATATATCATCCAATCGAATTCAGCAACTCAAAATATTTGAAAAATTTGATTTGCTTCAGATAATAAAAACTTTTGATTACTGAACTGCGGTCCGGACTATCGGGAACGCTAGAGTAGCGATAGAAATAAAGGAGAACCATACGTTGCATGTTAACACCACTTATACTGTGGTTTGGATCGTCTGCTGCAACATCATTGGCACGAGGCCCAGCACACACATCGGCCTTTTGCCCAGGATTTGACGCATTCCTTTCTGTCTATCAATTGAAGTCCAACAATAATTGTAAGCTTTTGGGTAATCTTACATAGAATTGCAATAATTGTGGTGCAATAATCCATCAATAGCTGAGTTGTAGCTAAGCCCACCGGCGAAGGTATCAAACGATCTATTCTCTTCGACGAGAACGACAACATTCTTGATTCGACTTTTCCACGAATGGTCAGTAGTCTCGTGATACTGGACATTCTGGGGAGCAGCCAGAGCAACGCCAGATAAGGCTGCAATCGTTATCACCTCGAGACCGAACATTTTGATACCAATAAAGATATTGTTTGGCATTGATATCAAGTCGTGGAATTGAAGATTCTTGCTGCTTCATATACACTCCCGGCCACCGCCGGCCGTGGGACTGCATTTGATAGCAGAGCACTAAGCACATGCACGTGTAGCCTGTGATAGGACAATGCTACATCATGGATATTGAAGTTGTACAGGAGAATGCAGATGGATATTCCCTCGACCCTGAACTTGCAGATATTTCAGAAAGTAGAACTTTCTACCTTCCTAATTCTTCGATCATCTTGCACATGGTGCAAACTATTGGTCGAATATATACATACGCGAGGACCCTGATGTTACTATTTCTTAATAATAGTTTGCACGGAGAAAGTTTACTTCCTTCGACCTCAATCAACACTGGCTCGACTGGGTCAGATTTCGATATCTGAAAGTTGAAGGTGGGGTAAGCCGTGTTGATCTGCGGATATATGTATCGGCTTTTATCCTTCGCAGCCAGTCGAATTCCGGCAACGAGCACGTGTGGGAATTGAAAGACGAGTAGGAAATAGTGAATTAATAAACACGGGAACCGGCAAAGTAACATACCTCGAAACATCTGTCTCGCTTTCTCTATGCGGCTAGAATCAGAGATGTGAATAACGAGCTTACATAATTCACAATAAACCCCTCTCAGGATAAAGCTTGAAGCTTTGGAACCAAAGTTCCAATCGCTCCGTTATGTCAGCTATATCTCTCTCACACTGATGAGCCATATGTTCAGGCGTGATACTTCGGCAGAAGACTGAACACCTCGTCTTCCGGTCATTTTCGAATTAAACGATACACATGTAGGAAATGTTGAGAGGGGAATGGTGGGTGATGACAGAGCTTTATTAACCAACGAGCTAGAAGAGCACTTTTTGCACTTTTTGCGATAGGTAACAGCTCGAATCTAAGATAAACTGTGCATAATATCTATCACAAACTGATAATACCGGGCATAGGAATCAAGGACATGAACGGGAGAAAGCTCGAAATCTTTCTGGATTCTCGTGTATCACGTGTACACTTCCTGTCGTGATTTCCCCCACTAAAGATACGAGGCTGGGAATACTCCGTGTGTCTCGAGTTGTGTTGTGTTGTTTGCCGACCTCGGGGATTTTCTTATCTCATCAGGGATGGGAGACTTCTTCTACATATCTAAGTATTGACATCGGTCAATTCAAGTGTTACTAACGCGGACTTCGTCATAGACAGCTCTGTCTATGATACTTTGAGGATGTATGGAGGCTAAGTGCTATCATACAATTTTCGAGCCGTAAAGGTATTTGTCAATCGCTAGACATGACCACTAGGTTGATACTATTCTATCAGTTCGAATTTTAACTACAACTCAGATTCCAATATAGCAAATTCTCGCTGTGAGGATATCGGGATCTGTTACTTTTATTAAGGATATACATGTTCTCGTATAGAAATTTCGACTGATATCGACTTAGTAGTATTCTACATTACGAATAGTTTCGATTGAATACTACTGGGTGACAATCTTTCATTGCTCCAGTACAATCAAAATCTTCTCAAAAAAATCATGGTATCGTTTGATATCTAGCTTCCAATGAATTCGGAGAACCCGGTATTTGATATCTTAAGAATATTCCAAATTGACAGGTTTAAGGATATAGGTCTTTCTACGTTCAAAAAGAGGTTTCCCGTAAGAGGTTTTGACTTATTGATATAGCAAGTGCAAGCTTTGATAGATGCTTCTCACCAAAAGTCTTCGGATGAACTTCGTTGTGTAGTATACTTTTGATCCATCCCACCTTGTTACTCATTTATCTTATCTATGCGGGGCAACCTTTTCCAGGATGAACCGCAATCGAGGAATGCCAAAGGAGATATGCAGGAACCCATCATCGTATCTTGGTATTCTTGATCATCTTATCGGTGGGATATTCCAAGACAAATTACTAAGTATTCATGGTTCTCAAAGCAGTATTCCACTTGTATCCCGTTGTTGAGAGTATAAATATCTGCGTTGTTTCTGTCGTTTGGATGAACAGACAAGTATCGTGAGCGATTGGAGGAATTTAACTTGATCAATCTGAGACTATGGCTTTCAGAATGTTGAAATCGGCTGCTTTGACAATGTCCCTGATGAGCATGGCAAATGCTGCCATCTCAATCTCGAAGACCGGAACTACCGTTACTGTTAATGGCATCAGTTATTATGTTGGGATTGACGCGGTTGCAACCATCCAGTCCAAGCCGAGTACAGCAGATTTGGTTCCTTTGACGGTTATGAAAAGTTCAGAAAAGAGTTTCACTGCTGCTTCATTTAAATCATTAGTTGCCAACTACACTGCCTTTGACGATGTTTTCAATCCCGGATTTTTGGAAGGTATGCCGATCTTCCAGCCCCAAATCCAACAATCGTTAACCTAAGTAGCTGTCCATCTTGTTGGTTCTACTAATTCTAGTTCGTTATCAACCGTTTGTCATGAATATGGAACTCAAAAGTTTACCAGCGGTTCACACAATCAAGTGCCTCCAGGGCCATACTTTCTAACACCAAATACAGGCGAGCTCTTCAAGGCTTATCGTCTGTATTCTGATGTACAAGATGCTTTTACTGAAGGAACAATTGAGAACTCGGACGGAACATTTTCTGTTTTGAGTGCATCCATTCCTGGGGTGCAGAGTTCTACTATCGGGGTGCCTTCCAGGCTTTACTATACTAAAACCGCTGAAAAGCCCCTCGCTGGAGTCCGGCTTGGTGTTAAGGATATCTACGATATTGCAGGAATCAAGACCAGCAATGGGAATCGAGCGTATTATGAGCTTTATCCACCAGCAAATGTTACCGGACCAGCTGTCCAGAGTTTGATTGACGCAGGAGCAATTATCGTCGGGAAAATGAAGACATCCCAATTTGCTAATGGGGAAAGTCCAACTGCGGATTGGGTCGACTATCACTGCCCTTTCAACGCCCGTGGTGATGGATACCAATCCCCATCCTCTTCTTCTGCTGGTCCTGGAGCTGGGATTGGTGCCTATGATTGGTTAGACCTTGGCATTGGATCCGATACTGGTGGAAGTATTCGTAATCCATCTCAAGTCAATGGATGTTTCGGTAACAGACCATCCCATGGGATGGTTAGCTTGGATAACGTCATGCCTTTGTCTCCGACTCTTGACACCGCCGGCTTTCTCACCAGAGATCCAATTTTGTGGCACGAAGCTGCTAAAGTCTTGTATGGAAACAACATCACAAGTAACTTCACTGAATTTCCCAAGAGGATCTTGACATCAGGCTTTCCGGAGAATGCCACAACAGAGGCTGAATCAGTCTTACTTGATTTCCTGGCGAAGTTAGAAACGTTTCTTAACTCGACAAGCACGACTGCTCTAGATATGGGGGCTCTATGGAACGAAACAACCCCATCTGGAGCAAATAGCTCATCAATTGACGACTTCCTCAGTCTTGTCTATCCTACCCTCATTACCCAACAACAATACAGTCTTCTTGCCGAACCGTTTTATGCAGATTACGCCGCTGCGAATGATGGCGCCCGTCCTTTCATTGACCCCGTACCATTAAGCAGATGGGCTTGGGGACAAAACAACATCAGTGCTGATGCAACCAAACAAGCCATTTATAACAAAACTATTTTCATGGATTGGTTCGCCGCGGAAGTTGTACCTTCTAGCCCCATCAGCTGTAGTGAAAGTTTGTTTCTCTATCCTGGGACATTAGCAGAAACGTCGTATAGAAATGAATACACCGGGTACGTAGTTTTTTTCTCACATATCTTCATCAAAGCATCTAGTAGTCCGGGCTGTAGTCCATAAATCAGAAACTCAAAACATTCGAAGCCCGGACCCAATTTTTTACTAACCGAGATCAATGAAACAGTCTCCCAGAAGTACCGTCTGGATGGTCTGTCAGCCGCGTCTCCAACTTTGCCGAAGTCCCCGATATGGTGTTCCCAATAGGTCAAGCTGCATACAATTCTACCATATCATTACAAACAGAATATCTACCGGTGGCAATTGACATCATTGCGAGAAAAGGGTGTGATGGGATGATTTTTGAACTGGCGGAACGGTTGTTAGAAGAAGGTATTCTGGTGATTCCCAAAGCAGGGAGTGTAATGTATTGAATTTAGCGATTTAATTTTTGATAGTTATTTAATGTCTATATACCAGTTCGTCGATATTGAAGCTGTTATGTGAAGATTCCAGATTAGAGGCTCATATTGTTGCGGGTAAGTACATATGGTACCCTCTGCAGTCAGTTGCTCAAACGCATTGCCCGGACATCAACACCTCTCGTAAATACTTTGTAGACTATTTGCTTTGCAAAATCTAGGATTCATCTCCACTAAACTTTTCCAGCAATGATTGGTAGCGAGCCATACATTGTATATTCATACAGTCATTATAATCGACTGCGCTATAAACGTTTCCCTTTTATATCGGTACTTCCACTCCCATTCCCAGACACAAGGGCTACCAAAAAAAATGTATGCAACGCACACTCTTAACAGACAAGTCCTTATAGAGAAGGTTCTCCTGTACCGATCTCAGTCGAGGGACGCTTTACACTTTATTTCAGAGCCCATGTGTTTAGGAGCAGAAGTGGGAGTATAGCTATGAGAGGGAAACCCTTCGCGAACCTTCCTCCTTTCCTATCAGTGCTTTATGACGATTCGAATTTATATCATTATCCTAATTTATACCATCTTCCCAACTGTTCGAGTACAACCTGTAGCTAAGAATTGGTAAACCTATATATCAGGCTGGTGTTTGGGCATCTTCTGATAAAAATTTTTTTTGAATGTGACTCGCAGTGATCCAAAGTTTTGAATGGTCTTAACATACATATCATATAACAAAAGATGCCTGATTTAAAGTGTGGAACAATTCGATCTCATTTTTATGTTTCTGCCTAGAAAACAATTTTTAACAAGTCTCTGCCCCTCAAACAATGTGTCTAAGATTTGCCAAGAGGCGACAAAAAGGGTATTTGAAATCCTACCGACCCGCTATACCCCCACAAGTACTCCTGAAGCTACGATCCTCCCAATTCATACAGCGTACGACTAACCAACGCCAATTCGCCGTCCCATAATCCCTTCGTAGTGTATTCTTTAATCGATCTCCATTGCATCATGACCTTCGTGATTCTCGACCTCTTCTGGTCCTATCTCCACCGCGGGAACTTTTTCCAATGAGATTACATTAGGTGTCCAATCCATATCGTCCTCCATAGGACGTTCCCCAATCTGTTGAAGTGCCGTTTCCATCTTGTATCTGGCAGCTTGCATGTCTGTTACACAGAGCTTTTCCCAATCGTATAATTCAGTCCACAGCTTATGAAATTTTAATTGCCTCGAGTGGTCAGAAAGCAGGCTCATGAGGTCCTCGGCTTGTTGTGCCAAGCCACGTAGCTCCTGACTCGAAAAAATATGCCGATGAGTAGCAGAGTTTCGTATTCTAACAGCATTAGCCAGGCATTGGTGAAGAGATTTACCGTGCGAGGTAATGGCTTCTGGTGGGACATTTTCTGGAAGGACCGTTCTCCATGTAGACAGTTCAACCGCTTCCGAGCACGTCCAATTGTTCCTTTGTAGTACGTCTGGAATCCATCGCGACGCAAAAGTATAACACCCCTCCTCCATGATCCGCTGCATCATGCCGAGAATGTAATGTTGTACTTCGTAAGGAAGGCCGAGGTCCGGAGAGGCGTATGCAGGACTCGAGCCATTATACGCATGAGCCATCGGTTTGTGTTGCGAGGCTGGCGTGACCTGAGAAGGGTTAGAAGATAAAGAGAGCATGTCTCTCCAAGCAGATGTGTAAACATACCATTGTCCAAACCTCTTGACGATTTGCTGTTTTTGATCTTCCGGGGTAATCGCGCGGTGCCCATTGACTGGCGCCCAGCCCACCAGAACTCTTCCGTGGCTCATTGTTTGCCAATTTGCCATCCAGAATTATTTCGCGGGTTGTTTCGATTGCCCGGTTCTTACTCATCTCTCTTGAGGTATGCGAGTGGGTAGTAGAGACTGGCGCATTCTCTCGCGCGGGATTCTTATAGCTGGAGCCATTGTAACTCTGGGAGCGATAGCTGCCGGGGGCCCAGATGCTCGTTCTAAGCCCGCTCATCCTTTCCTCACATTCGAAGAACGCCCAGGTGTGTCCTGTTATGTGTGTATTTATTGATTGTAGAGAACAAACTCTTTGATGGTACGTAAATGAGTGTGAGGCGGAAAGAAAGCAAATGACACTGATAAAATATGGAAAAGAACAATTGAATTGGATGCAGTATTTAATTTAATGGGCTCTTTATACAATACTTATTTTTATTAAGATAACGTTAATCATTCTTCAATTCAAAACAAACCAAACTTTCAATACAATAACTTTCCCGTTCTTTTCAATCTAATAATAATAGGAAAGTTATTGGTCGTAGCCAGTACATTTCAAGCATATCCAACTGTACAAAAGCGTCGACCGGAACAATAGATTTTCCGTTATGTTAAGATGACCTGTAAAGCGGTGAGAATTCTGCCCTCGGGTACTTACAATACGCCTAATCGATAAAGACTTTCCTCAAGTTTGTTTCGGACCTGGTTACTATTTGTCGGCTTTGCTCGAACCATCAATTATAATCAACCGCATTGCAAAGCTTATAGCTTGACGTCTATAGTGTAGTCTGGGGTTTATTTCATGCTCTGTTTCAGAATAATTCTTCTCCATCGTCCCTCACCCCCGCCCACCCCCTGAAAATGTACGCGAGCGTGATATATTTCCGGGCTGACGGGATGTCAATATCTTTTTACCAATACAGTATTCTGGGTTTGTGAGGGCCATATCAGTTAAATGGTTGGATATGGTAACACAATTTGCGAGTTAAACTGTCTTGCCGTTAGCATTGCTCAACAATAGAAAGAGAAAGATCGCGCCTATTGCATCCGGAATGTCAATACCACTCTACAAGCGCTAATCCACTTGGGTACTGAAGACAAAGATAATTACGATTCTAGGTGCTTCAATCATTTCGAACAGATTTTCTGCTCAAAAGAACTCTGAGAACTTGGTACATGTATTGCTTAGGAAGTATTCTAACTCTGTGGGACCAATCTGATGCTTCTCTCATCTTCGCAAATATTCGCGACATGGTTATTCTCTCTTGCAAGTGCTCTTACACTCATTCCACTCTCTCTTACATTCCCAACACCACTCAAACAGACATTTGCAAGTCATGTGCAGGCAACCCTCATTCTTTTCAATCACGAATTTACACCTAGGACAATTTCTCCAGCCCTCCTTCTCCGCCAAAGCCTGTACTGCTAGACCCTCTTTATCCTCTTTACAAACTCCAGAATGCTCTCCATTACCGCAAGGTGCGCATGTACGATGCTTGCATGCTTGGCAGATTGCAATGGTTCCGTGTATGTTGGCGGGTGGAATGAATTTAGCACATTCTTTGCTGGAGCAGTAGCGAGGATCCTTGGTATTTTGCTCGAGAACCATCATCTTGTAGGAGCTGATGAAAGGTGCATCGAGCCAGCGAGAAGCGAGGTTGGTTACCACATTCACCTTGCAGCACTTGAATCGTGTCTTGGATGAAAGAGCAGATTGGAAGGCACCTGATTGAGTTAGCATTCATGCAAGAAAAATTGAAACTGGCTACTTACCCGCGATACATTCTCCACAATAAGCGTGTTTGCAGGACAGTACACACATCTTGACCTTTTCTCCCGTCTCCATGCATGACACACAGTCTGCCTGTCTTGCCTTCTTCTCCTTCTCAGCTAGCTCACGTGCCTTTTTTGCATCTGCGACCCGCTGTTTTTCCTTGTCAGCTAACTCACGCGCTTTCTTAGCATCGGCAACGCGCAGCTTTTCTTTCTTCTGGGCTTCTAATTGGATTTTCTTTGTGGCCTCCTCATTTGCTCGGTCCTCTCGGTCCAATTTAGCCGTCTTCTCAACTTGTTGTCGTTGCAATCGCTCTGTCTCAAGCCTCACTTTCTTTTCGGCCTCCTTGCGAGCTGCCCTCTCTTTCTCCAATTCGGCCTTCCGCTCTGCCTCAACAACTTCTCTTGCCTCTCTTCTTTTCCTTGCCTGTCTTTCCCTTTTCTCCTCATCCTCTGAGACTCTTCTGGTCTGCTCCTCTTGTTGATGGACTTCTTGTTCCCATTGAGCTTGAGCGGCCTGCGCTGCAGCTAAGTCCCTTTGAAGCGAAGCGGCCCTTTCTTCATCCCTTCGAAGCAAGATCCTCGCAAGATCCTCTTGCTCACCAAGTCTTCTTTCTTGCTCTTCCCATTCACGTTGTAAAGCGGCAGCGCGACTATCCTCATTCTCCCACTCGGTGGCAATTCTGATAGCTTCCTCCGTTTCCCTCTCAAGGCGTGCGGCCCTTCTTGCGTCAGAAGCAGCTTGCTCTTCTTCAATTTGAGCCTGCAATCTTTGCGCTTCTAGTCTATCTAGTTCAAACTGAGATGGCGAAGGGCTTCGGGTCTCCAGATTGCGTGCAAATCGTAGCTGTAATTGAAGAAGATCATCCTCACGGTCCCATTCAGCTTGAAGTCTCTGAGCCGTGAGTTCGTCAGACGTTAAAATCGAGTTGGAACTAGAAGAACCACCTGAGGTGAGTTTTGACCGTGAGGTACGTGGGCGTGATGAAGACGCTCTGCCCTTGTGGCCTGAAGATTGAGGCTCCATTCGAGATTTCGGCTTTGACTTAATCTCGGGTGTTTTCTCGGATGAAATGTGAGATCGAGACCTGGATGGGGACTGGGATCGGGGTTTTGACCCCGTTGGTGGGACTAAAGGTGGCAAGAGATGCTTGAAATAGCTTTTCATATTCTCAGAAACTTACTCAGTGATCGGGTTGAAGCAGTGAAGGTCTGTAGATCTGTCGGTTTCGTAGAGCAAATTCGAAATCACGATGTTGAGTTCTTTGGTTCCGTTCAAGGGGTGTTGATGTCCAGATCCATGAGAAGAAGGCGACGAATAATCGTTAGATGGTACTGCCGTGTCAGGAAATATCCATTTTCCAATTGAATTGTCGATCTACAGGTCCTCGTTTTCGAACGCGCGCTTCTGTACCGATGTTTTGTTATCACCTGGATTCAAATGCAGGCCAGCTGCAAGTTCTCTCTCTCAGGATAGGTCCTGGCCGGCAGTTCCTGAATCGACGTCTTCACCACGACTCACCCGCTTGTTGAGAGCTGGTGATTATTCTCTCCTTCCAACCTAACAGAAGCCCTACCGCACCAATTCTTTCTTCTTTTCTTCGTTGTACTTGCGAAATTCTAAACAGTTTCGATGTCTTTTGTATTGACGAGGAAATCCAGCCTCGAGTAACGAATGTTTTTGGTGAAGTGTGATGAGATAAGAATTGAGAACGCGATGGAGAACGACTGTTAGGTGGGGAGTGGAGAAATTAGGATTTATGGATAAAGCACATTTTCACAGACTCGATCGAAATTATAAAAACCGGTCTGGGGAGTGGAGAAGCTATCTCGTGGGTGCAGCGAGGCGAGTGTGGAAACCTGTTGTACATGATCTAGAGGAGACAGCAATGCAACGTTCTGTAGATATGATTGGTTGAGACCGACGAATCGGTGTGGACTGACATGGCAGAACCAACAAGGAAGAACATGTGATCTCCACATCGGGCTGGCCTGAATTGACAACAAATCATTTTATGGGGCTTTATAGTGGGTCCTTGAGGGCTAGAAGCCTCAGAAATGGATGGAGCGTGGGAATTGGTGAGGCTGGTATCTGCAAGAAAGTTGACAAATCAATCCGTCGTTTCTTCAGAGAAGGAGAACACTTGGATTGAGTCATATCTTTTTTCGTTTGGGATTGAATTGCACGCGTCGTGGCTGTTGGAAAATACATGGATACTCGAGATACTACAGAGTTCGTGCTTGAGATTGTCATTCTCCACAAAACCAGGGGGGTTCGCTTCTGGGCTTAGCGCGAACCAAACCTTGGCAAGGAACAGCTCCATCACATGATTAAAACTCTTAAAAATTGCTAAACTGGTATATACAAAAATAAAATCATGCTCTGTATCTTCTTACGACCAGGCTGTCTTTGCCATTAACAGATCCTGCATCTGTGGTGCTATTCTTGTCCAACCTCTTGTTGGCGATTGTGATATATAACCAAGCAAAAGCCATTAAAGCAAGAGCCACTAAAGTCATAATAAGGGAATCAGTCATTCCTTCGTGGTAATGTGGTGCCTGACTAGTCCTGAACAACCATGAACTAGCAAATCCACCGACGTTTCCAATACCAATTACGAACCCTGCTGCAATGGCCCTCTGGTATGGAGTAGCCGAGTTGATCATTGGCAAGCTGTATAGGAGAGGTAGTGATACAAAGGTACCTATGCTAACAAAGTATAGACCAAGCATGGAGATATGTGGCGCAGGGGTCTTTGGTTGTCTGAGAATGATGAAACCAATAGCTGTGATAAGGTAACCAATAATGGCAAAGCCGGCACGGTGGTTGAAACGGTCAGCTGCATATGCAGCCAAGAGACAGGCTACACCAGATACGATAAAAATAGGAACGACTTGACCCTGGACTTGTGGTGTGGTGTAGTGAGGATGGAAAGCTTGCACAAAAGAAGCAGCAAAGATGGCGACAGAGTAGGTTGTAGAGCAGGTGAGTACGTAACATGCGGCCCAGATATAGTTGAGACCATTGCTCAAGAAAATCTTCCATTCTGCGACGATTCCGACGGTTGTTGTGCGGGCCTCAACCTCAGTGGCGATGATTTCCTTCTGTTCTTCGCTGAGGAAAGATGCCGTTTCGGGGCGGCTGATGTTGCAAAAGAGACATGCAAAACTGATGGCTAGGGTGAGGCATCCCTCGACAATGAAGACCCTAGGATCAGACGTTAGTTTTTACTCCTCAATCTTTGCATATTATCAAATGAACACAGATGCGGAAGATCCAGTAGTTCAGGCTACAACCCGACAACAAACGGCTTTCAATGTATGAATCCACTTTGAGGATTGTGCTACCCTCACGCATTGTACCGCCTTCAAACACTACATTGTCTTTGAACGTTATACTGCTTTCAGACCTTATGATATCTTTGGGCCATATGTTGCTCTCAATATCATGCTGCCTTCAAACATTCACCATCCCGAGTATTAAGAAATGATTGGACTCACCATCGCCATCCCTTATACCCATTTGAGCTGTGGATATGAGCAATACCAAAAGCTAAAATATTTCCCACAACATTTGAACCGATATTTGCAACCATAAGCATACTAACTCTCCATTGCAGATGCACTGATGGATAGTATAAAGCACAGACGAAGATACATCCGGGAATGAGCCCCGAGTCGAACACTCCTACAAGGAAGCGAGTAGCTAGCAAGGCCGAATAGCTTTGGTCAAACCCCTGGCCCAGAGTGACGAGACCTGTTGATTCAGATTAGATATCGACGCATAGGACAAGACTATGGAGATAGACGTACCTAGAAGAGCAGTCATGAGAGATAGATATCTCATGTATGAGAAGTTGTATTTCCTTTCCAAAAAACGCATGAGGAGATTACTGGGAACCTCAAATAGGATCAGCGGTACCAAGGGAATGGTAACTGAGATGAAAACTTTCATGGCATCCATCTTCAATTCTTTTGGCAAGCCTTGTACCATGGCGGCACCAATATTCGTTCGGCCCATGAGAGACAGAAAGTTCAAGAAGAGCATGGGTGTGAGAAGATAAAGATCAAGTTTCAAAGCGAGCTTCTTATCGAATCGAGAGGGACCAGCAAGTGCCAAATCATGGCTGGTCTCTGTAGCGGAGTGTTTTTCGTCCACTTGAGACACTTCGGCGATTAGTTCTTGTGCCATGTTTTCGTTGAGCAGTGGTACTTGAACAGTAGATGAATAGCCCTTTCTACCAGACAAACAAAGAATAGGGATTTGAAGGGTTGAAGTACAAATCTGATGGAAACAATCTCGGTGAGATGTAGCGATTGGGAATGTAGTATTTATCGCAAGATTCGCCTTGCAACTCAACATGCAAGAACGCCTTTACCGCAATCATCTAGGATTAATTATTGATATTTGTGGAGAATTCCGATGCAGAGTCTGCCTAGACCAACCTGTAACAACCCTTTAGCAAGCATAAATCCAACACTCGTTTCGACATGAGTTTTCGGTAGAAAGAAAAACGAGTCCTGTAGATAAAAGGATATCGGCACATGGACGTTACCCAATCGATTACGGGGTCTTTTCCCGATACAGATTACTCATATGAAGGATGCATATGCAGAATTTATATTCCTTGTCATTCGCTTGAGTCTGCAGCTTGCCCCCGTCGTGACGGGGGTGATCGACATGGGGTATTATTTGGTTACGCGCAAGTGTGTTACCCCCGCGCCCCCCTATCTCTCTAACTCGTATGATTTCGCCATTACTCCGTATACCACTCGTGGTATCACACAGCTAGTGGGGCGTCGATATGGTAAATGAGTTACAATCTTGTTACAACCGAGTCCAGCTCTAAATTTCAAACGCATTCCGAGGCCATGTTTACTCTAGGCCCTCATAGCCCTTGTGGTATGTGGTAGACAGGTGCTAAATTGGAGATAAAATGATTCCCCCTACTATCCCATCTGGAGCCAGCCCTGCCGAAATCTAATCGTCTACATACTTTCGGATTTATCAATCTCTCTTTCTACGATGTAAGATGTTTCAACCTTGATCTTTTGATCAGGGACTTTGTCATCACGGATGATATTCTCCCTGCTATTGCCCGAATGCATAGAATCCATCTCAAGATCGTCGTCGCCAAAGCGTTCGTATTGTGAGCGAGGCTTTGACTTGTCTGTAGTCTGCAAGTGACTACCCAGAGCTCCGAGATTGCGAGATCGAGATTGAGATTGAACCCCCGATTCAATTGTTGTATCACCAAAGCTAATCCCAAATAATCGTTTAAAGAAGTCTTCCATGATCTTCAGAACGGTAGGAATACAGGCTGAGATGATTCCGAAGTTGACTTCAAGCTGAGAGACGAGTATACCGGTTGTAGCACCATCTTCATAAGAATTTGAGTAAGCATTGTCGTCTGTATTGTAATAGTACTGAGATCAACTTACAAGGTATATCGTTGAGATTTTGAGAGGATGTATAAAGACCCTTCAAACGCACACACCCAAGGATGATCTCGCTATTAAAAGGTTAGATATGGTCATATTGTTTATGAGGTAAGTGACGACTTACGCAAGAGCTAATATGGTCATGATCAGTGCTATAGTATATTTTCTCTTATATTGAACATGAGAAAATAGCCACCATGGAAGAGCTGCGACCACTATACTGGCGAAGATATTCAAGCCAGCATGAGTAAACCAGAATGGGGGTTTGTAGAAGCAGTGGGTTTGTCTTAACGAGTGAATCCAATTACTCTTGAAGTCGAGGCCGCATTGAAAGGCTGAAACGATGGAGCAGCTGAGAGAATACGCCGCGATGTATAAAATCATTATCTTGCAACATTTGTTGAAATTCTTCATGTGTGGAGTCGAAATGGCCAAGAGGAGTAGACAAGTAGCAATCTTCGAAAGACCACATCCTGCTTTATAGAATATCTGATAGAGATAAAACATCTATATAGGATTAGAACGTATTGCACAATCACGGATTTTTCGGATGGATGCCAACCTGAAGTGTAGTCTCAAGTTGTGTCTTGCTCAAGAGTTTCGAGTGAAGTCCAAGTCCCCATTCCGCGCCTGATCAACCGCTTAGCGTTTTCCACCAAATATACCACAGAAATACTTACTAACACAAGCAATCACAGTCAAAATGATGGCAAGTACCTTGTAGAAGTGTTAGAATCATCGTATGATATTCTGATTGAGATACTTACAGATGAAGCAACGATTGCTAAGTCGGAGACCAGCATCCAGTATCTGGGTTCACCGAAACTTGGTGTCGAGTTTCCAGGCGAATTGTTATAGCGATATCGACCCCATATTCGCAGACAAACAAAAATCACAACGAAGACCATTGAAATAGTAGCTCCTTCAAGAACGACCGCCCCGCGAGGGTTACTCGCAACCGGGGGACTGGTCGATACATCGACTGTGCTCATTGTGAAGACACTTGCGCGAAAGAAAATACAATCGACAGAAGATCGACCAGCATAGACAATTGCCTAGTAAATCCAGTGGATACTATAAGGCTGCGGGGACGTGAATGAATGATATACTTTATTTTTTGGGCTCACATGTTTTTACAGAAACAATGTAGAACATTTGCTGTAATAATATGCATGGTCAAAATGACTGCTGTGAAAAACTCTACCACTGATAATGACAAGGTATACTGTTCATGTAGGAACGATATGTCGAATGCGCGAGGGACCCATGACATTTAATTCCAAGCCTCGCAAGCCACTAAGCGGCAACCGGTAGTACCTCTGCTATGTATTCCCTTGTGCCGCGAATAGGGAATAACTCGCGAGTGAGTTTTAATGTATCATAAGAATCTTGAAGGCTGATTCCAGCAGCTGGTATCTTTCGATGCATGCTCTACAACAGGGTTAAACTCAGTTCCCGTCGCAGGAATGGAGGGCCTGCATTTGTGTGGGGATTTACCAGCCAGATCATCGTGGTTTCTATATGGCCATAAATCCTTTCGCACTCGGGTAAACCTGAGATCAAAAGGCTGCCTCTACAAAATGATTTTGATTAAATCGTATGACTTCATGAATCTAATTCCGCAAAATCGGACAGAGTCGTGGACAATTGCGCAGTCAAGGTGTCTCATGAACTTAAATTCAACCCGCCCGAGACATACGTGTATAAGTCCCTGGTGATTATATAGTAATGTTTGAAATGGAGATTATCTACTCCTGCATTATTAATTGCTGTGGGGCCAACACCAAGTATGGAATGTTGCATATACCCAGGATCCCAGTCCGATGGTCGAAACCCAGAGTTAAGGACTTTACGGCGTCTTTATAGGGCAGAAAAGCCGGCAGCATCTTGAACTATCAGTGAAAAATGAACTTGGAAATAAAAGCGCAGCTTGCATTGGAATACACGTGGAACAAGTTGCCAGAAGATTTGGAGGAAAACGAGGAAGTAAGTTGTATTTTCAACCATTACGAAGATCATGGCCATTTACCCGTGTCAAGATTACTCGTTGCCTGGGATTCATATCTTGCAGAGAGTGAGCAGGCACACAATAAATGAATTAGTTTATACACCAATCGTAGAGGATACCTACCCAGGGACAACACTCATCAACATTTCAATCCAATCTTAACAGCCAAATGTTCTTCAATGTTATAATTCGAGCCAGATCCTTTGATATTCCGATTTGAATTTAGCGACAGGATGCTAGAGCCTTATCGAATGCTTGCTGAAAATTGAGCTTTGGTTTGTATTGTATTTCGTTCGTATGGAGATAGGCTGCTGAAAGGATTGTTTTGAGGCAAGTCTGTGGCAAAGCCCCAACAATGTCAAACGGAAGGATTTTCTTCGAATTGAGGCAATTTTGTTCGGAAACCGATCTTTGGGCCGTAGGTGGATAAACTCTAGTCCAAGAGGGCACCACAGAATACCCGTCCCCATACAATTTAGGAAGGAGCCGGATCAACTGAAATACCCTGGTGCAGGGAGCAGATTGAGAACAGTGGGGGAGGCGTTCTCATTGTCCTCAAGATGGCTCGCTTCGAGCAAAAACGATCTCTAGTCCGTGCTATAATATTGTACAATAGCTGGGTAGATACTGAGACATTATTTCTGATTCCAATGTTCCCCGGTCACTGTAACAAGGGTGGCACGGGGGCTGCCGTTGAAAGTAGTATTGGCTTATCTGACCATGGTCCAGGGATGTAAGTTAGCTTTCCATTGCGTCGGTACTGCACCACTATTCTGCAATGGCTTTTCCAAGATGGCACAGTGCAGATGTTTGCAACTCTAAACAGAATACACGAAAAAGAAACATCATCGTTAACACAACAAAGTAACCCAATAACGATATAGAGACTACAATTTCCATAAGACTATTCAGTTGTGCTCACGTTCGATACTCAATTTCCGTACTTTTCTAGGATTCGAAAGCACACCTGGGATAATAGCAAGGGCCACTTGCCGGCCTGCTTTCCGCGCTCGCCGCGGTATGGCTGATGGAGTCATTAGGGGTTCGCTGCCGAATAACTGAATTACGGAGTACACTATATTGGTAAGTGGGCCAATTGCTAATGAGAATACTTTACCCGGATGTTCGTTCCCTAAGGCCGCGAAGGGGAACACCTCGGATCAAATCCGTCCACGAAGCTTCTAAAAGCTTAGACACCATCGACCAATGAAACTTAGATCATTTATGTATTTTGCTGAATTAAGCAATTGGACTAGCAATATCCACACACAGGGTTCAATTTGACATCTCCACACCTTTTCCATGTGTCTATTAAATAACCTTAATGGAGCAATAATACATGGGTCAAGTGCCCAATTAACAGATTTTGAGTTATCTGTAATCATATTTCGGACGCAAAATTCATTGGAGCGCATCTTCTTATTGAAACTGGAGGTGGACAAGGTGGAATTCCCAACACAGATGATAATTGTTTCATCTTAAACGGTAGCATTGTAAGAATCAGCCTTCCACAAAAACCTTGCTCTCCGAGCCAATTCCTCGGCGTCAGTTACTCCACCCGAGAAAACAAACCCCTGTTCTCTTGAGTAGTCCACAAGCTTTTGCGCCAAAGGCTTATGCTTACGTTCATATGCAATAGAAGCCTCCATGAGTACTTCGGCAATCTCAGCATTGCTCGCATTCGGGTTGAGGGCATGAATACGGGGATTCAGCTCTTCATGCAGAAAGGTAGTAACGCCAATGAATCCGGTTGCCATCGAGCCTCCGATGTGAGGTAGCATTCCGTTTGCAGAATCACCGAAGCTCGTCATACAAAGACTCTGGTTGGTAAAGGTACCCAAAGTCTGCATGTGAGTCAGTTCAAGGCATACACAACCCCCTGGTTGATCATTAAGCAGCTGTTAAACTGTTAGCTCAAGGAACCACACCATTATTGCCAATGTCCTGAATGCTCACCCTCAGAAATTTCCGAACTCTAGAATTCGCCCCGGGAAAATAAGTAAGTAGCTCATCGGTAGTTGTTACGTAGTTTCTTCCACGCTTTTTCTGAACTTCCTCCATAGAGAATGCCGCAATATTAACGTATTTACCACCATCAATGGGGAAGGTTAATACATGCCAGCCTTTAATACCAAGGAACATAGATGTATCTGTAGTGAACCGCTTTCCAATCTCTGCCTCAATCTTGCTGCTCTCGACTTTTCCTCTGAATGTCACATGGCCTGAGTAAGCGGCAGGTATGTAATCTTCGCCCTGCACGAACTTTCTACACAGAGAATTCATACCATCGCACGCCCATAGAGCGTTTGCGTGATCTTCACCACCATCTTCAAACGTCAGTTTTAGTTCGCCATCAGCGCTTTTCTTTACTGATTTGAGCTTTTTGCCGTACTGGATTGGAGTATCCTTGGGACCGAAAGCATCAAGCATCACCATAAGCTCATCACGTCCAATTCTCCCAAAGACTTCTCCCTCTGGGACACGAATGGTATGCAAGTGATTGTCTTCCTCCCCGCCGTGGTGAAATTCCATCCAAACAGGGTCGGCTAAACATTGGTCGTGTAGTTCCTTGTAGATAGCCGGATTAAGACTGTAAGACCGGGGAGTTAGTATTGACTAACAGGGACCGACTTTTGAAAGAAAATGAGAAAAAAGAAGTGCTGATACAGTATACGGAAGCAAAAGGAGTATATTCAATGAGACAAGACAGCGGAACTTGAAATCGGAAAACAGAAGCCGGTAGAAAAACAAAGGATTTGGTGGACTAAATAAGCTTACCGCTTCGTCGTTGCAAGCGTTTGTGGCCCAATACCATAGCCAAAAGCGGGACGTAAAGGTAATGTTTCGGCTTCGAATTGTGTATACTCAATCCTTGGATGAGCGGCTACACTACTCAGAAGTAGCTTACCAATTGGGCCACTGCCTATCACACTGATTCGAAATTTTGGAGCTTCAGGCATTTTGAAAACAGGAATATACTTAGGTCCTGCAATTTCCAAGATAAAAAAAGATGAGAAGATCTGGTATTAGAATGGGAAAACGGGCACTCTGATTGAAATATGTACGCATATTCCAACGAAGCAGGGGATATCAATCGATATGCTTCCAGCTTCAGAGAAACTAACCCGATTTTATTGGCCAATTTATATGATAACTTATGCTTGCAAAAATGTCAAGGTCATTGACCCTCCCCCATTCTCTCTTGCATTGGCCCACAAATAATACCTGTTCATACTAAATATCAGATCAATGATTGCACAGTAGGTATTGTGCCCCCGGACGATACTCGAAGTCCCTGTATTCGAATTAAAAATGCTACACTCTGTGCTCGAGATGTTCGAGATCTTCTCAGGCCAGAGACTGCTCCGCAAAATTGCAATTGCGATGGGTAATACATGGAATTTGTAAAAAGAGCAGAAAGCGTTCCCCATTTTTGATCTTCATGCTTCATTATCCCGAGATTTTCTAACAGGCGGTATTCTGGTGTATAGAGTAGCTACACCAAAATCTTCAGGCTTATGCGTGTATAATCATCGTATTCTTGAACGACATTCAACTGGGACCGCATGAGAGGATTGAAGTAGTTAATCATATATGAGGGATCATCGACGGGGTGATCGCGACTTTTTACCTTTTCAGCCTGAAAAGACGCGTGGAGAAGGGCTACACCAAGACATAAAACCTCCTAGCTAGAGATTCCATTTCCATAGTATGAAGATGCCGTCCATACGGGTCTATGTGTGGGGAGTTACATCGACGTCACAAGAATATCAAGAATCTCTGAATAGTCGTTGGTGTGTGTCGTGAATTGTTTTTCTTTGCAAGGTGTACTCATTCACGTGATACTCATCCACGTGCCATCCTGCAATAATTCGCATTTCGGCCCATCTCGGTCGCCGTATCCTCGTATCCTCGATCGATGCCTCTCTCTTTCTCTCTCTACATTTCCACACAACACGTCGATTATTGCAATATTGACCTTTGAAATTTGAGACACGATGTTCAATCCTTATCATACAGTCATACATACAGCCGTGTTCTAATAACTCAACCCCCTCTTGAAAACAAGACTCGAGGGTTTATCAGAGGTCAATGAATGCTGTAATTTGGTATCGACTACTTCGCGATATACTTTAGAAATTCTACAGAGTTTTGTCACAAATTGTTCCAAAAGACACTTTAGATGCATGTCCGGAGTCCTTCTGAACTATGCAAGACTAATATAACAGGAGAGGGAAGTTACAAATCGTTATTTCTCAAACAAATCTATCGTCTGTTGTCGCCCGTTATCGTCTCTTGGTGTCGATAAACCTGTTTGAGATCGGGGACACTGCAAATTCTCTCGTGTTGCTAGAATTTTCAGAACCCTCAACAATATTTTCAACCACCAAACAATCGTTCTTGAGCTTTCAAGTTGTTTCTACGCGAAAGGGGGAATATGAAATCCTTTCAATTACAAATTTTATTGGGTGACAACCGCTTGATGATCTTGGAACTTACGAACGCATGGTACTTTTCTAGTTTATACTACTTGACAAAAAGTGTCGAAATATCACCAAAAAGGTACAAGTACACTTTACCTCCGCGATACGAGAAATCTGTTCTGGCTGTGTTCAGTGCTCTTAAGATTTACAAACTTTTCATTAAAAGCCTTACAATAATCTAGGTTTGCGATTCCTTTGTTGATTTGCAGGCGCCTCGGTGGGTACCCGCGTTTAATTCCCTGTGAAAATCACAGTCTTTTTTTTGAATGACTAAAGATTGGAGAGGCGAGACAATTTTGCAAGTAAATCACTCTGACGCAGACATTCAAGGGCAGATAATGATTTTGGTGAAAGCAAATTATCGAGTCCTAGGTAAGCGAAGTACTCGCTTTCGCTCATTTTGTTCCCCTCAGAATGCGCTTCTCCCGAGTTTGGTAAACGATTTGTGAGATAGATTGTCAGCGAAGTACCTTCCCCCACTAATGCCATGATAGGCATCCCCTCAAATCTGAAATCACAATTCAGAGTTACCTGGAGGATACAAACCTATTACTCAGACGCCGCCTAATGGTAAACGCAACTCCAACATTTTGAGATAGTATGCTGCGCGGCTACCAGTCAATCCCATCGTCTTGGCGGGGTAGGTGGAATACAAAAGTAATGGTTGCCCTTTGTTGGAGCTAAGCAGTACTTTCATAATCAAGCTCCTTCGGTCAAAATTCAACGAGACCATCCCAGCCCAATATGGAGTCTTCACGATCAGGGGTTGTATCGTCTAAAGAAATGTTACCGCTCACCACATTCGATTCAGCAGCTCAAGACGAGAATAAGGCAGCAGCCAGTAAATCTGAAAGCATGTCTCTGAAACTCGCAATCCAATACCTGGCAGTGGTGATATTACTGAACATGATTCTGTATAATACGATTCGATACTCCTCGGGGGAGGCTACGAACTTCGGTGATTGCTCCCATGAGAGCGCTACTTTGGATCCCTCGAGATTTACGAATGATCTAGGCAAGCTTTCATCAGACTCAAATTTCGGATACAGGAACCATGGAAATGACCACACGTCGGCATGGTCGCCTGAAGCAGCAGGTGCTTACACTAAAAAGACATCTGTGTCATTCAGCGATGTCACCGCTATCTGTGCCAATTACTCTGAGGAGAACTCCCCTTCCCGTTGTACGACAAACACCATTTCGTCTGTAATACTACTCAGCAGCTCTATACTTTCCCTTCGATCAGAGCTTATCAATTTTACCACTCCCCACCTTTCGAATGAACGACCGCTGAATCCCAACTTTGAGTCTCCAGGTCTACTGGACATGATGCACCTTAATCCTTCAGAATTTCCGAAAGCTGTACCATACTATGTTACCCATACTCTCGGTTCTCCTGTTCACCATGTAGGGTATTATTGTCCCCTCTCATCCCCATGCACCAACCCAGTATTCAGCATCTCCACTCATGAAGATATTCCCATGCTCTTCACATTCCTCCCTTCTATCCTCGATACCAACACGGAAGTTCTCAAGTTTGGTTTCGGAAATGCGACAGGCTACCACTTTTCTACTAATAATTTTGCGAACGGTGGCTTTGATATACTGTTTGGAAAAGCGAGGTCTCCTTTGCTTGATCCTAAAAACGATTACTCTCAGATGAAACAAGACGTACATCGCCTTCTTAATGACGAGCTTAAATTAAATGGTCTCTTTTTCAATGTCCACACTCATGACTCTAGGGAGAAAGGGCTTCGTGGGGCAGTAATCCCTTGGACCGGCAGTGAGAGAAGCGACATAGAGCGAATGGAGACGGTCGTGACGTCGGAACAAAAAATGACTACTTGTGCTGCGGCTATAGTACTACGGCATCTTAAGAGAGTAGAATTATGGATTCTGGGAGGTTCTTGTTTGGGATTGGCTGGCTCAGTATTACTTTTGTCGCTGTTTTCTTGGTGGCTCGAGAACAGACAAGGAAGGATTCGTTTATAATTGAAGGGTAAATTCCACGGCGTTTGGTAGATTAAGGAGTTGGGGAAAAATCATTTGAGGAAATGAGTGTTTCAATGCACAGGGACCTGGTATAGAGTAGACATCGGGATGTCGTAATACCCTGCCTGAGTCGTAGTCAGATTTGATGAATTAGATACCAATTCAATGTATATTCCTAGTGCTACCATCCCATTTCATTCTTGAGATACATAATCGTTGACTAAGGGCTCGTTTGATTACAAAATCCGCGCTGAATCCACTGAAATAATCCGTTCTTTATATCACCACGGATTCCGTAGTAGTAGTAATCCATTTTAAAAAGAATAAATTATTGATTTGTAGTTTTATAATTTATATATTAAATCTACTAAATAATCTATAGTTTTTCTAAAATATTTAATTTAAATTTTAATTTAATATTAAAAATCTATATTTAATATTAGGAATTATATAAAAAGTTTTTATAAATAATAATTTTGAAAAAGTATTTAAAATTATAAAAAAAATATATTTGATTTTATTTTTTCTTTTTCTTTTCTTTTAAAAAAAAAACCTATTTTAAAGTATTTTTAAAGCTATTTTTATAATTATTTAATAGCTAATAATATAATTATTATTTAGAATATCTCAAAATATTTAGAAAATCGAAATTATTAATAATAATAATAATCAAAGTTTATATTTATATAAAAAAAAGATAAAAGTCTTTAAAATAAAACTTAAAGTTTTTTTTTTCTAATTTATTATTCTAAATAAAATCTAAATCTATAGCAAAAATAAGTGAATTTTAAAGTCAATTTCGAAATTATAATATCTTTTCTTTTTTTTTTTTAAAGATTTATTATTTAATTCCTTTTATAATAATAATATTATTTTTAATCAAAAAAAGATATCTTTTTCAAAAAAGAAAAGTTATATATAAATATTTTATTCAAATAAACTTATTTCAATTATATTAATTTTATAATATATAATAGGATTCCAAAGCTAATAAAATACTCTCTACAAATACTAATATAAATAATAATAAAAATAATAATAATAAAAGAAATAATAATAATAATTATATTATTAATCAAAATTCAAAATATAATATTTATAGTAATTTAGAGAGTAAAGAAAGCCTTTTTATTAATATTATTGAAAAAGAGAATAAATTAGTGAATTTGGAAATTGAAATTGAAGATATTTCAAAGAAATCTATAAATTAGTTTAATAAAAATCCTATAAAAAGTTTCTTTTAAGTTTAATACAAATTCATTTACAAAAAACTAATTAATAATTAGATTAATTTATTGAATAAAGAACTCTTTATTATAATCAATTTGTATAAACTATTTCTTTAAAGTATTAATCAAATATTAATAATATTGAGAATTTAATTAATAATCAAATTAAAAAGAAAATTATATTAATATAAATCTTCTTTTTTTATATTATTTATTTAATTTAATTGATTTTATTTAGATTAAGGGATATTATATAAAGTATCAATATCTTTTTAATTTATCTAATTGGGATATTAGATTTAATAAAAAGATAGATATTATATAATCTTATATATTTAATTATTTATAGAAAACATTTCTATAAATAAATAAAACTAATAATCGAAAATATTATTAATATTAGAATTATTATATAAAAAGCTAATTAATTCTTCAATTTCTATTTGAAATTTGTATAACTAATAATAAATTTGTATATTACTCTATAGTTTTAATATAATTAATAATTATTTTGTTAAATAAAGAGAATAATCTTATTGATTTAATTCGCTTATATCTCTTTCAAATAAAAGTATTAAAAAATGAAATAAATATAGTTTTGGAATATATAAAATAAGAGATTTATATTCTTAAAATATATTTTATTATTAATTGATTTAAAATTAGAAATGGAATAATATAAACAATCTATTGTAACTATATATTATCAAAAAGATTTCGAAAAACTATTTTTTTCTGAAATTATAGATAATTTATTTTATATAAATAAATTTTTAAAAGATTTTAATAAATCAAGAAATTATTTTAGTATTTTATATATTCAAATCAATAATCTATTGCCCCTTTGGTATTAAATATATTATATAATTATACAAAACTACTCTAGCAAATATAAGGTTTTAAGAGCTGATATAGCTTTTAAGTTTATTGATTTCTTATAATATCCAATATCTAATATATATCAATTTTATAGTAAGCTACTAATATTTATACATATAGATCTATTTTAAGCAGAGTTTGTGGATAAGATTTATAGAGAATTTAAAAAGTAATATAAAAAGAAAGAAAAGGAAATTTATATATTATTTGTTTTTTTTATAATAAGCTATAAATAAAGAATAGCTTTTAAATTCTAATAACTTTTGATTTAATAATTCTATTTTCTTTATTATATATTTTTATTAATATAATCTTTATATTTATTTAATTAAATATTAATATTATATCTCTTAATATTATTATCTTATTTAATATTAATAATATATAAATATCTTCAATATCTATTCACTAATTGAGGGTATATAAAATGAATAAAATAAGTATGTAGAATTAGATAAATAAGAAATGGTTAATAAGAAATAACTAATGAGAAATAATTAGTGAGAAAATAGTAAAGTTTAATTTTTTAAAGTATAATATTTATTAATAATAAGGGTTGCTAGCTTTATTATTCTTTAAAGAAAAATATTATTAATATCTTTAATAATTTATTTCTTTATATAAAATATATAATATTATAATATTATAAATTAAATCAATAATCTATTTAATTAATAAATAAAAAAAATAAAAAATATATTTTCGAAATAAGTAATTATAAAGAATTCAGTTGTCTTTTGAATTATTATAAGAATAGTAATATTTCATTTCTAATATTTCTCTATATATATAAATTAATCTAAAATCTTTTTAACTAAATATTGAAAAAGGACTTTTTTCAAAAGCAATTCAATCGATTTTTGATATTTTTTAATTTCTTGTAATATAATAATTATATCTAATTAATAAAAAAGAAGTTTAGAATAAAAATATATTTATTTATTTTCTATTTTCTATTAATAAGTTTTTTTAGTAATTTCTATTTTTCCTTTTTTAGACTACTTTTTTGTATTTTGAACTTTTACTTTTAAAACTTTCTTTACACTTTTATTTTTAAAAAAAGATAATCTTTTATCTATATTTAGTTTTTATTTATTTATTAATTTTTTTCCGAAATTAATATATAACATAACTTCCTTATATAATATATTTATAATTTATATTACAAATATAAGATTATCTGGAATACAAAGCTTTTAAAATTTATATTTAAATTATTTCAATTTATTATAAAAAAGATTTCAATTATTTAAGAAATCCATATTTAAAAAACTTTAAAAATAAAATTCAAAAGAAATAAATATTAAAAATTAAAAAACTAAAAATATATATTTATAGATTTATATATCATATATTGTGTATTTCAATTAATTATAATACTTGTTTTTATGAAATATAATTATTCTAAATCCGAAAATATTATAAATATAAACAATGCGCTTTTAACTATAATAAACTTTATATTAAAAATATTGAAACTCTTTTAAGTTTTAAAGAATCAAAAAAATATTAAGAATTATTAAATCTAATAAAAAGAAGATATAGGGAAAACAAAAAAAGTATTTATAAAAACAAAAAGCCAGAAATATATATAATTGAAAGACAAAAATAATTCTTAAAAAACTAAAAGTCGAAAAAGAGAAAAATAGAAAAAAGTATTAGATTTCTTATACTTTAAAAATGCTTTATAAAACTTCTGATTATTTAAAAATATTAAAAAATAAATAAAATGAAATAATTATATAAATTTAATTAAATATTGAAATATAATAATCCCAATATATAAATTCAAAGAAAAATCTAATTTTAATTAATTTTATTTAGAAAAACTTTAAAAACAAAAAACTTTATTCAAAATAATAATAATTCTATATCAGAATCCAAATCAAATAATTCTAAAATAAATTTTGAGGATTAGAAAATTGATATTAATATAAAAAAGGAAAAGGAAAAGAAAAAAAAGGAATTTGAGAATAAAGAAAATAATAATAAAATTAAAAAATTTGAAAAGATTGATTTAAAAGATTTGAATATCAATTAAGAATTAAAACAAATATAAAAGTGATTTAATATTTATTAATTCTTTAAAATATTAATAAATAAGCTTAGGCAATTAGACTTTTTAAAATCTTAATCTAAATTAGAGCTTGGAAAGCTAATATAAAATAATTTATAATAAATTTGAAAAGTCTAAATAACAAAACTAATAAAGAATCTTTGGATTTTATATAAATAAAAGATTTATTTAAATAGGTTTATTTTTTTTTTTTCTAGTTATTTCTCTCTAGCCATTTCTCCCTAGTCATTTCTCTCTAATCATTTCTCCCTAACCATTTCTTACTTTCTATTTCTTATTTATTATTCTTTCAAATTATTAATATATTGATAAAGTATATTTGTATTTTAATAAATTCTTTTATAAAGTATTTAATTATTGATAATATATTATTTAAAGAAATCTTATTTTTTGAAGCTCTAATATTTTGAAACTAGAAGAAGAGTATAATATTAAGCTTTCTGGACCTAAAGAATGATGAATCTTTAATAAGAGTTATAATCCAAAAAGATATAGATTTTGGATTCCTAAAGATAGAATAAGATATAAATAAATTTAAAATCTATTTTATTATATAAAATAAAAAGAAAATTTATCTCAGCTTTTAAAAGAATTCAAAGAAATATTAAAAGCTTTGATAGAAAATAATGATAAATAGAGAAACCCTAATAATTATTTTTTATTCTAATTATATATATTTATTAAATTCTATTTCAAAATAATATTACTTTTTTTTATTTTATATTTTTCAAACTCTTTTCACCTTATAATAATCTCTTTATATAATCTCTATAATTCCTTATCGAAAATAATTTATAAATTAAAATAAAATAGAATTTAATTTATTATTATTTAAATTTATTATTATATTATTTATAATATTTGGAAAATAATTAATAATATAATCAAATTGAATTTCAAATAAATCTTTTTTTGAAGCTATTTTATTAAATAAAGTTATATAAAATATATAAAATATAAATTATATATATTTGAATTATATATAGATATTTTTATTATTATATTAGAAATAGAAAGTATATTTTGAATATTCTAAAGATTCTTTTAATTTTATTTTATAAAGAAGAATATTAAAGATTAAAAAGCTTTTTTGGTATTTTAAGTATTTTATTAGATTCTAATTGTTTTTATAAATAATATTTCATTTTTTTGAATAAAATAAAAACTTACTCAATATTTATATATTTTATATTATTTAAATAATAATAACCTTTTGAAATTTATAAACCTTTTGAAATCAAAGTATTTGAAAGTACTTTTTGATTATTTACAAAATCTTCCTAATTAGTTAATATATAGTAGAATTATAAATTGAAAATAATTATTACAAAAATATTCTATGTAGTATATCTCTTATAATTGAAATAAATAGATTAATCTTTGAAAAATATTATTACTAGAATAAAAATATTATCAAAAACATTTAAATAATTTGTAAAATATTTATAATATTTTTTATCTTTTGTTATTTAAAGAAAAATGATTTATATAATTAAATCCGATAGTTTTATTATTAATAAATATAATATTATTATAATATTTAAAATTTAATAAAATTATTTTAAAATATATTAGAATAAATTAATAAGTAAATCTATATAAGATATTTTTTATATTTATAAATTATTTCTTTAAAATAAGAAAAAGCTTTGGCTATATTATATATAGTTTTATACTAATTTATAATATATAGAAATATATATAGCTTTTAATTAATTGAAATATATTAAAAATATTATAATTTTATCTTTTTATGACAAAAATTGATTAAAAATCGAAAAGTGTATAGAGATATATACAATTGTTTTTAATAATATTGAGAGTATTTAGAATCAAAAAGAGATTATATTTTAAATTTATTAGGAATATTAATTCTTTTTTTCAAAATTGAAATAAAATAAAAAAAGCTAATAATAAAAACTAAATTATATATCAAAATAGAAATAAATTAATTAATTTTATTAATCTTATTATTATTTATTATAAATAAGAAAAAGACAATTTATTATAATCTAAATCAATAATACAATTTAATGATATAATAAAAAGAATATTAAAGAATCTACTTTTAAATTAAGCTATATATATTCTAATATATAGGAAATAGAAATATAAAATAATCTAAATTGAAATCAAAAATAATTTAAAAAAAAATAAAAATACTCTATAAATTTAGATATTTAAAATATTAATATTATTATAATACTATATAGATATAAGATAAAAGATTTATAAGAATCTAAAAAAATATAGATTATTTGTTAGATTGAAAACAAGATTAGTTTTTTTTAATTCTTGTTTTCAATTTATACTTTTATTTTCCTATATAAATTTATTAGAAAATATAAATTATTTAATATTATTTTAGAATAATTTATTCCTTTTTTATTTCAAAATATATTAAATTTATTAAAATATAGATTATTTAATAGAATTTGTGATTTGATATCTAAATATAAATTCAAAATCTGCTTTCAAAAAGCATGGAATATTCAGCGGATTCAGCGCGGATTTGTACATCCAAACTAGCCCTAACACCCAAATTGCGCGATAACCTTCGCAACTAGAAGAACCATTAACCACGGAATGGACTTTGCAACTTCACCTAACCACTCAACACCTTGTCACCAATCCTGATCAAATCCTCATTCGACAACGTCTCTTTCTCAATCCTCTTGACTGCCTGCTCCAACAAAGTCGCCGCGATCTGACTAACATCCACTTTCGGAAGCCCAATAAGACTTCTCCCAATTGTCGATAATACACTACCCACCAACCCTTGCCGACGATCCGGCCCATCTATCAGTCCTGGTTTCGCTATACATGCTTCCACTGTCCCATTTGACGCTTGAGCAAAATCGATGACACGGGATTCAGCTTCACCCTAAAGAACCATTAATTACTCAATCCTTCCTCTTCAGGAGAAAAAGGACACATACCCGCATCAAAAGATAATCACCCATAACCCAAGGCTGCTTACTCTGATCTCTTTCACTTTTATGTCCACTGACATAAATGAACCGAAATGGTCTAGCACCTTTTTCACGCGGAAGCTGGGTAATTGTTTCGAGCCCGTTTACTGTGTACTCTACACAAATTTTCCTCGCTTCATCTAGTGTTGAATCTTTCATTTTCGAAGGGGTTATTGCAATGAGCCTGTGGCACTGATTAGTATTTCGGCAATCAATCGAAGATTAAATCAGGAAGCGGGCAAATGAAGGGGTCGAGAATATAATCACAGAGGAAAAGCAAAGAAAGATACCAAATACACGCATCAGCGCCCTCAAGTTCCTTCTTCACACTCTCCGAATAATTTGAGAAATCCTCACAAATGACTGCTTTGAATTTGGTGATGTCAGCATTGTCGTCCAGGGTTTGTGGAACAGATGTTTCACGACGAGCAAGGGCTATGATGGATGTGATTTCTGGGGCGCGGAGAGGGCTTGTTTGATGAGTTCTGTAGCGACAAAACCTGTTGATCCGGCGACGATGAGTTTCATAGTTGTTGGAAAATTTGGGCTTACAGTCGAGTAGGTATAGCAAGCAATTTGTGAAGAAGTTCGAGTGATTGAGACCTAGATTATGAGTCCAGAGTGGGAAATGTAAGCAGCATGTAAGTAGTAGATAGCGCCACCAACTTTTGGGGATGCCGGGGCTAGAGATTCATTAACTCCATGTGCAACGGCTTCTTAGGTGAGAATACATGTGATTGTCATCATGTCTTTGAATGATGAATGAGAATGGCGTAAATTTCGATCAACGATAGCAAATGAGCAAATCAAAAGAGTAAGCAAAGTCAACGAACGAATAACTAATGCTTATTAACAACAATCGCAACCTAATCAAACGATGGATGAAACCAATGAGAAGAACAGCACTTGAATGCAATTGGATACACCTCAACTACTAGAAAAACTATTCGAAAAGTTCCAGACATACTAAACAAACAGTAGTAGATACATATGGTAACACTCTATATATTGATACCTCAAATAGTAAATTTGCTATTTGGAGTTTTATATATATTAGTTTAGATCATTTTATTTTCTTGAATGTTACTATTTTGATTTTAAAGATTGAAAATAAATCTGAATTTCCTACTGAACCTTTTCAGTAGTATTATCATGTAAAGAAAATAGAGACTGAAATATCAAAATGTCTCTTGACTAATAAGTTGACCAGTCAGAAATGCAATGGTGAGATCAAACGAAACTCGACAATATGAAAATTTTCAAGCATAAATTCAATCAAATGCTTCAAAGTTATCTAATTATGTTTGCAAACAGAGCAAACCAGGTTAACTAAATTCTAAACTCCATCGCTTATTCCTCGATTCGCCATTCCCATGAGAATTCGATTCCATCCTCCCAATCCTAAATCCAAGGCCGACCAACTACCGAATACAAAAAGGATATACCATACGAATGCATTGGCTATGACAAAGTATATTTAATCGAGTACCTGTAAGCTTCTTTCCCCCTCAAAAAAGCAATTTCTCATCTCAATGAGCCCCATTTGCCTTTCCACCGCTCCCACTCGCTCTCTTTGGACTTCTTCCATTGGTCAATTCGCTTAAAGCCCCCTCATTTCCATCTTCCTCATTTCCTCCAAGTAATTTGTCCATAAAACTGATGTAATCATATTGTGGCATACCTCTATCCTCTTGTAGATCAGGGCCTTTATGCATTGGTATGAACTGAGTCAATTTTTCAATGACTTCATCGGGTACCAAACTATGTCTCAAATCCATTTCTGTAACATATGGTTTGCCGTCCGCAACTTCGCGGAAGGACTGAAAAACTTGCTCCGCTGTATTTTGATCTTCTGTGACATCCACCATAAATCGGATGAATTCTTCAAACGTTACGTAGTCTTTTCCGTTTGATGTGTCGAGGAAATAGTCGTGCATTTCGTCTTCGGAGAAGACGAGACCAAGTGATGCCAAGGCTGCACTGAATTCCAACTCTTGTAGACTGTTGGTAGCGTCGCGATCAAAATGTCGGAAAACACTTTCGAATTCTTCAAGTTGTATTGGCGTCAAATTTGTCATGTTACGAGCCACTACTTGGTTGTCCAAGAATGCCAACTTCTTCGCAACGGAATTTTTGACAAGACTCATCTCGTAGCAAAGCTCATCGTATGTGTAAGTCGTAAAATCATTCTCCTCAATATTTGCTTCCTCGCATTTCTTGTCTATGGCCTCGATTTGATCCAAGAATTGATTGAGAGGTGGAAGGTTATCATGTAATCGGCGTACATGAACCAGTTGATCCTCCACATCACCCTCCAATCCTGATATTGCCAATTGCATAGTATTCAGAGTAGTCGCGAAGTCGTTGGCTTTGTCGGCGAAAGATCTTCGTAAGGCATTTTTGATACTAAAATAATTAGCAAAATTCAGTTTGCACATGCATAAAACTTACTCCCTGATGGTCTCGTTTATCAGTTGACCTCTTGCCATTTCCCCTTTCATTAACTTCGCCCATTCTTCATCCAGAACACTCAACCTCAACTCTGGGGGTGGGTCATAAGCTCGAAGACGGTATGTGCTGAGCTTCGTCTTTATGTTCCCTAACAGTGCTGCAAGATCACTTTTCTCTGCAACCCACTCTCTTTTCTGGCCTCTCTTGTATGAACTAAAGTGTGTCGCTTGTTTCTTTGCATCTGCATACGTACCTTCGAACGTCGCATCTTGCCAAGTAACAACCTGCTCCTTAATACTCTTCAAAAGTGCTCTCATTCTCTTCTCGTAAGCACTCTGCATCTCCCAAGCTCCTTGCATGTTGTTAACGAACTTCTCTACTCTTCGACCAGCATTTTCCACCTTCTCCATTTGCGAGAAGGCATGGAACCAATAGGCTATGTAGGTCATCAAACTCCTTTCATCCGGTTTAGCCACGTCGCAGACATCCTCAACATCCAAAAGTGCCGGAATACCAATTTCCTTAGTAGCAATGTCAAAAGCCAATTGCATATTTCCTCGGTGATCATCCTTGTCCAAAGTATCATAATCGATTAGATCTGGGCGATGGATATCAAGCAATGCACAGAATGCTAAGCCATCATTCCAACTGTCTGTAAAATTTCGAACATCGACCTCTTCGTAGCAAGCTGTTTTTCTTTGACACCATAGCAATAAACCTTCTTTTGCAGTCATACCCTCCAAGTTGATGTCGGAGATGGTAAATCGGAGAATGAGCGTCCAGATCAAGCCGAGTATGATTTTGCGGTTTCCGTCCACAACATCTTCGGCTCCGATGTTTGTCATTTGGATTCCTCTGGATTTGATGAAGTCTAGCGACAAATTTGCGTTCTCAAATCGCTGCACTCGTAGTTTAGGCTTCGCCGCATATCGTCCGAGTGATTCGTTGGAAAGGCATTCGAGAAGATGGATGAGAATGACCTACTATGTTAGCATTTAAGAAAAAACGTCTCGCAGAGAGGACTTACTCCATCGCTCAAATCTTTAACCAAATCTATTACCTCCAATTTCCTGTGCGCTATCTTGGTGTTTAACCTAATTTCTAGTAAATAAACCATTCATGCTTCGCAAATACAATAGGCCAGCTTACCATTTCGTGAAAGTCTTCTGTTGCACCGTAATCCACTGTTGCTGTTCAGCAAAAGCCATCTTTCCAAGCTGATGCTCATGCAGCGGTTCAACTGCTTTCAACGCTTCCCCTGAGCCTGAAATTGATCCCTTAGATTTATTTCTATGCTGATATCTCTTTCTTCTTCTTCCTAGCCCGAGCTCTTCCTCGCCTTTCTCGGGTTTCTCTGCAGATCTCTGCAATCGTGCTGCCTCGGAAAATTGTCTCGAACGTAGTGTCTCGCGTTCTCTTTGGCTCGCAGATCTTTCCCGCCTTACAACCCTAGGTGGTGTCGCAGGTGGGGTATTCGGAGCGTTTATTTCAAAATCTGTTGTGGAAGAAGAAAACCTCTTTTCTTGATTTTGCGTGTGACTATGATTTTCAATAAGAGTTGGTGAAATTGTACGTGAGTGACGTGGTGATGTGGATGTGCTGGTTTCCTCAAATTTGTTTACTTCTAAATTAGGATTGGCGGTAGTTGCCGGCGGTGACCCCACCAAGCAACGATCGTTGCCAGGGGTGTCAAAAATTGCCGAAGCGGCAAGCGGCGTTGTCGTTTGTTTCCCCTTGCTTTCTTCAACATAATCACCAATTTCTGATGATGGTGGCGACGGTGGTGACGGTGATGATGGGATTTCAATGTTCTTTGATGATATCGATGGTAACGTTAATTCTTGTGTTGATTCTTCTTCAACGTTGTCCTCGGTAACGTCCGTTTCCACGTGAGTTTCATCCACTTTAGCATCTTTCTCTTCCACACTCTCGATTTCGTCCTTGACATCTAAATCTGTCACTACCAAAGTATCGTCCTCCTTCACATATTTCTCTCCGATGCTTTCGGATTCCCTTTTGTTATCCTCCAATCCCTCTTCGACTCCCAGATTCTGTTCCCTCTTTGTATCTTCCTCTTCCAATCTTGCATCCAGATCTTTCACCACAAACAAATCTTCATCTCTAGCTTCTTCGATTGTTCCAGTCCCTCCTTCATTTCTTGTCGCGTCTAGATCTTTGATTACGATGATATCCTCTATTCTATCCTCTTCTTTCGTCTCTTTGTCTGGAGTATCATTTTTTGGCGCTTCGGTCTTTGGCTCTATCCTCAATGATTTCTTCAAGGCAGAAAACATATTGAAAACAAAACTGAATATAAAAGTCACAAAAGGGTTCTACAATGGCACGAATAGATAACCTTTAAGTAAAGGCTCACAGCTACAATTGGGTATACAGCCAAACTACTCAAGGTTAGGGTTATTTTTGCATGATGAAACATCAATTCATTCGTGTTTCTGATCAGCAGCCCACAATCTCTGCATCAAAGCGGAATATCACTGGTTGAAGAAACTTAGGGTTCCTGACCAGTGTATCATATTACCTACCACACAACGAGTTTATCATGCAAATGATCAATCTCGAACTTTACAAATTTATCGAATGGAACTATTCAACAATTCATGGCATTATCGATTAGTCCTTATTCCCCATATTGTCACCCGAAATTCACGATCCATTTCCATTTGACACTTCTTGATTTACATGGAATTCGCACTTCATCCAGGATGGTTTTACCGGGACATCAAAGATGCACAGCGTTTTCAATATTCAAGATCAAACCAACCAATCGTTATTTGGATTTGGATGTTTGATAACCTGTGAAGAAATCATTGTGCCGAGGTTTTTGCGGATTTTTGTATATTGTAAGAGTTACATGTTTCTTTGATAGACTAAATCATACAATTATATAGCAATATATACCTAATTAGTTATATATGTTCTGTTGCTATTACACAATTACAGATCTTGGGAAGAGAAGGGGGGGTGCGCAAGGGGTTACCCCTTTGTGTCTGCGCTCCAAAATACAAGGGCTCTAAAACGACGTGTACATTGCACGCCTACAGTATCTAGGTATTCAATAGTCCGAACTGCAGCCCAACTATCTAAAGCTTTGGATCATCAATTCCTTTTGAATATCGAATTTATTTTAAGAATCAAAATAATGTCCATCATCGAGTTGATTTGAAACAATAACTCTGTTCAATCAATAATGATATTTTCGGAATCTCAAGATCAGAACTTTTAAGGGGAATGTAGTTCGGGCTATTGGAAACACTGTGCGTGCCCCCAAGATCAATTGGAATATTCAGAAGCTTTTAACTTGGCGATTCATTTGGCATTAATTATAGGAACACATATTAATGTCGCTATTCAGAATCAGGCTCAATGTTTTCATTGTCTGGTTTTATTTATCTATTTATTTAAATGAATGTGTCGCTTTTTGCGCCTCTGCAGAGCATACGTATGTGGAAGGCCACGCTTCTCTTATAGCAATTGTTTTCAAACCCGATTGCATGAATTAAGAGTATATTAGAAACAATTTCTTGACTGCTATCCCAACGCTACGCCATTTCAGATAATCTGATACTCAAACGCCTCAAGGAACCATGACAGATACGTCCAAATTCGCGAACGCTATCCTAGCCCACTATTTTATTACTCCCGTCATCCCATTAAGTCTCACAACTTGCGCTCTATTAATAACCAAAAGCCGTATTCGAACAACCAGCTTTGACGCACTGCAGACAATAAAGTGGCAGCTTCTCGCAAATTTTGGTGAAAGCAGCGCACTTTGTAAGGTTCTTCCAGCCAGCAGTCGTTGCACATTTCAAGGTGTCTGCATAACAGGCAGCGGCTGATTTTTGGCATGTCAACATGGTGTTGAAAGGAGTAACCTTACCGCACCATTTTCCAACTGTCACAGCGCATGTTGCCGCTGGGGTTGGGACTATGGTTGGCTTCACTACTGTCGCCGAAGTCGATTGTTTGACCGTCGATGAACTCTTTACGGAGCTTGTGGACGACTTCGCGGAACTAAGCGCAGTGCTGGTGGATTTCAAAGTTGTTACAGTCGCGGATACAGCGGAGCTTTGGGCAGTTGTAGCGCCAGTTGCTGATGTACCACTGCTCTTTGCGCTTGCAGAAGCGCTTTGGGATGAGACTACGACGGAAGATGACGTTGTCGAACCGGAGGTGAGAGAGCGATACCAATTTGTTCTATCGGTGTCACCCAAGCAATCACCAACCGTAACGCCTTTCCATCCTTTGGCCTTGATTTGATCGAAATAGTAGGTAGAAAGGTTACCAACAGATTGTTGTACAATATCGTGCTGGATAGACAGGTAGTCTTGAACGGCTGTTGAAGCAAGAGCTTTCTGCACAATATTCTTGGAGTTCTGAATCTGAGACGGCAAGGGGTTTAAATAATCCTGGGTGTCTAAATCAAAATAGACTCTGTGGTACCCTAGAGTTTGCATATCTGCCCAGCATCCTGATGCCTCAGTACAATCAGAATAAGGAGGTCTCATGTAAGTTGGCCACTTTCCGATGATGTTATTGAAAGCCATTTCATTTTTCACCATCTGCTGCATTCGAAGATCGTGTGAAATATTTGAAAGAGAGTAATGACTCCAGGTATGAGATGCAACTTGATGTCCTTCGGCAATCATACGTTGAATCAAAGATGGATATGGAGCGGTATTATCGATCTCTCCTTTTCCATTGTTGTTGCCGGTGATAAAGAATGTCGCTTGGTAGCCATACGACTTTAGAATGTCGAGGAGATCGGAGGTGTAATTATATGGACCATCATCATAAGTAAGAGCTACAACATTGTTTTGCACGCAGTCATAGATGTCATCCGTGTAGGTGATGGGTCCTATCAATGGTCTTGCAACATCAAGAGTTGATGCTCCGGCAGGCGTTGCATCTGAGTCGCATCTTCCATATCCAAGTAAGCAACTCCCTGGATCAGCACAATAGTCTTGGGTAGTTCCGCAGTATCCGGAAACTTGTAACGTATTAGTAAGTTAATTGGCAAATTGGGACTCGTCTACTCACCACTACAGCATTGGTTTCCCCCGCAAGTTGCACCACCAAAGTTTGGACCACAAGTTCCTCCTGTAGCTGGCTCGGCAGCAGCAGTGGTGCAAGTTCCAAATGCAGACTGACACCCTACGTCGCAATAATCGGTTGTGTTTCCACAATATCCCGACGTAGAACAGCAAAGCCCTCCAGTACAAGAAAGCCCTCCATTGCTCGCTCCACATGTGAAAGTGTTTTCTGAAGGTTGGACTGTTGTTCCGGTACAAGTTCCAAAGGCAGTTTGGCAACCAGTTCCGCAGTAGTCTAGGTAAGTACAAATTAGTCTATGAATGACTTGTGTATTATTCAGAGATTCGCTAACATACCGGTCGTGTTTCCACAATATCCATAGGCCGAACAGCATCCTCCCGTGTTTACAGTAGCGTCACAAGAATAGCTATTGTTTGCTCCTGCGAACGAATTTCCGCAAGTGTTGTCTGTACTGATTATGGCTCGCTTGGAAAGAAAGGCAAGAAAGCCGGGATCTTGGGAATCAGTTCCCTCCACTGGAAACGCAAGACCCATACCACTGAGCATGAAGCCCGTGACCAGAGTTAAAATGAATGATTTCATCTTGGTCGTTAATAAATTACAAAATAGTTTGTTGGAAAATGTACACTAAAAGAATTGAGGGAGATAATGAATGATTGGATATATTATGGAAATGAACGAAGAAGAAAGAATGTCAGTTAAAAAAAGAATGTAAACGGTCTGACATGCCGGAGTAGGGGTGAGGAGGAAGGAAAATTGAAAGACATTGACGAGAAGCAAGATATATATAGCATTACCATTCCACGGGTAGACAAATCAGAAAATGACCCGACATATCATTACCAAGCTACAAGAACACACTACAATTGGCGCCGTCTGTTCTTTGACTACGATTCTTTGGGGGTGTTTACATGCATCTATGAATTGGTTCCCAGAATTATCACGAAGGTTTGTGACCAAGGAGGACAAGGCGTTGTTAGGCGTCGTCCCGTCTCCTTGGAAAGAGTCCGTGGAACAAGATCAAAAGTTCCGATCGGAACGTTTCATGAATTTCATTCGTCGAATATTTCTGAAACTTGATTCTACGGAGGCAAATGGTTTAAAATTTAAGGGGTACTGACGGGAGCTTTAAATTGGTGGGGAAGCCTAACTCTTTTCAGCAAAACTTATAAATAGTGTTTATGCGCAGTCTCTTAGGATTTTCGTCCCAACTTCAACAAAGGAGATAAGAAAAATCGAGTCAATCGTTTCTTCAGGTCTAGATTCCATATATGTACGTATGACCTGGCAAGTGACAGGTCTTCTGTTTTCCAAATACCTGCTTAACTATGAGAAGAAGTTGTCGCTCTCGGGCCTAGATCAGTATCTGCACAGTCTTCAAAAATAGATTCATCTGAACTCAGGAGGGGTCAAAGCATAATGAAAAATGTATTTTATTCAAATTTATCTCTATTTTATATCCCTTTACCCAAGTCCAAAAGAATGTGCCCAATCGTAATCATTAACTCATCAATCTCTCTAATCATCATTCGTTCGTCTTTTTTCCGTCGTTCGTCATTCATCTATTACTAGTCATCATTTTCAAGTCGTCTATTGTCCGTCCAAATCAAGCCTGAGCTTGTTCATCAATGATCATCCTCCGTTCAGCGCGGGCGCCGATCGAAGAACTCAAGGTATCGAGGTGCTCTCTATGCCTAATTTGTTGGGGTTAGCTTAATTGACGATTAATTGTTACTCGGGAAACTTTATGAGGCTTACCTGGCAAGCATAGTCGGTGTAGCATTGCTCATCAACCTTTGGCTCATACAAGACAAATCTTGTGAGACGGACACAGGTCAAGGCAGTGGTGGAGGTGCTGACGGTAGCGCTACCAACAGTAGAGCCTGGCTTGGCGATGTAAGCATCCTCGCCAATGACAACAGTTGCCTTGAAAGGAGTAGTGGCTTTCCAAGTTCCATCTTCGTAGTCAATGGAGTCAGAAGTGCTGAGGACGGCTGTCTTGCTTGGTGTCTGGCCAGCGAGAGACAAAGACTTGGTTGGGTAGTAGTCCATCTCAGCGTAGGCTGCGAAGGTGATGTTGTTGAAGCAGTTAACGAGGTAGTAGATCTGGGTAGAGGCGGCGCGGGCATCGATGGCTGCTGCTGGAATTGCAGCTGGAGCGGCTGAGGTAAGGGTGGAGAGGACGAGGAGGGGGATGGAAGCAATCATGGAGAAACGCATTTTGAAGGTTGGTTTGAGAGACTCGAGGAGTGAAAAGTTTGAGAAGGGCTTGCAAGTTGTTGTAGAAGATCTTGAGATGATTGAAGTATTGTGATGATGGGAACTACTCTGCTGATGAAGCCTTCTTATATACTTCTTTTCGTAGGAAGATGGATGGATCTCCGAAAAGCTTTTCTCGACCAAGCTTTCCTATGCATCGCTAACCGCAAACAACCCATGTATCACGATCGTGGATACAATGATACATTATCGCCGCGAATTGCTTTTGCTTATCAAGCCACTATACAACATACGACACAATTTGAGACATTTGAATCAATCAATATTTACTGGGCCTCAATATCATCTTTGGCGCCAAAACGTTCTCTCGTCTCGGATACCCACTGAATCAGCCACGAAGATTCTACTGATAAAGGCTTTCCAATAGCCCAGAACCGAATCCTCTGGACCACGATCGGAATACGACTATCCCATACACAGAGAGAGGCACAGTTCAGTTGATGATTGAGCAGACAGTGGTCCCGATAATCATTCTCAATATTTTCTTGCATCATGTCGATATCTTCCAAACGGGCTAGATCTTCTTACTATCCCAGTTCTTCCGTATTATTCCACCAAACAGAAAGCATTCTTCAATATCTTCAGCCATTGATGCCCTGTACCTGTAGGTCATCAATATTTAATGCAGGGTCGGAGTGTACCCATATTAGGCTAAGCGAATGCCCCACTAAACAAGCATAACTAAAGGCTTCCGGATCTGCAAGTCGATCGTAACGGCGATGCAGACCACATTCGTATGAACATTTGAAGAAAGATCTCCGAGATTGATCTGTTGGCTGTCAAACTCGTCAAGGGTCTTGATTAAAGTGTGAAAATCTCTGCTAACGCGGGTCAGGCCCTTACTTCCGAACCAATTTTTCATCGAGGCGGTCAAAGCTCTATGTCATCGATGAGAGGATTTCATGCTTATTACAAACTTTGATCAGTGATCTTCGATACCGTCAACCCGGTGGACCAAAATTCGTCTTTACGGACTCAAAAAAAAACCGGTAAGGTTCCGAACCCCCACTATTGTGATCAAGGATCGTTCGGTGACCAACTTGAACCCTACCATCTGTGATATATCGTGATTATACTCAGCTGAAAGTCGTCAAATGTCTCATGTCTTTACAGGCATGTGAAAATCAACTACAGATTTGCTATCCAGAAAGGCAGGTATGGACGACCTATCTTGGCGTGAAAGAAAAAATCGATAGCAGCTGAGATACACGTCGCCAGGCGCCGTAATCCTACATCGGATCTAGTCGGACACGATCGAATCTATACAAATCCCTCACCGCGCGTAGCATGTATCTTTGGAAGACATCGGAACTCAGTCTAGATCTCAATCCATAAAATTGTATCATATACTCAAATCAGATTCTGGACACGTTAACTGGTGTATGTGAGTGATCCCAATGTGGACATGCAGAGAGAAACGTCGCTACCTCGGCTTCATGTTGTGCAAGTGGATACCATGTCCGAAGAGTTTTCCATTGTAACTACATCCTATTTGTGAAGTGTTGCATACTCCAAATTAATATCCATCTTTTCCATCTATGTTGGCATTCTTGACTGCCCATCGATACAATGATACGATATCGTATTGTTTCCACGGATCAGTTTCGGTCTTTCCTTTGTGCGTGAAAATCGAATGATCGGTGTTTCGTTCTCTCAATGTGTACTTTGATCATCAGTCAGTTCTGTTCTTGCCTTGTTACGATATCACATCTGGACATACCGCAATGAGTTTCATTCCTTGCCAGCAAGGCATCGGTTTTGACTTCAACTCTCCTCTACCAAAGCAGATATCTCTAACAATCGAAAGGCAATGCTAAAGCTTGCATTTAGCTTTAAGAGACGTCAATCTTTAATCATGATCTACAGAATTCCAGGAGAGAAGTTTACTTATATCTTCAGGCCGTTACAACCGATACCCACGATGTAACATCCAAGAAGTCTTAGCACTCCTCCTAGCTCGTCGGGTTGAGATTTGGTGCTTACATCAAATCATAGCTTTAGATCTAAATACGACACCATCGCGGATAGGAACCAATTTCACCCCACAGTTAGTGTGCTACCCGTTGTAGTATCAAACGGCACGGCAGAACCATTACACTGGGAAAGATCAAGATAATAAGCAGGGTATTTTAGATGGTGCTACTATGGCTGTCAAGCAGAAGTAGGATGGGGAGGAGCGGTTCGGATCGACTATGCTTGAAACATGAAAATGCGGCAGAGAACCTGCTGGATACTCTAGCTCTATAGCGGTAGTTAGTTAGGGTTGTCATGTTTTGCTACTTTCAATTTCGAAGATAAAATACACACCAATAGTACGAAACTCATGATTTGTTTGGCTCAAGTTGTTGAACAGTCTGCAACTTCCCGTATTAGCTAAATTTACACCGACTATAAAACTACCAAAGTTAGCCACCTGAACGAGTAGCCATTCTATTAAAAATTAAAAATTAAAAATACATCCCCGGCACCGAATAGCACTCAGGTTCTCATGAAAATATAGTCAAATGGCTATGCCATCAAGCTGGAACTTTACAGATCCAGTAACTAGAATAACTTGACCAGTACAATAGCCATGTTAACTACATATGTTCCTTGGTAATCTTCAATCTCTTTGCATTCTTCCTGTGTGGATTGTTTTGTTTAGATAATGATCCAGAGTTCGTGAGTGTCGTAGATTTGGTTGCTGGCACATATTCCCGAAGGACTGAAGACTGTTTGTTGGTCACAAAATCTTTGGATTGATTACAGATTCTTACATTTGTTAGGCACAAAGGAATAGTGTTTACATTGGATGATCCGAAGTAGTGATTCTGAATGGCATCCATACTTATATACGGCTTGGTTATGTCATTCACATGAACTTCTATGATAATTCGAGAAAAATACCTAGTTTATATTTATGCAGAAATAACTAGGTGTCTAAAATACGAAAAAAAAAAACACGATTTATTTTTCCCGAATGTCTGCACTGTACTTTAGAAGAACTCAAAATAATAACGAACAATAACAATACCTAGATACATTTAGAAGTTGAAAATCAAACACTAGAAATCAAACACTAGAAATCAAACACTAGAAATCAAATAGTAAAACTAAACAGTGAAACTAAACATTAAAACTTAAACACTAAAAATTAAACATTACGAATTACAAATTAATGAGAACACATGCATCAACACAAGACCTCGCAAGGCCATCAAAACGTAACATACAAAAACATACAGAAGAAAAATACAAAATGCCAAATTGGCTACAACATTAACAACATAGTACAGTACAGAACATCCGCTATGCTAGGCGGTGCCTTGAACTCTTCTCGTCTCCTTCACATACCGATATCGCACGATATTGACCGTAGCCCGGGCTAGAGACTCAGAGAGACAAGACAGCCGTTTAGCAGTAAAAAAAATCTTTGTCAAATGCACGCCACGAGGCAACCATATCATCCACTAACGAGGATTCCTGAAAACTAGTATTTGAAGACGAGACGAGAGCCGCAGTAGGAGCGGAAGAAGAAGCGGAAATAGCATCGGAAGTCGGAGTGGCAAGGTCAGGGAGATTGTCAAAACGACTTCCAAAGAGCTCTAAATCCTCAGGGGATTCCAAACTCTCATAGTACTGCCCAGCCTCACCATTGAAATCCGATCCGCCGGCGCCAGGGTTGGAGGGACCAGAAGCATAGAGAGCCGACGAAGGGCTGGCCAACTGACAGCGTGGAGCGGCGACGTAACCAGGCCCCACCACACCCGCAGAAGCGGGAGAAGGAATGGATTCGTCAATTTGACTGACCCCAACGCGTCTTTTAGCGGCTGGCCCTTCGATAGCATCTCCTTCGACTGGCAGCTCCCTCTTTCCCCTCTTTCTTCCCCCGCAAGAACTACAGCAGCTAAGTATAAAGTTCCCAATGGTCTTCTTGGAGAGATACTTTATTGGGCCTACGCTAAAAAAACATTTGTCTCTGCCAATGTGGCCAGGCAAATGAGTCTCTGCGAAGAGGGCCCAAAACTCCTCGCCTGGTACTACTAGCTTCCATTCCACCTTGTTTCTATCTCCCCCTTTGGGTGCATGCTTCAGCATGTCACCCTCAGTGACGTATTCGTACTTCAATTCATTCTTATACGAAGCTGGAGTTCCCATGTAGCCCTCTGGTACGTCCAAAATGACGCCGGGATCAGCGGCGATCGCTGACTTGTCCCGGATTATCCTTTCCAGTCGCGACCGCGATGGCAGCAGCGCATTGGGATCCTTCGTCCTATTGTTTTCGACGAAAGATTCGATCAATGTACTCCTCCATGCTGGGAAGGACAATGTACTGAGGTCTAACGTGGTTTTGGGGTCGGAAAACCTTATAGCGTCAATGTGCCGAGTGAAAATGACCCTTCGCTCTTCTGGGGAAAGATTTGAAGTCATCTATTAGATATTAGTATATTATCCCAATCGTTGTAGTGCGTTTAGAACACGCGAATGCTTGAACAATCTGGTCGAGCTCAGGCAATAAAAGCTTTTAATTGTCGACGTGTGATCCGGACAATTGAAAGCTCTGAGTGTTTGACAGCAACAAAATAATCAAAATGAGTTTATTGTTTTAAATTATTTGAATCATTTAGAATGATTTAGAGAATGGAAGCTTCAAATTGTCGGATTACAATCTGAACAATTCAAAGCCCTGAATCATTGACAACAATACAATATTCGAATGTAGTTCGTTACTTCAAGCCATTTCAATCATCTAATTGAATTTAGAGACTGAAAGCTTTACATTGTTGAAGTGTGATCTGAACAATTTAAAGCCTTCAATGTTGACGAGAGCTACAACATATAGTTGGGCGCCTCTGCATTATGTCGTTTGGTTCTAAGCATTCAACTATGTTCAACTGCAGCATGAGATACACCCAACGTAGCAGAAGAACGAGTTGAACGGAGCGAATAGTAGCGAATAGCAAAAAAACAATAAGAAAAAAAATCGCTATGCAATGCCGAAGACTTTCAAGTACAACTACATTTGTTTCATCCCCATTACATTCAATTCTTCATCGTACAACAAACAGGCCATCGAACAATCTCAATTACGCTCTTCGCCAGGAGCTCTCGCGTAATGTACCAAGCCTGAACCATCAGGCGTGAAAGCCAGAGGTCCATCTCGCGTAATGTATAACCATCCCCTGATGTACACGACGAAGTATATTCTTGATTGGAATACATTATACAAGACAACACAACAATTTAACAACTATGCGAAGTGTGAAGTATGAAGCAAGAGTATACCAACAATGATCAAGCTATCTAACATAAGCTTCTAAAGCTCAGCTTCCACTAAGGAACTAGACTAGGAGACTAGCGCAATCCATGTGATCACGTGTTTTTCACGAATTCCCACCAACAACTTCCAAAAAAAGATTCAATAGAGTCAAGATACGCTTGAAGGCTACTCAGCCTGATTTGAAAGGCCAAGTATACCAGTGGGTGTACTGAGAACCTCCAAAAATCGAACAATCGTGAAATAATTACAAGCAAGCTGTGTACTGCTGAGCAATTCAAACTGACTTGAATGTATCTAAATGATCCTAAGTGTTGCGGATTCTGTCCAAAAATTCAATTGTGAAGACAGAAATTTATCAGAGAGCCAAGCTTCAACACTATTGTTCCGCAAAAGTACGCAATAAAGGGAAGTGCATCAAATTGAGAGGAGTAAAGTGAAAAATGTATCTTACTTTGTCTGAAATTATCCACCAGCTATATTACACTCTTAATCGATTGGGGAATTTGGCGATGGAAGGGCGAATTCGATATTCGGGGTAACCTGAATTGAATCATGAGCGACTGCCTCGAGAATGAGTAGAATTGACAGGGAAGGAACGATTTGGTTATTATTGGGCGGGAGAGAGTTCTTACCTTGGGCTGCTGCGCAAGTAGGTGCTATGGTAATAATCGGGAGGATATTGCCTAAAAATGGCAGTGTGTATATTATACTTGAGATCTTAAAGTGAACGTGAATATTGTTCTAGTAATTGAAGAATATTCGAGCTGACTTTGTGAAGATGTTGGGTACGATTTTAGAAAGAGAAAGAGGATCAGAAATTGGGGGGATGGATGCATTTTAAAGTGAATTGAGTACTATGAGAGAGTACTATATTAGTCTAGAAGTTTGTATTATACTTTTTCAACAGGAAGGAACTTATGGCATTTGGTATACATCAATTTTTTTCTGGTAGTTGTCGATCGTCAAGCTTGGGAGGTAAGCCAGTCTAATTTTGACAGGAACGGCATAGTACACGTCTATTGTACCATCCAATGGCTGCTTCCCAGCAATGCTGCAATAGCCTTAGGTCAGCGAACGTGTACGGACCTACATGCGAAGAAGGTACATGCTGGCTTATGAGGGGGAGGGTAATGGCAGAGTACGTAGACAGGATATGTAGTGTTTATTACCAGCGTCATTCTCCTTTCAGGATTTTCAAAACTGAGATTAGATTACCATTTGCTATAGATAACCCCAAAGTGCTCTTCATACAGAGTATCGCATACCGTGCCTCCGATCACACATACACCTCTATACCTACAATGCCTATAAGCCTGGAACACAAAGGGAAGCTACATACAACACATTATATTCGACGTCTAACTAGATGGTCAGCCTTTATAATGTCTGCGAATCCATTAACTGCCATCACGTAGTGAGAAAATACACACGCCGCACATTATGACGGTTCATATTCACAAATGGTGACGCTCAGTGTCTAACTGCGGTCCACAGCTACAGCTGAAGAAGATGCAGCACACAACATCTTATAAGGATTAGCTGAGGAGCTCATCTCAGAATATGTATGCGAACAATCAGCACACACATCTGAGTTGCTCCAAATGGATTAAAACATATGATCATTGCTAACTGAATAACAATGCTCAGGGCCTACCCTACTCGCAAAACTTCGATCACAGCAATAGCAAAGATACATTAGGCGAAGACTCCAAACAATTAGCTGCTCGATTAGCTACAAGGTATCTACGTACTACAACTACACAGGATAACGATGGCACGCAACATTAGGATGGTTAGTCGAACAGCGAGGTATGGATGGCACCCTCGAGACACAATCGCACAGACAGGAAGCGAAACAGACGAATCGCGACGATTAGACGAGAGACATGAAACAGCTTCATCAATACATAATGGTATATATAGATTTGAGCATGATAGAACGCGGCGATCATGTGCATGTACTGCACAGGGACTTTTTGCACTGGTGATACACATACCAATACATGACTGTACGCTCTTCTCTGCAGACTCAGCACGTAATAGTTGTAGTCAAAAACAACCTCACAATCATGGAACTTACAAGAGAGCAACATATATCATTTTCCAATACACAGCTTTCGCAGAGTTTTAACATTTCATAGGACTAATAATCTCATAACTACAGTGAATAGGTATCTATTCGCAAACCATCGATCATGAACACGCGTGGGCACAAAATCAGATGCTTCAGCGACCATACACAAAACTCTTGAAAATACTGATGATCGATGAACATTATCTAACGAATCCTGCATGCTAACTCTGGGATTCCTCTCTTCTGTCTTGTATTAATGTATCATATATCTGAATTCAGCTATGTGAAATACAAGCATCCCATGCGTGAGCATCTACAGGCCTCTTCCACTGCTAGGCTTCCACCTTCAGGCCTATACATCTCGATAGGCACCAACTGCACCTTCTCAGAAGCCCACAAGCCTATAAGTCACTGAAGACCCCCTGAAGACCCCCATCACACACTCGTATGCCCTTGCATCCCTCGGCTAAGAAACCCTTCCGGGATCCGAATCGCTTGATCTTGGAAAAAGTCTAAATTACTAGTGTCGCTGGTACATGAATTAGGTGTTCAACTACTGAAAAAAAACTGATGAAGATCATGAGACTTGTCGATATCGAGGCGTCATATTAAACGCAGAGGGGAAAATTCGATCTTTTGCTTGGACTAGATGACTCCAAGACTTGAACTAGTGGGTGCAGGATAATGAGATGCCTCTGTTGCATCGGGCAGGCGGAGAATGTCGAAGAGTGGAAATGACTAGAGGAAAGTATTAGAGGAAGATAGTAGAGGCAAAGAGTAGAGGTAGGGATGAACGGGTAGAGAGTAGATGTAGAGAGCAGCAATAGGAGTAGAGAACAGACAAGATAGCAAGCACATACACAGTAATCATATACTTCCCAATGTAAGTAGAAACATAGCAGGCATACACCGATCACAAATATGAACATTCAATCGAATAAAGAATACACACATGATCAAATTCATCAACAACACGGACTCGGTTGACCGATTTGAAAAAAATTACTTCGATATCCCATTTAACACAATTCTCCACCGCTATCCTTACTGAACTCATGCTCTACAAACAACAACTATAATCATATACTTCAGAGCCCGAGTCTGTCTGCTACAATTCAAATCCCAGGGGGTGGGGACGTGGCACCCATGACTTGTTCTTATTCCCGACAATGGGGCGTGGGCTTTTTCCAACGTTTTACTAAGCTCGGTATGTACACACACATATACAACTGCGAAGGGAAAATTCTGCAATCTATTTGCAAAAGGAATATATTCAGAAGAAAGAGAATATCAATGTTAAACAAAAACATGACATTCAATTAAGTGACATTTCTGTTTGAGCGAACATGAGCAATGGCTTAAAAGCTGGTTGTTTGTAATTTTCTACCTAAGACTGCCATTATTCTATCAAACTATTTACGAGATTACAGCCTGGAGTACCAATTCGCTCTGCCTTCTGAAACGCGAAATTTATCAAAAGTCGTGGATTTTACATTCGAGTGTTCTCGCTTATAACACTTGGCAACACTACATTGTCCGACTTCATGATTGACGAGCTTGATTGTATTTATTCGCTATCCGAATCCAACTGCATTGTAAGATGCACACTGCCATCCGAATCCGAATCCGACTCTTCAACATCATCGTAGGTCATAGCAGTATCCGCATTCATTGTACGCTGATCCAGAGGTTGAGGGTTGGTAAACCTAGCGGCTGGAATCTCCGCAGACATGGCAGATTGTTCAAACCCGGATTGACTAGGCATATTTTCTCGGCTACCGGCATTCAATCCAGCACCGAAGTTTTCTCTCAGTGGGGTCGGAAATTCGTTTTCTGAAGTCGACTGAAGATTCTGTGCATGAACACCCTCTTTTTGGCTGACAACAACATCGTCAGTGCTATCCATAATGTCATCTTCAGCATCGAGACTTTCTGGAAGATCATCGAGTACCGCAGTAGTATGTCCAGCAGGTATGATCGGCATGCGGGGTCGTAAAAGAATTTCCACGCAATCATCATCTGGAAATTCCCTGGTAATATGTGGGAGTACACTCGACAACGCTTTTCCATTCTTTCCGATAAATGGATTGAGTATGCTTGCTAACATCGCTTCTTTGTTCCGTCCGAGAATAGCGGTTCGCTCGAGTTGAGAACGCATCGATATATCAAGATATGCCTGGGGAAGGTTGGACAGTAATACAGGCAAAAGAGAACTGGCTGCCGCGACAACTTCTGGGTCAACAACCACAATTGTCGATATGGAGCCGCGAAGTAAAGTATCTGCATTCTGACTTGACGAACCTTTAGGTTGAGACTTACTGGCTTCAGGATTGCTGATGCCCGAATAACTTGTCTCCAGATCTTTACAGCATGCTCGCATTATTGGTACAAGTTTTGAGACACGTGATTTATCTAAGCTTTGACTGAGCAACGGCAGAATATTACAGGCTAAAGAATATGCCGATGCACGAAAGTCTTGATGGTTCTTTCCAGACGAAAAGGACCACATCAGCAAGTCGAGACTTCCCTGGGCCAGAGAGACGAAACTTTGTCCTAAAGTGGCCGACATAGTGCTGATAAGATGCAATACGGAAACAAAAACATTTGGTAGGCCAGCCCATAATCCATCTTTTTCATCACGGTCAATGGCAGGGTGCAACCTCACACTTCCGGAATTCGAGTCTGTGGGTGATGGCAAAGAAATCGACAAAATCCTGGTGATTAAATCGAAAATTGGTCCAACCGGGATTGTGACAGCCGAAGGAGTGGCTTCTCTGAGGTATTCATCCAGGAATTCCAGTAAGCCTACTAACCTTTCGATGCCAGCATCAATACCAGTCCAGCGGGGTAAATCCTCAGGAGTTCGCGCGCCACCAGAGAGCTCTTCATTAACATTTACAGGTTCAGCAATGTATCCAGCAGTTGATTCCCAGTCCTCCACGACAGCTCGGAAAACCTGGTCGGCAGTCATATGAATATTTTGCACAAGATCCCGAACTGCTTTTCCCCATTCCTCTCCCCCACCATTCTTCACGACTGTCTGGTGCAGAACGACTGTTAGTTTACGAGCACTCTCCTTTACTGATAACGCAACGTAACTCCGATCACAAAGGGTGCACGCCAAATATGGTCTGGTGGCAGCACGTATTTGGGATGCGAAAGGGCGGAAAATGGTAGTGTGACGAGGCAGTAACATAGCAAATGAGCGGAAAACTGTCTCTACTGATGATGGAGTTATATCCAAGGTATTCATCGATGGCTTAGATGAGATTAAATTCAAGCAAGACGTTACAAAGGTGGGTAATGTTGGCGTAGTGATTTCTCTGACCAGGGTTTGGTATTGATGGGTCATGGAGTAAATCTTGGCAAGGGCTACAATACTCAGCTCTTTGGCAGCACTCGAGTCCGGTTTCTAATATGATGATTAGTATTTACATAGAATAGGATACCCACAAGTGGTAGGAATAGTTTTCACACATACACCAAGGATTGAGAGCAATCCTCGCACCCAAGATCCCGCGTCGCGCAAAATTTCCCAACCTCCAACTTCGACCACGACCTTGATCAAGGCGATAGCAGCGAATCTTCCCGGGGCGCTCTTGCCATTCAATAGGGTCGTCAATTGGGTCTTTAATTTGTGGACCAGGACTGCCGACTGCGATGCATCCGCCTTTCCAGAATTTACACTGGGGGCTGAAAGAGGAATTTGGCATTGAAGAACATATTGAACAAGAGAAGGTACGAGACTTGGAAGGTCATTTGGAGGAGTAGATGTCAAACGCAAGCAAAGAATGCGTAGCTCAGATGGAATCGACATCTTTTGAACTTTTGGATCCCAATTTTATCTGTTTGGATGTTGTGAAAACCCTGAAAAAAGAATTTTATATTTCACCAGAGACCCTTAGTCTGGATCGAAATGAATGAAGATCTCTTCAGGGTAGGTGAATGGTTGCGAGGGACAGAGGATATAGAATTTAAAAGAAATTCAATTCAATGTAATATATCATGGTTGAGACTGGAAAAACTGTTTCATATGTGAAAATGTCCAGTCCAAAAGAAAATGCGGGAGAACTCTGCTCTGATTGGCGGAAGTGGAGCTAGACTTGCCCGGGCACTTTTAAGCCATGGTGAAGCCACAGGGGAGCCACAGATGGCTGGTGCTAGTCCACGGGTCACAAATGAAGATTTATATAATCCAGCTCTATCTATACTCGCTCAGAACTTCTATATACTTCCAAGGTTATCATCAGTTGTTCTCATTATTATTACGCTCAGCCTTATTTCAATGTATGGAGATTGGCAAATTCGGGGTTCAGTTCTGCTATGGACAAATCAAAGGAATTTGATTGGTTTACCTAACTACCTAACTAGAGAAGAAATATGGAGCCCCCTAGTCTGTTCAGCCTTGTCTGATTCTGTCAGCCATTTACCACGTGATACAGCATACCGCCCATTGAGAGGTCCACGGGTACCAGGTACGTTGGCGTGGGTGCATGATGTGCCAACACGCAGCCTCGAGGCAGCCTCGCACGCGGATTTATATTATTCCGGCTCTGGATGCCAAGAAATGTGAGAACTGGATTTCTGGAAAACCCCCCTGGGATCAAGACGGGGGAGTGAAGACCAAAGCTTAGAGAATGGTTCGTATCCATGGATTGATTTATTCAAGACCCAAAAACGCAGTAAATTGAAGACCCAATCTATTGCTAATTAAAGCTGACGAAGTATTGAGCCATTCAATCGCTTTACCATTCTCCTAGATCACTTAATTTCACAATAAATTCTAATTTCTTCCAATTCCACAATTCCATTTGTGCTTGGCTGCTCTTCTTGTGACCTCCTTGAGCATGCTGTCATTCGGTTCAACGTGTTAACCATCTCCCTTCCTCTTTACATATACACATACCTCCTGCATATCCAGTAACCAGAATTACATGCGACCATGAGTGTAAGTCGAGATTTGTTGATAGGATACAGCACTTGATACATTTGCTTACATACTTTAGCGTGAACAAACCAAAGCGGCCCATTATATTCAGCTCCTGGACACGGCTCGTTGCGAAGGTAATTGGGATGCTGTGCCAGAACTTGTTAGGAAGGTTAGGAAACATGCGCCTGCGCGGATATGTATGTTAACATGCTACTACCAGAATGGATCTTCTATTCTTAGACTTCTTGCACTGATCTTCGACATTAACCCTTTTCAATAGGCCTCACGTTGACCGCAGAGACTGAACATGCAGTTACACAACATTGTCTTAAAACATTGACCTCTGCCACGCGGCCATCGACAGCTGGTTCTACCTCCTCAGACCTGTCCAGATATATACCGCCACTCTTAGAAGCTATATCAAACGAACGACAACATGTTGAAGATGACTTCCAGGCGCAAGTTTGTGTTGGCTGGATACATTGGCATACTGGGGAACATGCCCTGGCATCTTCGAGTTTACCTGACAGTATCGAGGCGGAATTTTCTCAACTTGATGGGACGAACAAAGAATCGACCGAATGGACGAAAGTGTGTGCACTCAAGGCCTCGTTTATCAAAGGGGATTCGCAACGGAGAACTGGACATTTGGCAGAAGCATTGGAAACCTTTGAGTCTGCTCTGCCAATATTGGCGAGCGTATCATCTACACCACCATCGGCCGGCCGAAAGGAATTGAACACTTGGATCGAAGAATTATTGGCAGGATCTTGCATGCTTTCAAGTCATGTTATCAAAGCAAAAATTTCCCCGACACTCGAGACCGAAACATTGTCAGCATTTCGTGCATGGGCAAGATTTTGGGAATGGGCCCCAACGAAGCCACTGGGTCGCGCACTGCATGCTGAAACCTCAAGGCGACAGGTATGGAAAGAATACTACATCACATTATCGGACATACTCCAGCAACACCTGCCATTTCCCACAACAGATCTTACTACCGCATATTCTGAGTCGTCATCGAAGCCACAACAACGAGCGGAGTTGAAACAAGTGGAAGCTCGCTACGAGGAATTGCTTCTGAGTGAAGTACAGTTTCCGAAGGCGGAAGAACCGAGTGAGGAAGTCGAAGCATTTGTTGAACTAGTGATGCAAAACTGGAGAGTTTTATGTGGGAATACATGGCAAGAACATGAACTTGGCGAAGGAGGGGCGGAGGCAATTAGTAGGAGTGTTTTGAACATTCTGTACAATGCCGCAACTAAAACCTTCCATTCAACGCCAATTTTGCGACATTTATTCACCGTTCATGTAGCGGTCGCCGAATTTGATTTAGCGTTTAAAGCATTCGATACCTATTTGGAGATTGTAAAAAGAGGAAAAGCTCGAGTGGAGAAAACCGGGGAGTTGGAACACGGTCTAGATGACGACGAAACAGTTTTGAAAACGGCTGCCGAGTGCATCAGAGCTTTATGTCGGTATGGCTCAAGACAAGGGGCAGAGAAGGCTAAAGACCTTGGCCAATTTTTCGAGGAGTGGTTAACTAAACACCATCCCGTCGAACAGCCACATGGGACGGAGAAATTGCTTGAAAATGGCACCTCGCTTGTTTCAAGCACTTCTATATCACCAAACACATTTGCCGTTGCTTGGCGATCAATCGGAATCGGCTATGCACAATGGGCACGCTTAACTTTCGATTCGTCTTCGAGAGGAGCCATTCAATTGAAGGCTATGAAATGCTTCCGCCGGGCTCTCCTCCCGGAGTATAAGAGCACCGCAGATGTAGAAACCCTTTTTGCATTGGGCACAATCCTTGCAGAACGCAGAGAGCTATCGACAGCGATTGAGGTTGTGAAAGTTGGGCTTGCTCCTCTGCGCTCTAATTTGCAAAATGGTCATAGCTCTTCCATTGCAGCCAGATTCTCAAGAGAAAGATCTCTGATACCGTTGTGGCATCTTATGGCTTTACTGCTGAGTGCAAGGCAAGATTTTATGACAGCAGTAAGATCTTGTGAAGGTGTCTTTGACCAATTCGGGGATTCAAAAAATCTATATGGAGAATCTGAACTTGAAGGTTCATTCAGAAGCGAGCACCTGAATTCCAACGAAAACATTACGCAGCAGAATCGAGGTTTAGTAGATGAAATGGATGATTTTGAAAAAGCAAATCTTTTGGAGGTAAAGATGACTCAATTGTCTCTTATAGAAGTCCTTGAGGGCTCTGAGGTTGCAGTTAACTGTAGTGATGAGCTTTTGACTCTATATACAAGACTTTTTGGTGACCCTTCTAAAGAAACTGCCACTGCGGTAGTTCAAAATGCTACGTTGGTGCCCCCCAAAAGCTCCGCAGGAACCCTTAGAAGCATGAAAGGAAGTATATTTGGACGAACTCTGAATAGGTCAATGCGAAAGGATATGGTAGCTTCGATGGAACAAAGCACAATCTCTCAACGACCAGACGCCACACATGCCACGATCAATAGAGCACCAACTATTCAAGTCACTCATGAAAATGGCACAGCTGGAAGACATCACCGCAGACGCTCTGAAGATCATCATGAAAAGCTGCACAAAAAATCAAGTGTCAGAAATCCTTCTCAAGAGCCGAACAGAAGCGTGAGTGTAGGAAGGATCGATGGCACTGCGAGGGAGGTGGATCTACAGAATCGAGAGGATCATTCGGAACAAGGCTCAAAACCACTACCACCAACCTCACAGCAGATGGAACACAAGGAGCAAATTCTCAAACCAGTGGGCTCAAATCACATCGTTCAAGATAGTCGTTTTCCAATTACCCCATACTCATCATCACCCAGCCCCACAACGCGGTTCTCGAAAGATTCCGAGAGGCGGCGGAGAATATCAACATTAGTCAAAGTATGGTTATTAATTGCCGGCTTTTATCGGCGAGCAACCATGTATGAAGATGCTAAAGGTGCAATCGAAGAGGCCCATAAGTTAGTGCACACTTTAGAAATGGATATCATCAACGACCCAACAGGCCTCGCGTCATTCGATCATTCTGGTTGGGGAGGTGGAAAGAGTGTGTCTGAACTATGGGGCGACGTTTTCTCAGAGGTACGTATGCTCGAGGAATGCATAGAATCTTGCTAATATTTTTTCAAGCGTGGCTATCTCTCAGTAGATCAATTTTCTCCATATACGGCACTTGAAAATTTCGAGACTGCTTTAACTCACTTTGCTGACCACCCTGCCGCAATCGTTGGGCTTTCCGATATCCTACTAGATATATATACAGAAGATCTTCTACCTCTTCCCACCATGCCAGCTTTAGTTCTTCCCACGGTATCTGCCAGTACCCCCTCGGCCTCTACCCTTAATACCTTGGCGCAGTCCCAACCACATCAACCAACGCTTCCCTTTCCCACGAGCGGTCCCCTTGGCCTTCCTCTTCCTACCCCCCTGAACCGAGACATGCTCGCTGATTCAAAAACGAACAAAGCCGATAAACTCGATAGACTTGCAGCTCGGGATCGTGCATATGGACTTTTATCCGGTCTAACAAAACTAGGTTCAGGTTGGAACTTTTCAGAAGCTTGGTATTCATTAGCCAGAGCATATGAATTAGGAGGACAGAAGGATAAAGCGAGGGAGGTACTTTGGTGGTGTGTAGAATTGGAGGAAGGTAGAGGATTGAGAAGTTGGGATGTGGTTAGCAGTGGTGGTTATGTTCTTAATTAATTATTAGATGGGTCGGAGATGCGAGTAGTTCGAGTTATAGACTTCGGACGATAGAGAGTTTGGTTATACATATCGGACAGAAGCCCGGGTGGGATATAAATAATGCAGACTTAAATTATTATTGAAATATTGACCCGACGTCTAATTGAACTTGTAACAAGTGTCGAATTGTATGAATAAAAATATATCGATACTTTGTTTTTACAAGACCTATCCTCTTTTATTCACAAGAGTACCTAGGTAATCTAGCAATTCATAGTACTTGTCATTGTACCCTTCGTTGATTTCAGATTTAGCCGCTCGTCTCATTATTTTGATTGTGAAAAGTGGGTAAAGTTTGTGTAGCACTTTAATGTTGGATTTGAATCGGCTATTAGCCGCGCCCACTAGTCCTCCATCACGTCGCGCAGGCAAGTTAGGGACCGGCGCTTGCAATGTGGATATGTCGTGCCAGGTCCGGTGGGGATCATGGTTACAATTGTTGTCGGAAAATCTCATGGAAAGACGATTGTTGTTGATTGTTGGGAGATGGGAAGTGAATGCTGGAAGCTGGGTTTAGGATCTCATATGGATGAAGCAAAACATTCAGCTTGATTGGCACGACTAGAAGGCAGAGTGAAATTCAAGGAACGCGGTATGTTTGTGTGTGTGAAATCAATTGGATATCTATAAGTGTTCCATCTATCTTTGCCTTTGGACATGTTTGTTGGTATGTATCCGCTTGCTAACACATTTTTCCAGCACTGTCTATGAACCTCCAGAGTACATTCTAATTTCTAATTTCTAATTGCACAAAACGCAAAACGCCCTCCACGACCAAAACTCGCTACATAATTCAGGATCTCAAGATGTTGAGTTGCTAACCAGATCACCACCTGGGTGATAAGCAATTTTTGTGAACTTGCTTTTTGATTCGTTTCCGGCTGGATCACTTTTTACCCTGTGCCTTGCTCTCAGAGATATTTGCTGGACCCGCCTACTCGCTTGCTTAATCCAAGATGTTTTTTATCTTGCTTTGTGGTAGTCGAAGAGGGGTCCTTTTGTGGACCTTTAGAAGTTGCTTTGCTTGTGGCTAACATTTTTTGCTTTGCTTCTTCCTCTTTCTCTTTCTTCTTGCGGGCTTCCTCCTCTTTCGGGATTTTTCTTTTGGGGACTAGAAGTCCGGGGGCATTGCTACCAGTGCTTACGACGGAGTCCCTGTCACTGTCATAGTCAGGAACTCTGTCGGCCTTCTTTACGGGCATTGTTGGGAATTGGATTGTGTGGATTGAGATGGAATGGAATATGATGCGTTGAGATGAGATCGAGTGTATCGAACTGTGGTTATGATAGAGATCTGTGAAGATGTTGTTGTTGATGTTGTTGATGTTGTTGATGAGATATGCGTTAAGACTTGAGAATCGGGACATTATATACACTTCTTGAGTACCAACATCTCCACTCCACCAATAACAGCAAAACTGACCTCCCCTCGATCGCGATCCACTCAATCCAATGCCCAAAAAAAATTGCAGCTATTTTTATCCAACTTTTATTGGATTCGGTGGATCTAGACTTTGCCACAGGTGTAACTACCGTTTACAAGGAGGACGAGGGAAGCCTCATGGACTAAGAGATCTGATGATCGGCCCGCAACCGGAGACCTCAGTGTTAGATTCATCAATTGTTCTAGGCAGTCGCTTTCTACCCTTTTTGGTGGTTACTATTTGCTGTATAGTATATCTCAGATTTTAGCTTACGATCAAGTGATTGTCGCCTGGGTATGGATGACGAGCTTTGAGGGTTAGTTTGCATTCGGTGTTCACAACACCTTTGGTCTTTGGTGCAATCGGTCTTGTGTTTTAAGAGAATTTAGGCTGCTTTTGCTACTGAATGCTGGATAGGTATGCATAGGACTATTCGATGGCTTGACAAGTCATATACTATGAATTACGGTGAGAATAGGATGGTAGTTCCTCTCTCCCAAGTCTGTTTGCTGTTTGGTATTTGAGTGAATTTCCTGGTGAGTACCCCCCTTTGCATCTTCCATTTCCGATCTTCTACCTATTTCCCAACCCTTGATTCTTCTAAAGAGCAATAATAGATGAAGCTGGAACCAAAAATGGAAAGTACCTTCATCCCACTACACAATTCTGTATACTTCAAATTCACGTAAAATTCCTCTTCCATTCCATTCCACAATACCAAAAAATACCTCCAACTAGGTAATCAGACCCATCTGCATAAACCCACCGACCTATCCGAATTCTCAAGAGGCCAGCTGGTCAGATAGGCACTACGGGCCGAAACCCAGACCGTGGCACAGTAAGTAGGTACCTAGGTATAAATATAGAACCAAGTTTTGCAAGCGGGTCGTGCGAGAAGGGCCAGAGGCCGACCCAGTGACCAAATGAAAATCTATATGTAGATGGGTGGAGAGAAGTTGGGTATATAAAGTAGGTACTCAGCTACCTCTGATAATTTTGATTCACTATCTGGCTCTTCTTCTATTATGTCTGGTTGCTAATTCACTGCTTTTTCGTGTGTGTTCTCTTTTGAGTTCACTTTTTAATATATGTACCCCTCCTTCATTCACTTTTCTGTATCGCCTACCCCTCTTTCCTTATTCACTAGCCTTGAACTTTTACCCCTCTTTTAAATTCACTGTTACCCCTCCATCTATATTCACTATTCCGTGCACATATACCGTAGCCCTTTGCTGAATCTCGGTTATAGATATACCTACCTAACCGACCTAGGTAAATCCGGATATCTAAATTCAACGGGATCACAATTAAAAACGAGTAACGAGACGATGCAAGTTTTCAAGCGATTCAAGCACATCATTTTCCGCATAATTTCTATTCCCTATAAACTCTATAACCATGCGGTTCACCCCATAACAACCCCATCTAGCTCACTCTCGTCCATATTCGAACGCAAAGCAATCCGATCAAAACATCCATCTTGGCTAAACACCTTGCTGTAAACACACATCGCTAAACATCTAGTTTCCCGAACCAAACACCCTCATTTCTAACTAAACTTTCGTCTCCGTCTATGTCTCTGTCTATAAGAAGTTTGTTAACGCCTTGCAGGTAATGACTGGAGCAAGTACCTGGTCGCTTTCGAAAAAAAAAATCATCATTCCCTTGATGCAATCTTTGAAAGCAGCCAGCAAAGCCAAAGCAGCCAATACCAGGACCAATTCTAAAACGTAAAATGCAGTTGAGTCGTGCCAGAATACTCTTTAATCGGATTCAGATGCCAAATTCGTGCTAATCTGAATCGCCAGTAATGATCGCCTCTGAATGCTCGATACCGTGGAGACGAAATGAGTTCAAATTGAGCTGGTAGATTTGCTGACAGAGTTCATTTCCAAGAATAATGAAGGCGCCGAGGAATATGGTAGTGACTAGGTCGAGCATAGTAGGCTTCACGGCCTCGTTATTAGATGATTTCCGTATCGATCGTTGTTTGAGATTGAAGCCAAGGACCCTAATATCTCTTCAACCTTATACCCGGAAGAAAAGACCCTTATTCGCTGGCACGGCTGAAATCGATGACTCTTGACGCATCACATTCTTACGGCTGTAACAGTGGTACTATTTCGTATGTCTGCACTTGGATAACGAGTGCAGACTACATGGTAGTAGCACGAGTGGATGACGGGATCTGTGCATCATGACAGGTATTTTTGTGTGAGGTTGAACAGAGTTTTGTGCCGCTGATATCCACTTCAGCAACAAACATCGACAACAAGAGAACTAATCAAGAGAGAGACTCATAAGCACGCTGTGGTGCAAACATAGGATTCAAAATCTTTGTCATAGCTTCCGCGGTTGTGAACAAAACACCACCACTAAACACAGTCCGTGATAATCTCATGACTGTTCCTCTCCAAAAGGCTTTCACGCCACCATCTTTGATGATACCCATTACAGCTTGAGTGGTTGTAGTCACTTTCGAAGATTGACTTCTCGTTTTGACAGTATCAAAAGGTTGTGTTGCCAAAGTTGTGATTACACCTGCCGCTGCCCCATTCGCGAAGTTCACGACAGTATTCTGTGGAATATCTTGTACGACCTGAAAATCCTTGATAATGTTGTACGAACCCATCCTAAAAGAGGTTGCAGAAGCTTGTTTGAGAGTGGTACCTATGAAACCTCTATACAAACCTACGAATCCATCTTCTTTGAGAATGGTACGTATGCAATGCATTGTGGAATTATATTGCCTCGTGGTCCTGGCATCATCGATAAGCGCCGTTTTGATCCGTTCAGTAGGTGTGACTGCAAATATGCTGGCTGCAACCCCCGCTGCCATGCCTGCTAACATATTGCGACCCGGAGATAGAACACCAGTCTCCGGATCTCGAAAGACGTTTTTGATGCTGTCATACGAAGTAAATCGTACGGCATCTTTTGCAATAGATCCAAATACTAATGCACCACAGCCCTTATACAAAGCTCTGATACTTTCTTGTTTGTATACTTGTAGAACAATCTGAAATGGATTCCGTGGTAATTTAGATGGTCCAGAATGTAGTTGAACTCGTGTTTTAGCAAACTCCATTGGGTATGTAAGAGCACCTTCTACTCCTCCAGCAATTCCACCAGATAGTAAAGATACGATTGGTGGTGTCGATACGTTTCCATGGCCACTCATTGTAAAAGCATGTAATAACTACTGATATAGCGAGCAACAATTGAACGTGAAAGAGGGATACCAAATGATTGTACAGCCAAAGATTGTTCTTCTATAATGAACAATTTAGTTTTCCTCCACCGTACCAAGGTACTGTTTTCATAACTTCAATCTATGACGTCTTAGTTTCTCGGTACTTATTTATCAACTTCACCGGTAGATCGGCAGTCGGTACTGTGCATTCGCCTAAACTTTCCGAAGCCGACGATATTGTAAATTAATTGTTGTAGATTCTTTATTTCTAAGTCTTTGGTGAAAGAATAATAGCAATATGGTGTCTCGATTTAGAGATAATGGTGCCCGCTCATTGATCATCCTGAAGTCAACGCAAAGCCGCCAGCAATATATACATATACAGTACATCAATAAATCAAGGGCAAGAATTCTAGCTAATGGCCGGGGTGCTATTTGTAGAGAAAAGCATGCGAAGCGCTCATAGTAGCAAATCCTTTCTTTCCGTTCCGAGCTGCGCCTGTCATTTATTCAGCGGAAATACCGCCGAAGTCCCCCAAGCTACCCAATCTCCACCCAAGATCAAACAATCATCAAGCTTCCAGAAATCTCTCTTTTCTGACAATGTTGATCTCTTCCTTGAAAGCCTTAGCCGGACAAAACTTTGAGACAAGCTGTGAAGCAGTATCGTAGATTTCTTGATTGGCCGGATTTGTTTCTCTTCTGACTCTCACATCATTCGAGGCGTTTGAATGAGCATCACTAGCTCTGTTAGAGGATGCAAGATGACTCTGAGGGCCTTGTATCATTTTCTTGACCGGTCTTAATCTATTCAGATTATCTTTAGAAGGTGATGTCTCATAATTGGGCCTGTTACTATTTCGTGTTTGTCTGTCCATTGAAGATGTGGAGCTTCTGAACAAATCAATTTCAGTAACCGATTTCACTTGAATGTGATTCTTGCTCCTGGGGCCATCTCTAGGTCCCTTCTGTTGTGATTCTGAATCCACGAAGGTTCCTCCCGTTTCTTTAAGATCGTCAAGTATACGTCTGCGTTTCGCCATGTGTGGAGATCTTGATTGTAGATGGCGGTCAAGATTGAAGTAGGGCGACAAAGAAGTATCAGGCAAGCGCTTTCGAAGACCTGAACTTGTAACCTCTGTTGTAGGCACGGTATATCCAGGCAGGTATTCAAGAATATCATCGTCATCTCGTGGCTTCCAGAACCTTGTAACTCGCTCATATGCCTGCTCTATCGCGTTGGAAACGGGAGGTTTCTTGTACCATGGATGATTTACTGCTTGAACAGCAGTCATACGTTGACTTGCATCACTAGCCAAAAGGTCGCGCAGAAATGATCGAGCTCTCCGATGGAGATAGGACCACTTGTTTGCTACCTCTTCTTCATCGGACGAAAGAAAATTCTTGGCAGCTTGTATTTCTTCCAGCTGGGACAATCTGCCTCGGGGAATCGAACTTTCACCAGTGAGCAAACTCCATGTCAATATTCCAAATGACCACATGTCTGCAGCTGTCGTATAGCCACGGCTTACATCAGAACCAATGATTTCGCTATTATCAATCAGTACTAATATTTGTTAACTGTCATTTTCGAAGATATACTTACGGTGCAACGTAACCCTCTGTTCCTACTGAAGAGAAGAGCCTGCCGGTTGTTTTGTCTGTATAATTGGCAAGGCCAAAGTCTGTGAGAATGACTCGAGAGCCGATATCGGTGTTTGTAATGAGAACATTTTCCATTTTAACATCTCTATGTGCAATTCCTTTCGAGTGAAGATATTCTAGAGCCAGAGCAATCTGTCGCGTAATGAGACGAGCAGGGGCGTCTTCAAGCCTGTTGTCACAAGAATCGAAGTATGTATATAGGTCTCCTGCCGCAGCAAGCTCTGTAAACATATACAACCTGTCGTTGGAAAGAAAAGCCCTTTCAATACGGATAATATTTGGCTATGATTTGTCAATCTCGGCCGTCTGAAAACATAGACGACTGAATGAGTGAGCTTGTCACAACTTACATGATTAAGTTTAGACAGTATCTCAACTTCTCGTAGGTGTGATTTCCTCGCCAAATCGGTATCGTATTGCTGACTTAATCCTGTAGAATCATGGGAGATGGAATATGCACGTCTTGAGGGACTTATTTTGATTACTTTACATGCTACCTGTTTCGAGTTGCCAACATTATTGGCAAGAAAAACCTCTCCAGCAATACCGCTGCCAAGAACATGGTTGGAAATGGTGTATCGATCTTTGAAATACTACGGATATATTAGTCAAACATGAAAGATATACCAAGAGAAGAATATGACATGAATACCTTGATTTCAATATCAGGCAATGGCATATGCGATGTTGTTCTTGATCTTGGTTGGTGAAATTGAAACTTCCAATCGGGTCGGATCTCAATCAAATCACCGTCAACAAGAAGACGTCCAATTCTTTCGTTGCCGACTATACCGATCAATACATTGTTCACATAGGTACCATTCCTGGATTCAAGGTCTTCGCAATAGATTGAAGGTGGGTACTCATCCAGCTTGTCCGTATCATATATGATGGTGTAGACACGAAAGTGTTGCTTCGAAACAATCACACTATCAATGGAAAAATCACTAAACTCTTATTAGCAGGTTACAGATCGATTGAACAAAGTACATACCATTCCGTCTCTCTTCCCACATGAAGATAGCCTTTGGCACGAATTGGAATTGCTGCAAAATCTATATTAGATCACGAAAGGTTGATGAGATAAGAGGCTTACGAACTGAACTCTTGACCAGTTTGTGCATGCTCATACTTGAGCGATGCAACGACAAGGCTGCTACCAGTGCCATGGCTGTTCCCTTCATGAGTTCCCATCAGGGATTGATCAATATTCTCACGGTGGTCTTGATCATTGAGCTCACAATTCAAACCCGATGCTTCCATTGTGATTATAAGATCTTGGATGCTGGACTCGAAACAAATTGTGGAAAATGTGAAAATATGGGAAAGTCAGAAAGAGAGAAAATGGAGGGTTAACGTATATTCAGAGAAGCATGAAACTGTGAGTTATCACACAAACAATACTACCCGACATCGTAGATCATCTTGATTATGTAACTTGAAGATTTTCTTGGTGTATCGCATCGCCTTGCTTCTTTTTCACTTCTCTCGTCTTCCTTAGGAAGGAACGAAGGGAGGCAGCCACATGCAATTCCTAGTTTGACTATCACGTGACAAGCGGGCGTCCTTCTTCAACGAACTCCCTTCTATGCTTGGGAGACTGCGAGCCTCCAGCTTTGTTGAATCTCAGAACGGATACCCTTTGGGGGGTCTAGTTGAAGTTGAATGAAAATCGGGGGTGATTTTTATATTAAGATTGATTTCCAGTACAACTAGTGCCAACCTTGCGACACCTCGACCTTACTGACGATTCTTTCCGACGACAAAATACCTGGTGGTGTCATGTCAACGTCTATGAGACCTCTGTTGGTTTAAGTAGAATTGGTTTAAGTAGAAATGTGTTTCCCATTGGAAAGTTTGATTGGAAAGTTTCTGAATACGCCCCTTGGGAAACTTAGGCGTATCGTAGGCCAGGTGCTATGCTTTTTGAGCATGTATATACTTAGGCTTCTCTCTTATGATATCAGAGTTATCATCATATGCCAGTTCCCTCAACATTTTACCTGTAAGATTCTGAATGTTCATAACATCTTGTTGCGACATACTGAACATCATACAAGCCCGGATTGGAGCATCATTTACCAACAATGATCCCCACATGAAGATTCTACACTTTGCATGTGGTAGACTTACCGGAAGACTATCTAGTAAATATCTTATAAAAGGACATGGTGCTCATGGAACTTTTGATTGTTTGATCATACATGAGAGATTGAGAGTGCTGGTTTGTGAGTTGCGGGATATGATTCTCTGGATATTTATATTGACGCCAGATATTGAGGGTGCTTTGAATGTGTATATTGACATAATGGATCGAAAGTGTTGTGGATCTTTGTGTTGATGTTGGAGAATGGGGACTTTGAATATTTATGATAATCTTAGGTAGAGATTAAGGGATTTTGAATGATTATAATAATTTCAAAGCTTGATAAGAGACTTGAACATTTATATTGATATCAAACATTGATACTGTCGTCCGGATGAATGCGAACCTTTGAATGGAATACCGGGCAAGCTCTACGGAGCGTCATATCTGGAAAGCACAGGAACATGTTGGAACCCTACACACCTGGTGCACCTACCAAGGGCCTAGGACCTAGGTACCTACTTTTCCTCAAGTCGGGCCCGACCAGGTAAAGGAATCTATATTGGGCATCTTGGGAACAGGTGAGCAGTCATGTGACTAGCCCTAATCAGTCAGAATGCGCTAAATTAGCTCAAAAATTAAGCGAGTATCAACACCCATATTTCGAGCTTCAATCGATGGAATTGACTTCTCCTCCTCACCATCTTCATACAACTCACATTGAAAATGTAAGTTGAAATCCATCCATTTTACCCTCAATCGCTATTCACAGTGCATTCTATGCTTATTGAAAGCATTTGAACCATTGCAATCATCATATTTCCCCTCACTTCCTCATGAATGGACTTTTACCCCTCTTGGCTCCATTTCCATCACTTCCACGTCAACAACTTCAAGTATTCATAACTGACAACCATCTTTAGGAGAGCCAAGTGGAGAAAGAAGCGCACTAGGCGCTTGAAGCGTAAGCGCCGCAAGACTCGTGCCCGATCGTAAGTTTCCATCTCCCTGTTGCTTTTCAGCGGTCTTTTTCGCAGAGACAATTTCCTTTGTTGGACATTTACTAACCCACCTACAGCAAGTAAACAACTCAAAACAACTCGATCTCGATACCCCTTACCTCTCGATTAATAACATCATGATATCCTAACCTCTTTCGAATGCGCCATCTCTCGCACCAAACGTCTTCGCCTTTTTCAGCATTTCAGTATTCACCAACAAGTTCGGAGTCTGCGCTTCGTTCAACGGCGGCTGGGTGTTCAAGGAAAGATCAGTTTGATGACGCGCACTTGTCAGCCTGTGGTGGGAAGTTTCGGAAGGTAGTTGGATCGGTCAACAATGCAATGTCGATTTGTTCATTGAGGGTTTATGAACCAATATGTCATGGGAAAGAAGCTGCCTCTGATGCTAAATGCCCTTATGACTACCAACCCGATAGGAATGAATAAGAAAAAAAGAAGTTCTTCTTCACTGATGTCATCTTTGCACAATGTGAAATGTTTTTAAAGTGATGGTGATATGTATGATGCTACTCGTTTGGAAATGCTGGCTATCGTACTTCGAAGCGGTTGTTGTGATGTGCTTCAAGCTTCCCCGCATGTAATATCAAGCCCTTCCCCAGGCATACACAAACGAAGTAGAGTGTCAATTCTCACCAAACTCATCTTCCCCCGCTTTGCTCTCGACGCTACGGAATGCAAAATACCCGTTGGACTTCTCAATTTATCTTTAATTCTACTTGCAGCTACCTCCAGCTACCTCCAGCTATTTCGATGAGAGCATATATAGATAAATTGACAATTGACCAAAATCATTGCACGCCTCATATATAATAAATTAGATAACCTTGCTTGAAAGCTGCATATGACCAGCTCAACACAACCCCGCTCATTGGTCAAGCCACCAGCATCTCAGCCTCGTCTGTTTTAGCAAAATGTCGGGAAAAAAGTTTCCAATTGCCGACCCATCCAAAAATTTATTTGATTTGCGACAGAACAGAAGCTTGTAGACCCGGCGCCTTCATACAATTTGCCTAGGCTTCACTTTGATCACAAAATGGCGGATAACATTGAGAAAAGCAAGAAGCGCAAGAAGAATGCCGATGGTTCTTCGAGACCTAGCAAAAAAGTGGCAATCGAAGAAGACAGAAATGTTCAGATTTCCTTAAAGGATGGTGATGATTGGGCTCCTGTAATTGGTATGTTTCTAAGTTAAGGCCAGGAGAACATTAAAGTCTCAAAATGAGGTTTCAAAGTTATAAAAGGTTGACTCTTTATAGCATCCACTCCTGGACTTGCTATGCCCGCATCTATATCTCTTCAACCATTCACAAAACCTCGCAAGAATGCCCCTCAACGACCAGGACGAAGCGGAGCAATTGCTACAACCGAAGTCCTCCTCCATTCCTCAGAACATCCAAAGCTTGACTATACTGCTCGAGAGGAAGAAGCGGGTGGGTCTGATACATTATTGAAGCATTATGTCGGTGTGTACGATCCAAAGACCGGGAAACTAGAGGTTATGGAAGCGCGAAAGATGGTGGTTCGTGGGAGCGTTAGAGCACATCAAGCTACGGAGGCTGAATTTGCCAAACATGTAAGTCTATTGCAAAGGAATCTCAGAGTCGATGCTAACTACTCGCAGACTATTCGAGAGCTTCGCAATGACCTTGGAGAGACTTTCGGTACTAAGAAAGCGAAGAAAGCCATTGCTTCCGTTACCGAGAATGCTATCTCAGCGAACAGAGGCTCTAGATTACTCGCGGATGGTGCCAAGCCAGCGAAGTTGGATGCTGCAAAATCTGCCATTATTGCATCTATGGCAGAAGCTACGTCTGGCATGGCAACTAGAAAAGACCTCGAGGAACAAGCAGATGCAGCCAAACCACGACCAAAAGCAGACCTTACTGCGAAAGATATCAAGGATGTGTATACGGTGGACAGCCTCATTGGAAGTGATATTTTCAAGTCTGTACCGGTCTTGGAATGGGAACAATCAGTCAAAGCAAAGAAGAACATTACAACCAACTCGAGATATGTGTCGGCCAGAATCGTCTCCGCAGCTACCGCAGGCGTTAATAAGCTCAGAGTCTTACGATACCTCCTTCTCTTGTTAGATTTACACATGGCTTCTCGACCAATGCGAGGTGGAAGAATGCTACCCAAGCGCGACGAAATGAAAACGAAGTTGGGTGACAATATACCGCAAGCTATCATTGAAGATGTACGACGCAAATACTCGGACGCTGGAGTCATGTCAAAGTTCAAGTCTGATCTCCTCATCACACACGCATGTGCATTAGCATGTCTAGTTGATAATTATGAAGTTGATCTGTATGATCTTCAGCTGGATTTGAAACTGGAGACAAAGGAGATGACTCAATATTTCAAGGAGATTGGTGCAAGGGTTGTAGGACTTCCAGAGGCGAGGAGGAAGGCATTGGATTTGGACAAGGCAACTGCCGCACAAAGGAGGACAGCGAAGTTGAAGTTACCATTAGATTTCCCAAGAGTGCCATTTGGAAGGAGAGGATAAAAATGAGTCGGGAATAGATTAGGCTGATGATTGTTACTGGCGAAGCGGAGTAGTTAGGATCTTAGTTTTAATACCGAAAAATGGAGATAATGAATTCTATGGCAACCTTATTGATAGTAAGGATACTGGTCCGTTCTTGTCCCTCAATTTTGATTGAAACAACAACTTGGATCAGGACATTCTGATTCTTTGAGTGCTCTAAACAATCCGAGACAATGAAGCGATCTGAATGTCCCTGATTGTGTGAAATATTAAAACGACGCTGAATATTCAAAACATTTTATATTTTTGGGGGGAGGAGTGGGAGCAGGAGACCCGATTTACACGTCAAGACCTTCGACACCAAAAACAAAAGCTGCCAAGATCCTTTATTTATGACCCTTCCTTGAGATGCCAGATTCATAAACTGCGGGAGACAGAACTGCTGGAGCTCAATCTCTCTCTCTTCTACACCCTCTCATACACTCTCTCATACATTCTCTCTCCTACGCTCTCTCTCAGTGTATATCCCAAATTCTCTAACCGATGTCCCTGTATCTTACACAACCCTACATTTTGCACAACCTCAAATTCATTATTACTATAACTTCAATATTAAATTATGTCGTAGGTCTCGGGCTAATAGTGAATATAAGTGAATTAGACTAATATTTAATCTATTTTGGGAAGCTGGCTCTGATTGATAACTAAATTGATTATATAAGCAATATAATATATGATTTTCAATAGATTTGTATTGGATACTCATTTTTTTATGCTATATTTGAAGGAAAAAGATCTTATTTTATACATTTTTAATTAATCTAGTTTTCTATTCTTATTATTCTTTTGTACATCTTTTTCTAATTCGATTATTTCTTTAAATGAAGCTTTCTTTATATTATTTATTCAATTTGAATTTATTAAATTAATTTAATAATAAAGAATTTAATAAAGAATCAATTTTCTTTATTCTCTTTTAGATTATATTAGATTAAAAAAATTAAGTAATAATGATGTGATTTGATTATATAATTGATTATAATTAGATAGTTTCTAAATAGAACTTTACTTTAATATTCTAAAAGATATACATATTATATTATTTTGAATTAAAAACAATAGTTAGTTAATTATAATATTAATAATAGAATAATAATGAAAAAGATTTTATAGAATACTTTGAAAATTATTAAAGAAATTTAATAAATATAAATTTATTTATTAGTTAGTTATTATAATTAATTTTAAATAAATAGATTTTTTAAAGAAAGAATAAGTATTAAAAAAATGATTTTCAGTTCTTTTATTAAAAAGAATAAATTATTAAAGATTATTTATATTAGAATAGATAATAGTAATGAATCCACTAGGTATATTTGTTACGAAGATACCCGCCACTATAACATGAATTATAAGATTAACCTAGGCTTTGATATTAGGATCTACAAAAAACAATACTATAGGGATAATAGAATAGAAGAGTATCTAAAAATAATAATAATTAAATAAATAAATAGTAATCGAAAGATAGATATTTATCTTTTATTGATAACGTGGTTTATTAGTGAGTAGGTTATATCAATGAATGGGTCACTTATTTTACATACAAAATTCGTTTGTATATAACCGTGCACTTTTTTATTTATAAGCATTAATTTTCTGAAAATTTGATATAAAATATTTCATATATAAAGAATATTAAAAATCTATTAGTTTTAAGAATTTGAATTTCTAAAGCTGTTATTATAAAAATAGATTTTTTGTAATGACAAATTGTCAATAATTTCCTTTCTTTTTAGAATATAATAAATTATTTTATAAAAATTAAACTTTAATAAAAAACCTAAATTTAATTATTTTTTAAAATCTTTTATTTAAAAAAATAATAGATTAGTATTAAATATTAATATGTTAAAAGCTTGATTTTAAATGATTTTCGAAATGACCCGCATACTGATTATAACCTATTCACTAATAAAAACACGTTATCTATTTTTATAATAATATAGTAATATATAAATAGTTATACGATTAACGAATAAATATAGATTAGATAATAAGTATTAATTATTTAATAAATACAAATTAATTAATAAATATAGATTAGATAAATAACAATCTTATTACAGATTATAGAATATATATTATATAATTAAAAGCTAATCGATTTATTGAATCAATTAATTTATTAATTAATGTTAGAAAATGAAGATTTATGTAAAGGAATAGATTTCATTATAATATAAAGCTTTATATTCAAAACAATTATTAGTTTTATACTATAGTTATAAAAATTGCAAATAGTTATAATCTTATTGAATTCCTATTTGAAGTTGTTACAACGGATTGGTAACAGGCTATAGAATCACTGACTTATAGACTATAATAATATTATAGGCCTTAGTGATTCAGTTGTAATATACCGGGGGACATTAGGCATCTAAGGAAAGCCTTAGGTATATATATAGTATTAATTATAGAATACCCTAAAAACCTAGAATATAATTCCTAGGATAATAGATTCTAGAAAAAACAAAATATAATAAGTAAGAAAGCTTTACTAGAATTAATAATATCCTAAAGGATTAATTTTAAAACGAAAAAATAAATTAGGATAATAAAAATCATAGAACAAGTATTATATAATCAAAAGTTGATCAATTTATCTATTAACTTACCAATCGACTTATTAATTAACTTCAATACAAAGATCTATATAAAAAATGAATTTTATTATAATATAAAGCTTTATACTTAAAAATAATTATTAGTTTTATTATTATAATTATAAGAATTGTAATTAATTACAATTTTATTGAATTTCTATTTGAAATCTAATCTAAACCATTTCAAAAGATTTCTAGTTATTTTCATATAATTCTAAAAATAGTTCCTATAATACTTTAAATATCCTTTCTACTTCAAGTATTAA